AATTCCGAAACTTCCGAAATTCCGAAAATTTTGAAATCGGGATATTCCCTGGAATTTATGTTCTTCTCCCTCTTCTTGTTTATCCTTTTTTTCATCCGAAATTCAGGTCATCAAAATTTAAAATGCTCAATTTAATAGCGTTTTTCAATTTCTTATCGAAAATTTCAGCTAAAAATCCATCAGAGATACCGACAAAAGCGAATGTTGTGAAAATATAAATATATCAATTTGACACCTGTCTTCTCAAAAAATTTTCGCGGCAAAATGTGACCATTACTTTTTTCTTTTATCAGTGGTTGAGCATCGGCTGTCAAAAATGTTGCTATTTGTTGTTCGATTGACATCACGTTATCACTGCGTTTTACACGTTCTTGCTTCTCTTTTCCTGTCTTTTCTAGCTTATTTTTTTTGTTTCTTAAATGTGGGTTTCATCTGTTTTCAAGTTTTGAAAAAGCGAAAAACAGCAGAGAAACACAATGCCATGACTAACGAGCAATTAGATTCGTGGGAACGTTTCTCAGAGCTCCCCAGAATTTGAAGAGAACAGAAAATTGCAAGTTAGTACTTGTTGACATATTAAATCAGTTTTGAACCTTGTTTTGATCTATTCTTTTTTGTTTTGATCTACCTTCATGTTATGAAATGAGTATTACTTTTTTTTCTCATCTACCTCTTATTTGTTCATTTTTTTCGAGTTTTTCACGCGGGGTTTTCTTTTTTCTTTTGATTTTCAAACTATACTTTAGCAATGACCGATTTTTGGCGGATTTTGGTTTCGTAGCAACCCGATCCGAATATATAATTTTCAATTTTTAAAGCTTGAAGTTCTCTAAATTGTCTCTTTTATACTCCAAGAATGTTCAGAATCGCCTTTCCGGAATTTTTTGGAGTTTCGGAATATTCCGATTTTTAAATTTTCGGAATTTCGGAATATCCCGGTTTTTAGATATTCGGATTTTCGGAATTTCCCGGTTCAGAAAAAATCGGAATTTCGGAACATACCGATTTTGAAATATTCCGAATTTCAGAATATTTCGATTTGCGAAATTTCGGAATTTCGGAACCGTTGGACCTTTTTAACATCCAAGTTTTGAAGCAGAAATGTTATAAAAACGCCGAAAGTTGGAGGAAAACTGAAAAAAGTTTCGAAATTGCAAAAATATTCAAAATGATTCCGTTAGCGAGTCGCAAGCAAATTTTTCGCATGCGATTCTGACATACCGTAGCCAAACATCTCTAATTCCATTGAAAAAGTACATTCCTGCTTATACCTTTCAATTCAACAAAGTCTCAGTCTAGACACTAGAAATCTTAAATTAGGATCAATTAAATTATGGGAAAATAGTAACAAACTTTTTTCTTTTTTTTCCATTTAAAATCGAACAGTACTTGACCAAGCGGATGGAAAAAAGTCACTAAAGTGCTAACATGCACTTGAAACATAATTAGATTGCTCTCAAACACCGATTTCCCTCTCCTACCTTTCCAAACAGTGAGTGAAACGAAACAAAAATCGCAGAAAATAAAATGGACCTATTCACAAAAATGGCAATCGCTACTCCCGGAAGTTTTATTCCGTATAAACATTGAAAATGTGTTATTGAGTAGTTGCGGTGTTGGAGAAGGCTGGATAGGAGCTTTTGTATGAAATAGCCGCACTTCCCTGTTTGCTTTTCGGGTCCCGCCATAGCGCTCCCGCCGTTCCAAGTGTCACATTCACTCGCCTTCACCTTTCCGCGTGTCTTTTTCTCTCATCTTCCTTGCATCTCCCTCATTTTCTCTTTACTTAACAATCCTACTACTAACCACATAATGATAATTTCTAGGAGGAGTTCTCCTAAAGTTCATTTCCCCCTTTTCATTTGGAATGTGTATAGCCTGCCAATTATAAATGTCGGGTATTGTGGTTTTTTACGTTTTTCGTTTTTCGTAGCTAAATAGAAAGTTTTACTGTATGTTTAAAACGAAAAACCTCGGAAACCAGATGCATCATCGTGCCTATTAGTTAACGCAGCCATTTTTTTTATCCTCTACTTTCTTTAGTGTATCATTTATGCCGAACACTTTGGGGTAGAAATTTGTGTAATGGGTTAGAATGATGTGTGTTCGGTTTCCTAGTGTGACTACGAGATATGCGAAGAATTCCAATTTTGGTCATATATTTTTTTTAATTCTATTAATCTATTCTTTTTGAGGTCATTTTGAATAATTGCTATTGAGAACTGAATATTCAGAAATTCAGAAATTCAAAAATTCGGAAATTCAGAAATTCAAAAATTCGGAAATTCAGAAATTCAAAAATTCGGAAATTCAGAAACTCAGAAATTCAGAAATTCAGAAATTCAGAAATTCAGAAATTCAGAAATTCAGAAATTCAGAAATTCAGAAATTCAGAATTTCAGAAATTCAGAAATTCAGAAATTCAGAAATTCAGAAATTCAGAAATTCAGAAATTCAGAAATTCAGAAATTCAGAAATTCAGAAATTCAGAAATTCACCAATTTATGTACATTTCTTGAGAGTTTAAACCACTATCATTGTAATCTCCAACCTAAAAATATCAAAGCCCTCCTGCCAAGCAGAAAAAAACCTCCCGTTTTGTTTTCCCACACTCAAAAAATTGGTAACATGCTCCTTGAAAAACCGTTGGCCGTTGACTTGTGTCCAACTTTTTTTCCCATCCCTTTCCTCGTACCAATTTCTCCTCGATTGATTGTTTGGCAAACTGTGCAAACATACTTCTTCTGTCACTTTTTACCATTTCTACCTTTTTGCTGTTTCAACTCTCCTTTTCAGAATTCGCTACCTTTTTGATGTTGATGACCTTCTTCTTCTTTTCCGTTCGAACAAAAAAAGAAAAATATTATATTGTTTGAATCTACACGGTTACCAACACCCGCTTTTATTTCCTTTCTCGTCAACGATACCAAAATATTATGACCATTTTCGTATTTCCCTTTTTTCCTACTTCTCGTTTTTCGACTCCACAACAGAAAAATAGAACTGAGAATAGAATCAAATACAACTAGTCATCTTGTCTTCAAAAGTCCGGACGCATCGCGTTGTTCTTCTTCTTCCCTCTAATCCGTATTATTCGCGTGGAGCATTTTCTGAGATTTCTTATGAATTATTCAAGAACTTTTTTTCGGATTCGCAACATAGTTGTGTGGCGAGCGGGGTACGGAAGTAGGCTAATTGATACACTGAGACTTGGCTACTTATATGGTGCAAAACAACGATGCTAAGTTAGCCGCTATTAACTGGAAAATGTTGCGGTTCTCCTCGGAAAAGGACAGGAATGTTTTGGTCATTTTTTTAAATTTACGAATTTCCGTTTAATTTTGGCTATTTTTGAAAATTCCTTATTCAATTTTTTGAAGTTATAGATGTTTCATACCATATTTTGCTAAAATCAATTCTTAAAGGTTTTAGATTCCCCAACCTCAAATCTTAGTGATTAAGTTTCTAATCATGCTACAGAATCCAAATTCAATCCAGACAGGTTTTTCTCGCCCACATAACAAAAACGCCTTGAATGGACTGGCAGGTGCTTAAATAGCGCCATTTGCCTGCAGAACTTCATACATCATTTGAAACTAGATCCCAAAATACGAAAATAAAACGCTCATAGGTTTTTAAAAGCTATTGGGTTGGATAACCTTTTGAATTGAGGGTGGATGTTGATCATTTGATATAGAATTAAAAGTTCGAGGCATTTATTTGAGGCTATTTAATTATTCCAATTATTTCTCCATTTTCGTAGTTTCGAGCCACTTAAATTTTATTGCTTTTTTTCTGTGCGAATTTGAGAATTTTCAGACATATGATCACTAAAAACCAAGATAGTTTTTAAAACTTTTAATCACAAGTTTCTGTCTTCTTGTTTTGAAAAAAGGAAGACGTTGTTGTGTGATATCATTTTCAATGGCGATGAAACAAAACTTTTTCAAAACAATGTTTTGTACGATTTCTTCTTCTTTTGTTTCAGAAAGAGAAAGTTTCTGTATCAATAACCACAATTACTATATGTCCCAATTAAAATTGAAATACCTCCGCATTTTTAAATTATTTTGCGTGCAATTCAAATTCTAGTCACTTCCGCTGGAGGTCTCGCTATCGTTGTTTGAAGAAAAAAGATTTTTTTTTCATTAAGCCGCAAGAGCGAACTACCGTATTCTTGAAGCCTACTGTTTTCCTGTTTTCTTGATTTTTGTCGGTCTTCTACCTTAAAAAAAAGTTTGATGCGATTTTTGCTAATTTCTGACAAGAGTAATATTCGATTTCTCTGCATGCAATTCAAATTTTAGTCATTTGCGTAGGTTGTGCCACATAGCCAGCAAAATCACTAGGGACTCCTTTGTACTTTAAGGGCCACCTGCCCATTAATTCTTCACCACTTTCAAGATGACACCACTAAATCATCTTATCCTCTGTTCTTTCTTACTCTATCCTAATAAAAAAAACAAAAAAGAGTTTTGGTTCCCATCTAGAATGACTTGTTTCCCAGCACTTTACGAGCACACCACCCCACACACACACGAAACGTGCCAACACCTTTGACGTTCCCAGACCCTTTTCCTCCACATCATTCAACACCGATGTTTACAGCCACCCTATTCTGCGACATTCAATGTTTTGTCTTTTTACAATATACAAGGTGTGTCTGTTTAGGATGAGGTAGTGGTTGTTGGTGTATATGTGTGTGTGTGTATCACTGTTATTGTCGTCATAGATGATCCCGAAACGCGATAATACATATCCAGCCATTTTCCCCGCGGCTCAGTTTCCTACTCTTCACCTCTCCCCAGTTATCTCTCCCTCTCATCTTCCGTTATTTCCAATTATTACTTCGCTCATAATTACCCTTTTTCCTCTCGCTCTCTCCACTTTTAATTGCTCAATTGTGCTCATTTTTGCAGCCTCGAAAAACTGGGAGCCGCATTTCATGAAGCTGAAACCAGGAACGAGCAAGTGAGCAAGAAGACGAGGTCCAGAAAGACATGCGGTGTAACATAAAACGATTATTCACTTTGGCTATCGGCGTTTTTGCGGCTACACTGGTCATCATCTCGTTCTCGAAAGACAACTACGAGCGTGAGTTTTATATAAGGAACGGAGCTATTGATTTTTTTTTCTTTTTTGGTACGGTGTGCCACGTCTGTGTGTGTGTGTTAAGAAAAAACAAAAAGAAAACAATGAAGGAGAATTGTAAACGGTGTGAAAATTGATAAGATTTGTGTACACAATATAAGGAGCCTCTATGAAAATCTTCTCGGCTCAGCACCACTTCGAAACTGCGACACTTGGAAACCGTGGTGATACAGAGGAACGTATAAATTTCAGAATACAAGAACAATTTCAGAGTTTTGAGATATGCACTTTCTGATAGAACCCATTCTGGAACCCAAAAAAATTTTAAAAAAAACACATTTTTGAAAAAAATTAACAATTTTGATTTTCATGAATTTCAGAATGTGTTCTAGCAGAAAACATATTTGAAAATCTTTAAATTGTTTTTGTAGTCTGACACTCATTCATCCGCCTATATTACCACTGTTTCGAAATGACTGGTTTCGAAGTCTCGAAGTGACGCGAAGCTTGATTTTTGGACATTTTGACCATGTTCAGGAGTCAGGAGCTCGCCTATCAAGTTTCCGATCAATTATAGCTAGAAAACTAGGTATTTTCAAAAAAGTTCTGTAAACGCAAAGTTTTCCATCTAGGTCTGTTTTACACCCTTAAAAGTATTCAAAGTGATCGGAAACTGGACAGATGAGCTCTAGACTCCTGAAAGTAGTTTGAAAATCAACTGAAAAAACTGCATTTTCATAACCTTGGAAGATTAATGTACCTTCCTAAAAGATTGTTTTTTTCAGGAGAATGGAAACAAGGACCACAATCCAACGAAGCTCGACACGTACCTGTAGGCCATGTTCTTCCCGATGCACCAATCCCATCATCACCATCCTTCCCAACCGGACAAAACAGTCTTCCTCACCAGCCACTACCACCAAGCCTTGGCGAGAAAGACCTTAGCAATCCATTTAACTTTTTATACCCATCAAACAAAGTCACACTCCGAAAATTGTTTGAACTAACGAAAGACATCGATTTCGATCTGTTGAAGAGAAACGAGTGTAAAACGAATACGACACTCTCAAAGTATTGGGAAAACTCTCAGCAGTGAGTGTTTTTGAAATAGATTTTTTAAGTGACTTTTGGAATCTCAGGAGATACGTGCCAGAGGATGACAACTGGGAGCGGTTCTACTCACACATTGGAAGTTGTTCGGTGTACTCTGATGACCAACTGATTGACAACCTGCTCCATGACCTTAACACAAGTCCCATAAAACATGTGCACATTATGGATGGCGGCACTCAAGTCAAATTTGTGTTCACCTTCAAAAATGACAAACAGGCGGTGTTTAAACCGATGAGGTGAGTTTAGGAGTTCTTTGGTTGGCGATAATACACCGGAAACAGGCATGTGTGTTTTTTTTCTCATTCTTTATTTTCAGGTTTGGACGCGATTATGAATCGGATCCCAATCATTTCTACTTCAGTGATTTTGAAAGACATCATGCAGAAATCGCAACGTTCCATCTAGACAGGTTTGTTTTGGAAATTGACTAGGGAAAAAACAGGGATTTGTTTGGATTTGTTTTTCGCTGGGAAGATTGATAACTGAAAATCGGAATTTTTGTTTTTCTGATACGGTAGAACCTGTAATAGAAGGGACCCTCTAACATCTGACTTTGAGTTAATTTACCTCAGTTCCTGTTAAAGATAGTAGAAATTTGTTAACTAATAAATTGTTTGTCATCATATCACAAACATTTTATCAGTGGACACAATTTTGATATCTTTTATACATACCGAGATAATTGATGTGAGCTTTAACTTCACAGAACGTTGGCATTTTTATTACATAATTTACGGTATTCTTTTCAGTTGAGGAAGAAAGGGACGGGAAAAAATGCTCAATTTTTAAGATAGAGAACTCTTTTTTTACAAATTTAAATGTCTGAGAACTGATCAAAGGTGTAAAAGACAATATTGCTTCATAAGTTATAGAAACTCGTATTTTTCAGTGGATTTTTGGCAATTTCAAATCTGCAGCTTGGCTGTCAAGTTCGCGATTACTCTGAAAAATTTGGAGAATGCAAAATAGACATAGTTTAAAAAATTTGAAATAAAATAATTTCTTGATAATTCCTAATTTTTATCTCTCTGCTAATTTCTGAATGACACCTGTTTTTTTACGTTATCAGTAAAAACGATCAAAAAAGGATATATTTTAAAAATCGACAAATACCTTAAATAAGGGTTTTTCAAATTCTATCAATGTCAAGTTTCCAATCTAAGTCTGTTTTACACCCTCCTAAATTTTCAAAATTAGCGGAAACTTGGCAGCTGACCTCCAGGCTCTTGAAAATGGTCAAAACGGTCGAAAATCTATTAGAAAATACTGTAATTTTCTAATAAATCTCCAATTTTCAGAGTTCTTGGATTCCGACGAGCCATCCCAACTGTCGGACGAGTCCTCAACATGACTACAGAACTCTTCGAGAAGGCTGAAAAGAAATTGAAGAAGACTTTCTTCTTCTCTCCAGGTACCCGACATTTTTTCTTCCAATTTTTCATCTGATTCTTCTTTTTCAGCCAAAAACTTTTGCTTCGTGTCTCGCTGTGATTATTACTGTGACACAACGCATGCAATCTGTGGTCTTCCGGATATGAAAGAAGGAAGTGTTCAAGTTTTCCTTCCCGATGAGTCTGCAGTTCCACGAAAGCACAATAGGAGTCCTTATAGACGGTAATCTCTTTTGAAATGAGAATTGTCAGCGAAAAATCGGATTTCAGAACATACTCCAAAAAGAATCAAGTCGCCGAGTGGCAATCAAGTATAAGCTATTGTACGGATAAGGTCAAAACCAAGAAACAGTATGCACATGGGCGGCGGCTACTAGATTTAGTAGATATTCATATTCTGGATTATTTGATAGGTAGATATTTCAGAATCCAAAATTTTTAAAATTAAATTATTAATTCCAGGAAACCAAGATAGACACCACTTTGAATCATTCAACGTGTTCACGGATCTCCCATCCTATGCTATCCACTTGGATCATGGAAGAGCTTTCGGTAGATCGGATATTGACGACGACGATATTATTCTTCCTTTACGTCAATGTTGTATCATCCGACCATCCACTTTCAAGACCCTTCTCGACTTCTACGGTTCGCCAAAGTCGTTGACGAAAGCGCTGCACGAGTCTTTATCCAAAGACCCGGCTCATCCGATTCTTGCCTACAAACATTATCCGGCCATGGAAAGGCGATTAAGCAAAGGTGAGTATAGAATGGGAACGAAGGGGACGTTCTGGAGAATTTACACTAATTTGAAAATTTTTCAGTAATGGCCTACATATTGGAGTGCATAGAGTCCCGAGGAGTTTCCGAAGTATTAGTACCCGAATACAACAATCCGGATGTCTCAGATGTTGATCAAAATGATGAAGATCAGAGCGAAGAGCATCAGGACAAGAAAGACGAAAAGAAAACAGTTTAGTCAATTAATTGTTTAGATAGAATTCAATTTATCAAGGTCATGTAGTAGCCATTTTGCAATAATTTTTTTTGTTTTTTTATTCGCAATCCGGGTCCCAAGCTTCTTTCACTTTCTGGTATTAGTTGTATTTTCTCATAATTTTTTTTCGTAGTTTTTTTCTGTCCCAATACTATTATCATCTGCCCCATTTCCATCCCATCTCCCATCGCTCCATGGTTTCTCTCTGGTCAAACATTCATTTATGAGGGTCATATTATGTTAGGTTGAATCATTCGGTGTTCCATCATCCCATCCATCCCACACGAACGAAGTGATTATTTTTCTTTTTTTTTTGTGTAGATTTTATTGTTGATTATTATTGTGATTTTTCTCCCCGTTTTCTCCCCGAAACTTTCTCAACTGCTCTATATCACAAACTTCTCGCCTCCTATCAAAAGGATACAAAATTTACTGGGTACTTTCGAGCATATATGCTCTGTTTCTTCTCAAATCGGTTGTTTTCATTCTTCTTCCTCTTTTAAATTTCAGGACGAATCATAAATGTTGTGATTGAATTTCTTTTTTTGGAAAAGAAAACAAGACAAAAATAGATTCTTCACAATTTCATATAAATCAAATGTCGTTGAGATGGAAAGTCAGATTTCGGTTCTACCGACCTTTCGAGTGTGATATAGCGCCTTTTTTTAGATTTCAATCTTTGGCGGAAAAAATGGGCGGAGATAAACAGAAAACAAACTACGTCATAGGCCGACAACATGGTCCAACACCCACTTTTCGAAAGCTCGAGGGGTCTCCATTTTGTTCGAAATCTATTCAACTGCTGCAAAAATTTCAGAAAAATGTAGCTGAAAGTTTCAGGCTGAAACTATTGGCTGGTAGATTTTAGAGCTAGGTTTTGTAGTGCCCAACTTGGGAACTACCAAACACAGAGTTTCACTAGAGTAGACCACTGGTGAGAAATTTTATGACAACTCAAGTGTCTTAGAAGTGAAATATCGGGAAGTATGTTCAAGTCAAAAATACTTCAAATGAAAAAAAATATGAAATGGGACAGGTAAAATACGTTTTCAAAAGACCTTCAACACTGGGTCATTCTTAAGCATTTTTATGGACTGTAAAATGATAATTTTAACGTACTATATCTTGTAACTTTGTTCTAATAGAACAGTTTTTAGAGTTTCTTAAGCCTATAATACAACTGCAAACGTTTTCAGAGCCAAAATTTTAAGAGTTGGGTCTCGACATTGAATATTTTCCAAAAAAAATCTTTGGAAAACTCGAAGCCTTCTGACCTTTCTGTTATAGAAACCCCCCTGTTTTTAGAGATAGTTCATTCAAAAGACCTGCCAAAAACAGGAAAATGGGCTAAAGTCCGTGAGCTTCCGCAAACAACAGTGTGTAGACCCATGACAATAATTCACAACAAGATGGTGTCAGCAGTTCTGAGTTAGACAAACGTAAATGACAATATAACATTTGTCCCTGAAAATTCCTGACTTTGATATTTTAAGTAGAGTAATTTGTGACGATTGTTGAAATTTCTGCATTAACCCAATTGTATTCGTTTCGAGAAAAATGAGGATTAAGGCCAAAAGTTAAAGTATATTGGCCTATCGAATAAAAGCTGAATGATTTCAGTCCATTCTTCCGTCAAATTATGCCAGTCAGAAAAGAGTACAAAAATTTTAAAATAGTTTGGAAAGTTTTAGCGATGTTGACCTTCAACATAATGTCCTTGTCTGAAAAAGAGTTTTTGAGGGTCAGGACTTGCAGATTTATCTATCCGTGTTATTTCTGGTATATGCCTTGTGCTCAAAATGCATCTGACATTTCCTATGAGATACTATTTTTGTAACTCCAAAATTTGCAGTTGAATAGAATCCAATAATCGGGTTTCCTTTTTACGAGTTTTTTTTGCAAAGTAACATTGTATTTCGGTCTTACTATTAGATTCTTGATTCCCACAAAAAGTTTCTTATGAGGTAATGACCAAAGTCTAATTCCCATACTTGTAACGGGCCGGGCCGGGCCGGGCTTTTTCCCGATATTCGGAGACCCGCCCCGGCGGGCCTGTCATTCCACAAGTTTTGAAAATTTCAAAAAACACATAAGGGGGGACCCTTATGTGATTTTTTTCCATCAAAAATTTTTTTCGAGTTTCTTTTTTGATATTTTTTGATCAAACAGACAAACAATCCAAAAAGCACAAAAAAAGTATAGAAAATTGCATTGAGAGCTCAAAATACGGTTCAAAATGACAAAATTTTTGTTACCAGGCCTTCCGGGCCGGGCCCGGAATTTTACAAGTATGCTAATTCCTGGAATTCATTATTTCATTTTGTGAAACACCAAGTTTCTCGAGAAACAATTCCACAGAATAATTGAACAAATGACGAATCTTTTTCCGTTTTTTTCAGGACCACTGAAGATGATGACAGCAGAGCAAAATCTCGGTTTGAGCAAAAAATGACTCTGTTGTCCTAGAGCGCGTAATTATGAATCATGAAATACGACAATATCCCAAATAAGAGATTATACTTTATGTAAGTTTTCCCAGGATTTAAAGAATGGGGAAAAAACGTTCTTAAGTATTTGAACGGCTTTTCGCCGGATGGTGGATTACGAGTATGGGGTCAGTATTTTTTCTAATGTTTTGAAGAGAAAAAAACAGATCAGCAGAGACTTTGGAAACAGAATTCATCCATCTCTGAGTCCGCTATCCATATATCTTATGGTCAGTTTTTCGTTCTCGTTTTCTGCTTTTTTTTCTTCCTTTTCTAGTCTTCTCGTTAGACACCGCGTTCCTCATTTTCAATTCTACTAGTATCCCACACCCCATTTTCTCCCCCTTCTTTATTTTTTTCTGGATGATTTCATTGAAAAGCGCATGATATTCTAAACATTCAAGATCATCGAAGCGGAGCATCGTGCGTCGAAAAATTATTTTTCCGATGCTATCGCACTCTTTCTTTTCATTTTTTCTTCTTCGTCATTCTATCGTTTGTTCCAAATGGAATATATTCTGATGTGCTTGTGGTTTTCTTCATATTTTGAGTCTCCTCATTCCTACTGTAACTCATGAGCAACTAAAATTTACCATCTTGCAACGCGTAGTACAGAACAACCACCACATAAAACTAGATTCAACAAAAAATCAAACAATATTCCTTTCCAGTTTTCTAGAAGAAAATAACTAGTAATGTGTTTGTGTGTGTTGGTGGTGCTCTTTTTCCTTTTTCTTCGCCATAACAAATGAATGGAACGGGAACGGAGGAAAAGAAGAAATTAAGAGATGAGAAATAATGTATCATAAGAAACTGAGAAATAATTGAATTAACGAACAGTGAAGGAAATTTTTGGAATAGTGGAGGCCAGTCCAGTCGGTATGGCAAAATTATTTATTTTATGTATTTATTGTATGACTTTTTTTGATATATGTTCGTCAATTTTAACCAATTTTTTGTGACGGGAAAGTGGAATTTCGAATCGAAAATTGCTGAAAATCGGATTCTAAGCTGCATAAATAAACACAAAGAATCGGATTTGGAAAGTATGGAAATTTTTCGAAAAACATGACGATATTTTCTAGAGGTTGGGAAACTTGAAAAAATATGCAAAGCTTAGATATCTGGAAATGTAAAAGTGGTTTACAGAATCAGTGCTGCAAGTAAAACTGAAAGTTATTTTTCAGTAACATTTCCAAGTTTTTTCTGATTACTTCTTTTCTGACATTTCACTTTCCGAAATAGATTTTTGTAAAAATATTTTCCCATCCATGTTTAACCCTATTTACTATAAACACCATTTGAATGCGGTCCTTTTTTTTGAGCCCATATATTTAATTTCCTGAAAAAGATGTCCACCCATGGTCAACCGAGAAAATGTTCTTCACAATATTACTAATATTTTATCTGTTGACCATTTTCAGATATACTTCACAGGAACAAAGGTTAATTTGGTTCAAAGTCGAAGGTAATGGGTCGTCTTATCAGAGTTTTTACGGCAATCGGAAAATTGCAAGTGCTAGTCTCTATTTTTATGCTCATAAATAACAACAGTTCAACCAAACAACCCAATTTCCCATTTTTTAGTAAGTTCCAATCTCGAACAATTCCTAGAACTACATGTCTATACTTTGATTATTTGTTCTATTTTCTATTTTTTCAAAGTCTAGACTATTTTGAGTTAACCATAAATCTGCCTATTCATTTTTAAGTCGATTCTAGTAATTCATATTGAGAGTGGGGGAAGAAACATTCCTTAGACTTAAAACTCAGATTTTTTGCGTTTTATGTCACATCTCATTAATTTCCCATCACTCCCATTCATTTTTGCAATTGAAAACTTCATATGTAGTATTTCGTATGGCATTCAAAAAAGAAAAGTACAAATCTCATTGGGATTCTGAATATTTTTTGTAACATTCTGTTACTCACTATCCAGCAAGAAGGGCACCCAAAGATCTCTATCCTTCCTATCTTACTTCATTTCTTATTTCTCTCTCTTTTTAAAGCTCAAACTTGTTTGCTATTCAATTCAATTGAACTCCACGCCGAAAAAAAAACGCTAGAATTTTAATTAATGGGAAAATATGAAGGCGTGTCTGTGTGGTGTGTGGAATAAATTCTAAGCACCATTGCTTTCATTTCTTCCCATTTATTTTTTCACACTTATAAAAGAAGAAGGAAGCTGAAAAAAGGTTCCTAAAAACGTTCAACTTACTGTATTTCCTATTAATTTCCGCTCCTAAATGAGTTCATTCAAATGGTTACTAAGAATTGAAAGTTTTCATTCAAACCTCATTTTTATCCTGGGACTCTGTGACGAGAGTATTCTACTTGCAGCTTTTCTCTGGCGAGCAAATTTTTCATTAGAGCACAAGAAATAGTTTCTGTTCACTCTTAATAAAAAGCGAACTCATCTAGATGTTTCTTTCTTGTTTTTCCATTCTTCTCTTGATATATATTGACCGGCACAGCTAAAAACCACACAACTATACGAAAATGAATTTGACTGAATTCCCATTCGAATTATCACCTGTTCGAAGCCCCTGGAAGGCATTTGAGAATTGTTCACTTTTCTCTTTTATGTGTTTTTTTTTCAAGCTATAACTGTACAACTATACATTTTGCGTTCAGACTGATATCATCTGTAATCTTCTGGGAATAACTATCAAAATTTTCATTTCTATCTCTCTTCTTTCCCAAAAATTTTTTCTGGTAGACTGGAAGAATAATAAAGAGAGAAACTAGTACGATTTTCTTTTCCATTTAATTATCTCTTATGAATTGAAAACATCTGAGACTCGATGCGTTTAGAGTGTAAATAAATTTATGGCATTTTAGGATTTGGGTATATTATATTTTCTTGGAGGTCTGGAGCCAGCCTGGTCATCTGTTTGTCCGGATTTGAAGCTGAATAGAATTATAGCATTCTACGTACTAGTGTTCTGTGTTCTAATCAATTTGAATTAGGCTTCTGTAGCAATTTTGTCATTTTTTGTAATTTTGAATATACTTTTTCGAGATTTCAATGAATTATACTTGCGACTGACTGGGCTGTGCCGAACTGGGCTTCTTAGAGTTTTTTCGGACCACGTTTCCTATAATTTTTTGGAGTAATTTTGCAAAACATTATTATTTTTGTTTTGAAATTTCAGAAAAATTTCAAATTTCAATATCCCGGGCCGGACGTTACTTTTCAAGTATTCTATAAATAAAATAGATATGTTCTAGCTAAATAAATTCCTACCATTCTTGAAATATTCTCAAAGCCAGTTATGACTGTTTTCGTTTTTACTTTGAAAATTAAAAGAGCATAAACGTACTTCCTTCTCCTCGTGGGGATAAGAAAAATATATGGTGGGTGGAACACAAAACTAGATGAAGGAAAAAAACATATAATCACGACACTCAAAACCCAAAATCCTGGCTTATGTTGTCGTTTTTTTTCAAACGCGAAAAAATGAATTTCTTAAAAACTGTAACCAAAAAAGGGGTTTAGAGGTCCTAAAAACTTATTATAACATCATTACAACATCTGTGCGTATTATAAACTTCGGACCTCCGAATTTCTTGACATCTATGTTCTTTTTTGGCACCTTAAATCTAGAAAAAAATCCAAAAAGCCTATCAATTTTTTGGGCATCGATAAAACTGAGTTTAAACTTATTCTCACTACCAACATCTGGTATAATAATAATTATTATTATTGTTATTGTTATTTTCATTATTATTATTATTTGCTCCTTGGCTCTGAAATTTCCACCACAGACAGACACGCTCGTTTTTCTCTTTATTTCTTGTGTTATTGCGTTTTTGCTGAAAAATTGAGCCAGACTCCGAAATGGAAAGTCACTCCAGTGGCAGTGTTAGCAGATTGTTTTGATTCTAGGACCCATTGTTTTGAGAAAAAGATTGTGAGATTCTTCCCAGGCTAGATTTCCAGAATTTGTCATTCATCCACTATTCATTTAATGGATTTCCTTAGTATTGAATATCGGGGGATAGTTGGAAACAGAGATCTTGAATATTTTGAAAGTTTCAGACTCTGATTTTTTTGTTTTAATCTGGAAATTCAAAAAGGCAGGTGTTTGTTTAGGATAATTGGGTTCTTTTCAAAAGTGATATCATTTTTGTTCAATTTTTCATGAGAAAAAGTTTGCAAACGAGGAACATGAATTGTCCCCAAAATTTACATTTTCCCATCGATGAATACCAATTATCCAGTAGACGTCTGGTCACTTTCAGAAGACGAGATGTTTTCTAATTTTCTTTTTTTCTCGTTTCCTTTTGTTTTATGTCGGTTTAGCCTAGAATTAAAGGTTCTATGAGCAAAAAAAAAGACCTACATGCCTCTTTAGAATCTCTATTTTGGTTTTAAGAGAATAGGGGTACTTGATGACAAATTTCTACATTGCCCTTTTCTGTGTTTGTCATTTATATTGAGACATAAAGAGAATTCTATTAACGTTTTCTGAGATCAGAGTTTAGTATGTGGTCTATAAATTTAATTAGCCAGTTATAGAATTTTTTATGGAAATCGGATTCGAATATTTACAATTGTAGACAATTTTGCTATAATTTTATGAAAATGTGTTAAGATTATTGGAACATCAAAGGAGGATTGCAACCAAAACTTCTTTGCCTCAAAATTTGTAGAAAAGATGTAGATTCTCATAGATCCAAAGAAAATATTTAATAAATTAGAAACAAAAAGTGACTCAAAATTTTCAGTTATAAAAAATAAAAATCTACGAAAATTGATATGCTAAGGTTTTTGAAACAATTTTTCGAGTTTTTGTTTTTTTTTTAATTTTTCTTGGTTGCTATGTAAATCCACATTTTTTTTTCTTGGTTGCTATGTAAATCCACATTTTTCTACACATTTTATGTAATAAAAATTCCTGTGACCTTGAAGTACTAATACGTCACTTTAAAAAATTCTTCCAAACCCTTTATGAACTCCATAAACCACATTTCTAAAAGTTCCATTTCGGGCGGAACCGTCGAAATTTCTAATTAAAGTCATTTCCATTATGATGAGACACGAGCAAATGCTGATCCTTGCGACTTTACGAAAGTACGTATCCGTTTTAATTTTCATATTTTTCTTCCAAAGCGAACCAAGAAGCTAATACGATGGGAAAATTTTCAACATTTCGTTTCGTGTTTGTTTCCTATCAGAAAAACATATCAGAAAAATTTTTCATAAACATTCAAGTAGTGCTATTTTTGATCTCTAAATATTTTTTCTGCTCACATTAACAAGAATTGTGTTTTTGATGAAAACTTTCAATATTCAATATTTCTTACTAGGAAACATATCCAGATCATAAGCTCTGGCATATTCCTTATCCTTGACATGACACTGATACTTTTTCCCCATAAGGAAATTAGGTTTTGCCTTTCACTTCTCCCATGACGTGGGTAGCAATAAAATTTGATTTCGGGGCTTTTTCGGCCCAAAAATTTGTTCGAAAAAATGATGAGACGTCTTGTCAAAAAATTTTTTCGAAACATTTTTAGGATAGAGAACTTTGACTTCATCTATTTTTCAAGATAATTTATGACTTATTCATTCGAGTTTTTTAGTTTTCTCAATGTTTAAAAAAAACTTGTAGTCTAACCTAAGAAGTGGGTGACCCATTTATTTTGTTTAGTGATGTGATATTTTGAGTTTAACATTTGAAATATCAGAAGGCACCTGCCTGGAACAGGAATCGTTTTAAAAAAAGCCCTATTGACTCTTATTTAATATTCCTGTATTAATGGAATAATAGAAAGTTCACGACTTATGAATACGTGAATTTAAACAAGGCATCATGAAAAATCCAAAAAAGTTTCTTGAATTTTATCAGTTGTTTTTTATCTGATCCCTTCGAAGATTATTTTTTGTATGTTTCCGATTGTTTTTCGAATTCTCCGTTAAAAAATATGTCGTAAGGTTTCAAATTCACAAAACAACTTCCCAGCGTAGGTGTTTGGATTCTTTTGCTTTTCATTCTGTTTTTAATCATTATAATCTAATTCTTATCATAAAAATATTACAACTAGATTTTCCTAAAATATTCATCTCTCAAAATGATTTCATTCTTTTTTATCTCATTGAAATAAGTTTCTACATTTTTTCTCTCATTTTCCTTTTTATTTGACCCATCATTGTTTCCTACTATGTTGTTTTCAGGGTGATGAAGATACCCGATGTGTTGGAAAACCTTGAAATAACAGAGCAAAACTTTCTGATAGTACTATGTGCTACCGTGGTCATTGTTGTGTTATTTGTGTCGTTTCTGTTGATCAAAGGCAAAAATAAATTGAATTGGTGAGAGAATTAAAAAAAGAAAACTGAAAATAATTATTCTTTATTGAAGGTACGATCAGAATGTGCTTGATATGGGACAAGTCCCGACACATCGCAGATGCACCACAATTTATAGAACAAATACAGATGACACCACCACTGAACAGTAATAATTAGGTTCGAAATTTGCAAAATCATAATTTTTGGAAATTCCAGAAGACCTGAAGGTTTACAGTCTACAACAAATATTCCAAAGGGTGATCTTTCCAATTTATTTATGATTCCAAAAGCCAAAAAAGGAGCCAGGAGCATGTTCTCCAATCTGCATCAAAATCAATTTGACAGAGGACTTTATCAGTTTCCCGTGAGTTCAAATTTACATTTTGAATATACAGTACAGTTTGATTTCGATCATTTTGAGTAGTCTGGAGCTCCGTTGTCGAGTTTCCGAAAATTTGTACATTCTGGGAATTGTAAAAACGACCTGTATATTCAAATTTTGCATTCACAGAATTTCCTGGAAATTCTTAGTTTTTCAGTTATTTGCCTATTTTGAAATCGACTGAAAAATACGTTTTTTATATCCTACAGTATATGTTTGCGCCTTATGATTCATTAAAAAACTGCCTTTATTATTTTTAGACGGGTGACGAATCAGCATGTAGTTCAGTGACCATGGCCGCAGTTGGCTCAATTCAGTTGAGTGTCAGTCATGATGTTAACTTGAATTTATTGACCGTGACAATCGTCAAAGCAGTGGATCTGCCGACGAAAAGAGAAGACGATCTGCCGAATCCATTTATGAAAGTTTCATTGGAGGTGAGCAGAATTTAACAAGGGAACCCCAACAGCCTGTGAACCTAAATTTTGATGGAAACCTTAGGTTAAGAAAAGTCTGAAAAAGTTCACAGTTTCAGTAAAAAAGGAGCGATTTTCAAAAACAATTTTTCAATTTTTATTACTTTTCAGTATATGAAACTTGTTGTGTTATATTTCGAATTTTATGAAATTCACATTTCAGACATTTTCTCAGAAAAACTTTTTTTTTCGATCCGGAAATTTCCACCAAAATCTTGCCCTTGTGAAGCTTCAAATTTGACTTTTTTTTCAGATTCCTGATTCTAAAAAACCAAATGTTGATCACCAGACAAAGGTGTACAATGGAACGGTATCACCACAAATAAACGAAGATTTCTATTTTTCTGTGAGTCTTTTCATTTATTTTTGAAGGGTTGAACTATGTTTTGATTCTCTATTTTGCTTTAGGTTACCGCCCAACAAGTCAGTACATGTCGATTAGAAGTGATGGTCTACGACTATGATCAGTTTAGGTAATCTTTGAGATTTTTAGTTCCTTGTTATCACTACATATTTTTCAGTGTCGACGAATGTGTTGGCTACTGCTGGTTAACACTCGGCAGAATAAATGAGCACTTCGAGCACGACGTCCCTACTCAATTCTGGGCGGAAGTGCTTCCTTATGAAGATGGCGAAAATGTGAGGAGGGGAAATAATAAAATGAGTAAATGAAATACTATGTTTATTGCAGAAGGGATACGGACAAGTCCTTTTTGCACTGTCCTATCTCTCACATGCCCAACGGCTCACAATGAACATTTTCAAAGTTAGAAACGTGCGGTTTAGAAATGGAGGAAGTGAGTTGCAGAGGAAACTGGAGCGCAACATGATTTGGTTTCTTTTCAGATGTGGCCCTTCGTGTCACTCTTTTGGACGGCGAAGAGAAACCACTGAAAAAGAAGAAAACTAGCCAAAAGAAAGCGGCTAGATCTGTGCAATTCAATGAATGTCTGACATTTTCAATCCCAAAACACACTCTATGTGAAGTGTTTCTTACTGTAGAGGTAAGCAGAGAAGAATAAATCATTTTCTAACATGGGAACCGTAAACTCGGATTTTGACAAAACTTCAGGATAGGTTAGAATTGCCTATCTAAACATCTCCGAAATTCTTAGAATCGCATTTTTACAGCCAAAATGACAATTTTCAGAGATAATTTTTTTAACTTATAGGACATTTCATAAAATGAAAGTTGTTGTGTTACATATGGAATTAATTGAATTTTCATGGATCAGACTTGGGATGTTTGGAATGGCCTTTTGGCAATTTTTTGGAATTTAGAAAATGCAGAAATTTTAGAAATTTCCGATTTTCAAAATGTCGGAATTTAGGAATCCCCAAATAATCAGATTTTGAAAAATTCGAAATTTTGAAAAACTTTGGGATTTTTAAAAATTCAAGTTTGAATGGATAATCTTTATTTCCGCATCATAAAAACGCAAAAAAGTGAATATTGATAAAAAATTTAAGAAAAAAATCAAAAATAAATTTGTTCGAAATTAGCAAGAAAATTTTTCGCGTGCGCCTTTGACATACCATAATCCAAAAATCTCTGATCCGAAAAAAAAATCTTCAAGAATATTTTAGTAATAATATTCGAAATCATCGAAATTCTAAATTCCGTTCCGAACTTCCCTGGTTTCAGGCATGTTTTCGAAGAATACATTTTTTAAATTTTCAATTTTGTTCCGTGGGAGATTTATCCAAAAACTTAAAAAAGTGGATAAAATGTATGTGAAATCTAAAAAATCTAGTTTACTACAACGAATTCAATGTTCTAAAACGTCCCAGAAGTTGAGATTTTTGGTATTGAAACTGATATAACTCGGCTGAAACTGGCCGGTAGATTCTAAAATTTTACGGGGTATGTTATTCTTAACCGTGATCTTCAAGATCTGAGTTTACAAGCTTTTCAAGTTCTATTGTAAAGTCTCAGGATTTGAGTCCCTCATTCCCTCAAAAATAAATTTGGTTCTCATTTCAGCTCATCACCGAAACGGGCACATTCGGAATCGCATCACGCACTCTGTCCCGGATGCAATTACCGCTGCACAAGTTTGTTTCATTCTTTTCCTATTTTTTTGCTCTCTTCCTTCAAACTATCCTTGTCAATGTTTGGTCACCTGTTTGAGCTTTTCAGGTGTAAAGACTTGTGGAGAGCAATTATCCGTGAAGAGAAATCGCAGGCGCGGTGGTATCCGTTTGAACAGCCATGAAGAATCGTTTTTTGGGAATTGTGAGGCGTGGAAACTTATCTGATGGATCAGTTCTGTATCAAAGTTTTTATTTAATGCTTGTGTATTTGTGAATGAAATGAAATTTCAACTGGATAAATACTTTGAATTATTTCAAAAAAAGTTATTTATTTGAATAAAATTATTTTACAAAACCAAAGATTGCAGAAAACATAATCTCGAAGAGAAACCCTACATCATAGATCACTGCAAAGTGCTTCATAAATAAAAAATAAGTAGAAAAAAAGAAGAGGATCACAAAGTAACACAAATTAACTTAATCGGAGAGCTAGAGCTATGACAAATCTTTTTCTTCTCATCCCGAACAGTTTTGTGAAACCAATTATATCCTCTTCTCAGCAAAACACAGATTTTCGCAAGCTTTCCATTATTCAGTGCTCCTCGTTAACTCGTCTCCTCTAGTTTCCGATTCGGAAACAAGTAATCTAATACCCTCTTCCACGTTCTCTGTCATGTGCTGATCTTCGGAATTTTAGAAGAAATGGAATCCTTCGAAAAGTTTTAGAACTGATCTTTGACTCCAGGTGTGCTGATGTCGCACGGTCGTAGTTCAAAAAATTGGTTGGAAATTCAAAAAATTGGTTTAGAGAGGGATAAAGACTTTTCGGGGATAGAGGATAGCAGAAAAAAGGTGTGAAGGGCAAACATTGAAGCAAAATTGTTTGATACTTTTTCAGCAGTCTGTGCAAACAATTGTTCAATTAGATTCACACTCATTTAGTCCCAATGGCGGCATCCCGAATGGTCGTTCTTCTTTTTCTCATTTTCACAGTAACCCATGCAACGGACTGTGTTGATTTGCTGTCGACATGCGAGAGTCTTCAATCGATCTGCATTGGAAGCATCCTGCAACACCATTTTGATCTTATCAGTGATCTAACGTCCCAGTTGAATGAGTAAGAAGTTCAGATAGTTTTCATATTCAGAGATTCAAATCAAAATCCCATTATAGGAAATTTGCGTATAATTTCAGCTCAACTATTCCTGCTCTGGAAAGCTCTTTACCACAGGTCCAGTCTGATTTACCTCTCGTCTTGGGAAGTAATGATGATGGATCGTCCACGGCGTCCGCTGTCGAGGGATCTGGAACAACAGCTTCTATTTTTGACGATGAAGCGTTGAAGGTAATAATTGGATTTGTATTTCGAAAGATGTTTGGTATGGGAGCAAATTCACAAAATTTTTTGGCAGATTCAGATTTTGTGAAATGTACATTAATGGGCAATATAATTTTTTTTGAAACCTATTTTTCAGTAAATTTCCGGGAAAAAAAATTTCAGGAGTCTAAAGTTCGACTGTCAAGTTTCCAATCATTTTGAAAATTTTGGAGTGTTCGAAACAAATTTAGATTGAAAACTTTATATTCACAAATATTTCTGAAAATTCCTAGTTTTTCAGCTATTTGTCGGTTATTGAAAGACACCCTATTCGGTCCGTTTTTTACTGAGAACTGGAAAAAAGCAAATAATTCAAGTCAAAAAAGCGAAAATGGGCTGTAAAGGAGTGCCCTTCAAACATGGCTGAATAGCTGGAAAACTAGGAATTTTTGAAAAATTCTGTCAATGCAATGTTGTCAATCTAGGTCTGTTTAACATTCTCCAAAATATTCAAAATATCGGAAACTTGACAGCCGTGCTGAAAACTTCTGAAAGTAGTCAAAATGGCTAAAAACCAACTTAAAAGACTTTTTTTGTGTATCTCAAAGACAGATCTTTTAATTTTCTGAAGAAATCCCAAACTATCAACTTTTCCAGAATGCTCTTCCTCTTCTCAAAGAGTCTCTTCCCTTGATTCGCGAGTCTCTACCTCTCATCCGCGAATCCCTCCCATTGATCCGCCAGTACTTGGATCCACTAGTTGGTAAAACTGCGTGTCAAAGAAAAGCGACATGTAAAAGTGAGTTTCAAAAAAGTTGCGTTTTTGCACTTAAAATCTCGTTTCCCTCAGGTTGTAAGGATTGCCCAAAACTCCGCGACTCCATAATTGACTTTGTCGAAGCCCTGTGCCCCAACACGTGCAAAGTTTGCACAACTGGATGTAAGCTCTTTCCTAGCAGCTTCTCATTTTACCATCATGAATTTTTCAGCTGACCTTCTCGCCTCGTCAAATGCCCTGAGCGCTTATTTCTCCTAGAAAGTTCTTCTTTTTTTTCTAGTTTTGCTATTTTGTGGGATACTGGGATGACGATGGGAAAAAAGTGTTGAAATAAACTTCTTCTCTGTGTGTATGCATACGTCTTTTCAACAAGAATCTTTTCAGAAACATGCATTTATTATTTTTCCTTATTCGTTTTAACATTCTAATCCGCATGAATTTGACTACACACTATTATAATTATTAGTATAAATTACAGAAGCTCGTCAGAGAAAAATAAGGCTCTCTCTCATTTAACAACGGGATGTTCGAACAAGAATGTGTATAAGGGGGATATGAACTACTTTTTGTCAGGAAGTGTCAATATCTTAGTGGGATGAAAAAGGTATGGTCCTAGATACTAGAACTATGAGAAAAAACAAAAAAAAAAGAGAGAGAGAAGGGTACCAATATGGTAAAAGCAAAGAAATTCTCATCAATATGATGAAAGAAGTTGGCACACGACGTCATCTAGCAATGCCAAGTTTGGAAAACAACGGTTTTGGCGTTTCCGTCCTCATCGGCCCACATGGTCCACAATTTGTTGGCGATGGAAGCGTCCAAAACAATCTTGTTGTCTTTGGCAACCGTTTTGAATGGTGAAAACCCGAGGCTACAAAATTTCTGGATTATTACGTTTAGTGGGGATACTGTATCGGTCAATGAGATATAGAACAACGTATTTTTCAGTTAATTTTGGTGATTGTCAAGAGTCTGGAACTCGGCTGTCAAGATTCCAATCGCTTTGAATATTATGGAAAATGCAAAACAGACCTTGATTGAAAATTTTGCATTTACAGAGTTTCCCGAAAATTTTTCAGCTACTTGCAGATTTCGGAAGATATCTGTTTTTCGACTCCGCGTCACTTCAAAACCACGACACATCGAAACCAATCATTTCGAAATCGATCACATCGAATCCGTGGTAATACAGGCGAATGGATAAATTTCAAACAATAAAGCATATTAAAGTTTTCAAATATATAACATATTTCTGATAGAACACATTCTGAAGTTTTGTAGTAAAGCGGAGCTGTTATTTTTCACGTTTTTACAACAGAAACAAGACAAAAAGGGTGTCTTTCACTATTTGGTAAATATCTGAAACCTTCGAATTTTCAAAAAGCCTTGTGAATGCAAATATTTCAAGCTAGGTCAGTTTTACTTCCTTCAAAGTTTTCAAAATAATTGAAAACTTGAATAACCGAGCTCCCAACTCCTGAAAATGCCAAAAAATTTCGAAAATCAACTGGAAAATACGTTGTTGTATATCTTATTGACCGGTACTGTCGCGTGCGGACGTTTCAGAACACTACGTTTTGAAACCACGACGTTTCGGAACTCGACATTTGAGAACCCGACATTTCATAATCCGACGTTTCAGAACCCGGTGTTTCATGTTCTGAATTGTCGAGTTCTGAAACGATGTGGTTCAGAAACGTCTGGTTCTAAAACTTCCAAGAGCCGGTATTGTATATGTCCACCGTACCTAACAGTTTTATGGATCAAGTCCATCTCGACAGCATTTCCGAGTCCCTTTCTGCGATGATCCTCGAAAACGTACTGGTTGTTGAAGAACCCGGCGGGGTCGATCATCTCGAATGCAACCGGCTTACCGTTGAAGCGGACGCACGACGAAGGTAATCGAAGCAATTTGGCCCTGGAGAATGATGTGAATATTCAAACAGATATCTCTCAAGATACAACGTCATTTGTTGTTCTCCCCGTTTTCTTTTCCCTTCTCTTTCTGTGAGATTCGGGGAATCCCCCGAATTTCTTATGAAACTTGGCTGTGTCATGATAAAAATACACATAATCTTTGAAGATTGGAAAATCTCAACGGATGGTCAGCAAAAACAAATAAACACTTTAAAACAGGCGGATGATGAAACTTTGGGAGGAAGATTGAGGAATTTTAGATTCCTCTGTTTTCCCCACGTCATTGTTTCACCTTTAGCCCTCTCTCCCCCACAATTTTGATCTTTGTTCAAACTTTCTTCCAATACTTACATTGTTTGTTCGAGATCTCCGGCGCCCGCGTGTTTCCAAGTGCCGTTAACGATTTCAGCCTCCTCAGTGGGCTCAATCTGAAACAAATAATATTAATGAAGCTTTTCAGATGCAATTAGGGCTTACCTCGTCGTAGTAGTATCCGTTTGGCACATTTGGCAATGGGGTGGTCATGGCAAGAGCTTTTTGGTTCTCGGTCATGTAGAACAGAGAAAGTCTGAGATCGGTGTTGGTCCAGTCGGTGGAAGAGAGGCGCATGGCGACTCCATACTGGAATGAGGAAGATTTATTACGCGGGAAAAAAAAATTGGTTTTTTTTTTTCGAAACAAAAATCCCACACCGCCACTACCAGGAAGTGAAAATTACCGAGAGAAAAACACCTGAAACGGAAAATTATGGCTCAGGAGACATATGAATGTATGAATTCATAAGAGGGTACAACACCCACCAAGAGTCCCAAGAAAAGATATTTTCAAAAACAACAAAAAAGGGACATCTCGGGTGTTTTTTTTGGACCCGTCTTGTGGATTCACAACAATTCAATTCTATGTATCTTTTTTTGTTTTCCAAAGCGAACCATTTTAATGAGGTGTTCCTCGGCAATCACAAGATGAGGTTGACGCTTGGCGCCGAATACACGTGTTCTGAGCAGATGAAGGTTCCGGAATGAGCGATTAATGAGGATAATGTTGGGACTTACCGGAATTCATTGATGAGGTCGATGAGCTCAAGACGGTTCATGCTGGTTCCGTTGACTTGAGCGAGAGCAAGAGTTGGCCTAGAGAATGTTGAACGTTGACACTAGGGAAAAGACAAGAAAGAAAGACAAAAACAAACCCCGAGTAGACATATTATATTCTGTTTAATGGGAAAAGAATGAGATGCTCGAATTTCCTCTTTTTTATCTTTGAAAGCTGACAAAAGTAATAGAATCCCCTTAAAACTTACTTGATGTACTCGTTGTTCTTGAACATGAAGAACATTTTTGGATGGGAGAGATTCGGGTAGACAAATACGCGAACTGGGCTTTCCGGGAAGCTAAAATTTGGTTTTTTTTTTCAATTAGATAGCATTGTCATTAAGAATTTCAATTTACCTTTCCTCCAGTTGAGTATGAATCGAGAATGGGAAATAGATGGTGTTCACATAGCGCGAGCATTGAGCCTGAGCTCTGCGAAGATTCTCTCGAGTAGTGATTTCGATAAGCGTGGCCTTCATTCTGACTCGTTCAGTAGGGGCTGAAAAACGACGCGATGAGTGAGAGGAATGAATGCTCTTTGAAAAAGAAAGGTCCGTCAGCACAAAAGAAGAGAGAGAAACTTTAGAAGAGCATCTTATCCAAAATGATGAGTTAGAAAAAGGTGGAGAGAGTGAGAAAAAAGGCAGCTGTGTGTCGCCTAGAATAAAGAAGAAGCGAAGATCCATTGAAGGGGGCGTGTCCTTCCTCCACCCCTTAGAATGTGTTGGGGCGGTCGGAGCGCAGAGGCGTTTTTTGAATAAAAAAGTTGTTCTTTCTTCTTTTTTTTTGCAGGAGAGAATGGCGGCAAAAAATATAAAAGAGGAGTTACAGCAGTTTTTCCTTTCTAAAAGCTCTCAGATTTTTCTAGAAGCTCACAGCTGAGAAAAAGAAAAAAGGAAGGAGTCAGAACATACATAACAAAAATGGGTGGACCCCGCCGCGCCGAGGGCCCTCCCCGGCATTTTGCCCTCCGCGTTGGGTTTTGTGCAATCTTTGAAAAACAGGCGAGAGAGAAGAAACGCATGCTCTCTGCGTCTGAGGAAAGGCACAAAAAAAATAGTGCTCGGTTCGATGAGATGGCCGGATAATTTGGATGGTGAGTAGATGAGAAAGAACAGGAGAGAGTGAGAGGTGTAGAGAAATTGGGGGCTTTCCTCCGGATTTTCGTTTCATCTTAGCCGTTCTCTCGCTTTTGCTGCTCCTCATTTTTCCACGACATACCCTATTTTCTCAACGCCACCCCAAACTCTACCGTGATGGGATAAGTGAAAGAGAGAGAGAGGGAGGGAGGGGAGAGAGCAAATGGATCTTTGCAATCGGGTTGGTCGACACAGGAGTGCGAAACAACGTTTCTCTCGTGTTCTGTATTTCTCTCTCAATTTTTGACAAAAGATTGCGTCTTGTCTTTGAAGATGAAAATTCTTCTCTTTCGGCCAAAAGGCTCGGTGAGCTCTAGTCTTTAGACGTAGAAGAAGAAGAAGAAGAACACAGTGAGAAAAAAAGAAGAAGATGGTTGAGAAGCGAAGAAGAAGTAGAAGAGCCCACCAGAGAAAATAGCAAAAAAAGAAGAAACGAATAAAAATGACAAGGCACAGCAAATTTCGGTGAAAAATGTTTTTTTTGCTTTTTCTAAGCAATCCAGGAACTCTTTTTTCTCTCTAGATGTGTTGGAACTATTCACCTTCGAGGGAATAGAGGAATAATAGAAACTGGATAATAGCAACGGACCAAAAATGAAGGAGAAAAATAGATCTTTGAAATGATCATATAGATGGGTTCTAGAACACACCACCACACCACAAATACAAATAAGGTCCACACGCTATTATCCACTCTGGCTCAAAAAACAAACGAAGCATGAACTCTAAAGTATAAATGTGTTTTCAAGAGGCTTCTAGAGATGTGTCTCCAGGTTCTTAGAAAAGAAAAGTTGGAACAAATGGATATGACCAAAGACAGTGATAAATAATTAGGGTTGTTCACTGAGCCAGACGTCATTCGGGATGAGAAATAATAAGAGAGATATGACAATAGAGAGATATGAAAGTACAGAAAGAAATCTGTCTTTTATGAATCATATAAGAATAGTAATAGGAATTCGTCCTTGGTCATTGGCTACTGTAGGTATTTCATAATACCGGTCACCTTTCATCTTGCTTGTCTCTATTGCTAATAACTAATGACGTCACTCGTCCAAGAGAACACATCTTCTTTCTATTGGGATTGTACACCTTGTGGGAATCTTACAATAGCTGTTGGGGTTAATTAAACAGAAATATTTTTTACTCTTATACTAGGAATGCTAAGAATTTATTAGGAATAAAATATTTCGGATCTCTGGGGTATCAGGTTCCGGCTATGAAAATAAAAAGAACTAACAACAACTACCAAAGTTTGGAGCTCGGAAATGCTTTAAAAAAAATACGGAAACACGCTTAAAATCCTCAACTAAACTCTTCAATACGAGTCAGAGCAACATCTCTCACTCAACTTGAATATCTTATTCCAACTGTTTGCCCGAAGTGAGCGGAATTGGGGAGTGTCGTTGTTCGGTTAGCAATAACCTTTAGATTGAGTAAAAAAGTATTAGCCCTAAGCAATTAAATTCAAAAAACTCATTTTGACCAGAGCAACAGTTCGCACCAAACTTGAATATCTATTTCAAATTGTTCACGCGCAATGTGCGGAATAGCGGAGTGTCGTTGTTTGGAAAGTTTGTTAACCTTTAGAAGGGGTGGGAGGTACTTGACACAGGTAACTGAATTAAAACAACTGTTTCTGGAAACGGCTTCTAGAATAACTCACAAGAATGAAAAAAGAATGACTCTTATGTTTTTTGTTTGTTTTTTGGAGGTGTGACAAGAATACAATTCCTAGGTAACAAAGGCTTACACCATACAATGCTTATTAGTCATCAAATCTTAAGATACGAAAAAAAATAGCAACCACGAGGATATGAAAATGCTTCTCGTCTAGTCACAAGACTATCTATTCACTAGGTAATCCTCAGTATGAGAATAGAAATTACAGATGGGAATAAAGTCATGTTTTTTGTCTCCGCATGGAACCAGAAATTCAAAATTTTAAGAGCTAAAGTTTGTTTTTGTTGAAAAAACCGAAAAATCACGAATATGAGCCTTAAAACAATTAAAAAAAGAGAATTAAAACAATCTCATAATTTTGTCTGTACTAATTATGAAGGAATTTTCAAAATATTCAGATTTCTTCACTGAAAATGTCATAGACTAATAAATGTCGAGCCACAAAAAATTTGAAAGTGAAATACACTTTCAAAAAAGTTGAACTCTTGGACTAGAGCCGTCGGAGCACAAAAATGGAGTACCCGGGAAAGGAGATGTGTGCGCCTGGTTTTTAAAGCTTTGTACTTTTAGTGGTTTCAGCTGAAATATGCTTTCTTACTAGCTTGCAGGTATTTTTGAGTTAGTGATATAACGTATTCCTCAAAAATTGAGTTGAGCAGGTTTTTTCGATTTTTCGGTTTTCAAAATCTGTGATTTGTTTTTATTTTTCTCTAAAACCAGAGTTCTCAAGAATTCTTTTTTCTTACAAAAAATTTAATTTTGAATTCAAATCTATTTTCATAGAATAAAAATTTTGAAATTCCCACCACATTCATTCCAATGATTTTTAATAAATAAAGTTCAGCAAAAACAGTTTCCAGCTCTTTCATCAAACATCATATCCGAAGGAAGTGTTTTGCAAGAAACACTTTTTTCCCGTGGAATTCCTTAGAAAAATCTTTTTAATAACTTTCTGTTCACTGATCTCCGAACAATGCTACGGTTTCTGTTTCATGTTTGCAAGAGTGACGTACAAGATCAGAACTCAGCGAGTAAACACCTGGAAAAAAGAAGAAAAAAAAGAAGAAGCAGTTTGAAAACCAAAAGATGTTTCGAAAACTAAAGACTAGTCAATCACGAGGAGGAAAGTGACAGAACGGAGAGTCATAGCTAACCTTTCATTTTTTGGAGAGCTTTCTGGCAAATCCGGGAGCGAGGGGCTGGCAGATTACCAAGAAAAGCTGAAGAAATAGTGTTTTAACAACTCATGATCTACTGAATAGGATGAAGATAACAAAACAAGATTACCAAAGGACGGGAAAGCGTAAAGGAACTAAAAGAAGGCCCCGTCAATCTTCTCCCTTCTTTTGGTGACGTCGGCACTTCTCGAAGGGGTTGAAACGAATTTACTGTATGATTCCTGTGTACCCTTCTCCTTTTATACTTGCTATCTTGATTCCATTTTTTTCACACTTTCAAAGGACGATGGAGCCTTATTTGAAATGCTTCCAGCTCTTCAGCAATGAACAATTCAGACAGCATTCTTTTAGCATTTTGAAAATTGATGCCAAAGAAGGATTACCTGGGAATGTGAACCTTTGTCTAGCAATGAAAAGTCAGCTCGTTGACTAGGGTGGATTACTGATGTAAGTTAACCAGCTTTTTTCACAGCTTAAAAAAGTAGACTGGAGGGAATGCAAACGTAGTAAATTCATAGTAAAATAAATTTTGGTGTTCTAGAACTTCTTCTCTCTTGGTCTTTTATACTCAGTTTCTCCAGTTTCTCATAAGCGTCGTGGTTCAAAAAACCAACAAAAAAAGATCGATAAACAGGAGGTGGCGTCGTTCTTATTGTAACTGATCGTACGACAAATCTTTCGCTTTACAGTTAAACTGTTTAAAATTTTACAGTTAAACTGTTTAAACTGAAACACATCGGGGAATGAAAAATTCGATTTTATGTGAAGAACCTATTTTTTAATGAAATGAAAATGAGAATATTTTTATTATATTGGAATTACTTATCTCTTGACCAATATAAAAAATTTCAGGTCCATGGTATGTAGATTTTTCGAATTTGGTAGTTTTCGTTTCTTTTTTGAGATCTTCAAGACAATAGTTGACTCTGAAAACAAATTCCGTATTTGCTCTAATAGAAACCGCACGTATATTTCAATTTTGAGCTCAACTATCTCAGTTTCTTCAAAAGGTATCCATAATTTTTCAACTGATAAATTGATTATCATAGTATCACCGATACTTTAAAAGTTGACGAATATCCGATATCTCTAAAACTAACCAAGATAATTGAGTTCAAAGTGCATGTATGCTATAATCCACTTTTTCCTGAAAATGAACATTCTGAAAAAATACGTTTCTTTTTTTCAAAATTCGAACTACATTCAGTCAAACATTGTGATCTGAATCTTCTGATTGAAACAATCAAACTACGAACCCAAATATTATCAATCGTAGAGAAGATCAGAAACAGTTCAGAACATCAAGGACAGAATTTCTGCGCATCGGAGAACAGAAGGTGTGAACTGTGAATCGGAACTGGCAGATTACGTGCAAAAAAGACCCCAAAGACAGCAGAACTGTAGAAACGGCGTGGGTTTCCAGTGGGTACAACAAAACATTGAAGGCGATAAGGAATCACTTCAAACTACAAACATCGTTTATGTTGCATTTCTAATACCGTATCGGTTCAACAGATAATACTATATTTTTCAGCTGATTTACGGTCATTTCGACTATTTGTTGAAAAATCGAGAGTGGATGTAAAACTTCCGATCATCTTGAAAAGTTGGGAATGTGTAAAACAGACCTAGATTGAAAATTTCGCATTCACAGAATTTTTTGAAAATTCCTTATTTTTCAGTTTTTGCCGGACTTCTGAAAGACACCCCCTTTTGGCCCGTTATTGTACTGAAACCGTGAAAAAAAAAACAAGAATCGGCAATTAGCTGACAAACTAGAAATTTTCAAAAAAAAAATTTGTGAAGGCAAAATATTTAGTCTAGATCTGTTTTACACTGTCAAAGAATTTGAAAGTGAACGGAAGCTTGGAATCCAGTGATCCACACTTTTGAAAAGGTAAAAAATAGCCTATAATCAACTAAAGAATACGTTTTCGTATAATTTACTCACTGGTACTGTATGTTGGAGGACAAATACGAGCTACTCTCGAAAAAAGAAGCTGTTCGAAATTCCATACTAGTTTTCAATACCTAAACTCTTTCTGAATTGAATTGTGACAGTAGCTGGAAAACTAGAAACTTGCGAAAAATTCTGTAAAGGCAGTTTTTAATCTAAGTCAATTGACACCCTCTAAACTTTAAAAAGTGATCCAAATTTTGACTGTCAAGCTTCGGACTGCTGAAAATGGCCAACGTGGCCGAAAAGCAATCAAAAATTGTATATTGACCGGTTCTGTATGAGAGATGTCACAATGGCAAATAGATTTGAAAGATTACTGACTGGTACTGTTTGTAGTAGATGGAAGACAAATTCAAGCATTACTTTCTAAAAAAGTCGCAGTTTGAAATCTCATGCTAGTTTTCAATAAATATTCACAAGAATTCATTGGTAAAACTCTTGAGCAAATTTCAGTGTTACAAACAGGTGATTCTAGGGACGAGTTAAGACTTGAAAAACTTAGGGAATAGAAATTGGGGGAGAAAATAATAAAAAAAGAAAAAAGACCATGGACTTGAAAAATGATAATTTAACAAAAAAGGAAAAGCTTATGGAGATTCACATTTCATGAGATTTGTCAGCCAAAACTGGTTCCTGAAACTCTTTGGGGGTGACTGTCTCCAGAATCCTCACCAAAATAGAACGAATCTCCTTTCTGGGAACCTGAAATTCATAGTGCTACGTCAAAGTTTTAAATCATGAATTCATACCACATTTGTATGAATTAGATCTCCGAGTTCCGAAAGCTGCTCGTTCATATAATCCAGCGAGTCACCAAGAATATTCCCATGGATTTCATCAAGTGGCTTAATGAAGCATTCCGTGAAATCACGGAGACATTTGACGAGTGGAAGGAAGTTGGCACCCGAGTGGAAAGAAGTCGCGGGTTCCCCTTTTCCTCTGATAGCCGTGATTGCATTCACAATAAAATCATTACATTCAGAAGCAGTCAGTAGCTGAAACATAAAAAATTAAATCAATAAACGTTATAACTAATCACTCACTTCATGGCCGCTCAAGTTGTTTCTGTGTTTAACTATATCAATTTCACTGGCATTAATTTTGCATTCGGATGCAAAGTTCCAGACGACATCTGTTATTCTCATGATCTTGACCATGCCCGGTTCAGTGGGCAACAGCATGAATGGGATTGGAGCCGGGTAGATCTCAATGGTATCATCTTCATTCATCACTGCATCAGTTTTGGAGTCAGTGGCTGGCTTGCTCCGTTTCGAGTCGGCGGTCGTTGGAGAGACATCTTTTTCGTTTCGTAATTTGATTGAGCTACGTCCAGATCCTTTTCCGTAAGCTGATAGAAGTCGGGGAGAATTGTCGGTGACTGAATCCAGAAGCGTTTTCAAGGCAGAACAGATTATGTCTCTGCTAACCTGAAATTCATTGCGTTACGTCAGTTTTGATATTAAGAATTCATACCACATCTGTACTTTCACCGTGTGTCTGAACTTCCTTGACGATGAGTTTCATCGATTTTTCAAGAAGATACCCATTTTCTTTATGTAGGGGCTCGACTAAATCTATATAGAAATCCCGGAGGAATTTTCGAAACGGGTAGTAGCTGAAATCGTTATTGGCGGGTTCCATTGCGGCTTTGACGAACAAGATCGCAGTCGAAATCAAGTCGTCGCATTCGTACGCTGCCACCTTCTGAAACATAAAAAGTTCAATCAGTAAACGTTATAATTAATCACTCACTTGATGGCCCTTCGAAACAGAGTCTATGTACGCGAACAAGTCCAGGTCTTCGTTTGCAATGCGAAATTGACGAGCGAAAAACCAGGCACAATCTAACAATGCACGACTTTCGATGAGTTTTTCTTCGATAGTTGTTTCTTCAGTCATCGTGGCTGCGTCTACCATTGCACGAGGTGGAATGGTAATGGTCTGAGTGGCAGAATCAGCAGAACGGTGGGTCATTGGGAGCATCCTTGGAGGAGAAGGAGTGCGGTATGGAGACGACGATGCGTTCGGAGATGTTGCAGTTGTTGGCTTGCTCCTTTTCGAGTCGGCCGCTGGTGTTGTTCTTGCTTGAGCTCTCTTGCTTGAGCTGCGTCCAGATCCTGGTCCTTGGGATGATGGAAGCGGCACCGGTGGATTGGCTGAAGAGTTCGGATGAATGGGCGCTGTCGGCTGTCTGGAAAATTCTTATTGTTATATACCGTATTTCCTCTTGTAGAAGTCCACCTCTAGTTGATGCCCACCTCTAATAAAAGCCCACCCCGCGAGGTGCTTCAAAAAATAGAAGCCCGTCCTTTAATAGAAGCCCGTGTGCTTCTGTTAGAGAAAATACCGTAATTCAACATTCCAGGATTTTTGAAACTGCGATTGCAGATTTCCAAAACTTCTAAAGTTTTGAATTTCCTACTTTCTAAATCTCGGAATTTCAGATTTTTTGAATTTTAGATTTTTTTTCCAAAATTACAGAATTCTTGACTTTTGAATATTGAGATCCTGGAATCTCAGAATTTAGTAAACTCGGAATTTTGAAACCTATAATTGCAGAATGAAAATTTCTAACTCTCCAAAACACGGAATTTCAGAATTATTAACTTCTGAATTGCCTAATTTCTAAATTTTTGATCAATAATTTTTTTGAAATTAAATCATCTAAAAATAGAAATCCACCCTGAGAAAAGGGTTGTTAAATGGAAGTTCGTGGGCATTCTATTAGAGGAAAAACGGTATTTAAACGAGCACTTTTCAAACTTTTTTGAATTTACAACATAATTTGGCCAATGTCAATTCTCTACACGTGACAGCTCGGAAGAAATTTTTCTAGAAGAATACAATATCACTTATACAACTCCTGTCGCACTCTGAACTGTTCCAAACCGGCGACTAGTAACTGGTTGGCCTTTGAATCGCCCATTATTCTGTGCGTGAAAGCTCAAACGGCAAAACGTTTTGTCGCTGGACTCGACGAAAGTTATCACATTCTTCTTGTTGAGCGTGACATTGTAGCCGTTGTCAGTCAATCTGAACACAAGTCATATTTTTAAGAGAACTGTATTTAAAAAAAATTTTTTGTATTTTTTTTATTTTCCCATAATTATTGCGAAAAATTCAAAAAAATTGAAATCCCTTGAAAATGCGGTCGAATACAACAAATTTGCAAAACAATTGGATTTTTACAGCTTTCATGTCCGGCAGCGGGAAAACGTAAAACACCACTGTTGGCGACTTGAAAGAAGGCAGTCAGGCGCCGTGGCCTAAGTTTCTCATTGCGAATGATTTCAAATCCCCGTCCCTAACTTTTTTTTTGAGAATTGTTTGCTTTCAATTGCATTTTTCAGAGATTTCTAATTTTTTCGCAATAATTTTAGGAAAATATATAACTTTTCCAACATTTTAAGGCAATAAGAAGGTTTTGACGGGGTCCTCCTTCAACTCACCTTTTCACAAAGTCATTGCTAACTGCGCGGCTGAAAATGAACACCATCTGCAGTTTTTCCTTCAAGCTATAATCATCACTCTTTTCGATTTTTCTAAGTTCCACGTTGACGCTGAAAACAGAAAAACTCGAATAGCAAAAAACACGTAAAAAACTAACAGTTCATAGAAATTCTTCGAGATCTTGGTCACATCCTTCAAATCGGCCACGTTCTCCACGGCATCCCACACCCAAAGTTTAAAAAGTTCTGGTTTCGTATAATTTCCGATGTTGCTGGAGATGTACTTGAGACATTGCTCATACTTTTCGGACATGCTGGATGACATTGTGTCGTAGAAGAGAACGATTGAAACGGAGGTGAGCTGGAAAACAAGAGTGATTAGTTTTCATAGTTTACAGCAATAATTCAAATGTTCAGATTGAAAAAGAAAATCTTATAATAAAATTTGGGTGGAGAGACGAATAGAAACGATTGGTACAGAAGGTGTTACCTCATTCGTTTAAAAACAGTTAGATGTGCAGGCATTGGTGTGACCCTCTCTGCGTCTCGTAGGGTGTGTGCAGTGTCTCATATCAATCGACAGTCCTTCTCCTCATTACATATGTCCATTGGGAGCAGGTGGTGGTGTGTGGCGACGGCCATTGCTCTTGCCTAATGAGAAAGAGAACAGATACAATATTCTGTGTGTGTCCCATATTACCGATCAATAAAACTAGGTATCTTGGTACTACAATTTAAAAAAAAATTGAAAATTATTCTAACAGCTTTTTACTAAAAATAATCAAAAGGGAATGGAAGTGTAATTGATTCAAAAATTACTGAGACTTTATGCCAGTAAATTGACAAACGTAATTGGTTTGAAATCAAGGAAAATAAGCTTCACGACGTTAGAAGCAAGAGGGTTCTAAGAATTTTGTTAGGGAGTGTAAGATCTCTAAAAACACTCTAATAGAACGGCACAGTTCAATAATCGATTTTAAGCAAATTTATCTCGGTTTCTGTGAATGATAACGAAAAGTAAAATACCATCAGTTTGGAATCCGTTTGAGGGATTGACTGCAATGCGAGTTTTTTTGGAATTTATATCAGTTTTGTCTTGACAATTGTAAAAATGTCAGGTCCATGTTATGCAAATGTTCCGGCTCATGTTTGATAATAGCGAGACAATAACGAACCGAAACTGTAAGCTGTAAATTGGAACTAGCAGATTACGTGCAAAAAAAAGACCCCGTGGAGAACAGAACTTGGAATTCCAGTGGGTACAACAAGAAGTTGAAAAAGATAAGGAATCACTTCAAACTACAAGCATCGTCAGCTATTCGCAATTGTAACATCTCTGATACAGTATCGGTCAATAATATATTTCTGTTCAGTTGATTTTCGGTGATTTCCATCATTTTCTGAAGACTGGAGCTTGGCTCTAAAGTTTTCGATCACTTTGAGCATTTCAGAAGTTGTAAAAGAGACCTAGGATAGAAACTTTGCAATCACAGAATTTTTTGAAAATTCCTAGTTTTTCCGCCATTTGCTGAAAGCTGAAGGACATTTTCTTGACCCGTTCTTGTACTGAAAACGTGAAAAAACGGGTTTCATTTAGAATTCCCGAATAACTGAAAAACTAGTAGCCTCAAAAAATACGGAGAATGCAAAATTTTCAATCTAGGTCTGTGTACACCCTCTAAAATTTACAAAGTGATCGGATGCTTTACAGCCGGGCTCCAGACTCCTGATGTCTGTCAAAATAACAAAAAATTAACTAACAGTATATCTTACTGACTGGTACTGTACGTAGTAGATGGAAGAGAAATTCAAGCTTTACTCTAAAAAGGAGCTATTCAAAATGCCATGCTAGTTTTCAATTCCCAAACTCTTTCTGAATCAAATTGTGACATCTGTAAAAAATATCTTGAACTTTTTGATATTCATAAGAATTCATTGCTCAAACTTTTGAGTAAATTCAGTCTTACAATCGGAAAGTCTAAATGAGAGTCAAGTATAAAAAAAACTCAAAGAATCAAAATAGGGAAGAAAAGTTAAAAGAATAGCGAATACATTTGAATGAAAAATCAAAGTTTGACACAAACAAGGAAAGCAGAGATGGTTTATGGAAAGATGACTTATGGAGATTCGACAAAAATGTCGACTGGAGCCTGAAACTCCTTGGGGGTGACTAACTCCAGAATCGTCACCAAGATTGAACGAATCTCCTTTCTGGGAACCTGAAATTCATAGTGATAAGTCAAAGTTTTAAATAAAGAATTCATACCACATTTGTATAAACTCTGGTTCCGAGGTCCGAAATCTGCTCGTCCATGTAATCCAACGAGTCACCAAGAATATTCCCATGCTTTTCATGAAGTGGCTCGATAAAAAGTTCGGTGAAACCACAAAACAGTTTTACGAGTGGAAGGAAATTGGCGTTCGAGCAGAAAGAAGTCGCGGGTTCCCTTACTCGTCTAATCGCCTTGATTGCATTTACTATGAAATTATTACACTCGGAAGCAGTCAGTAGCTAAAACATGAAAAGGTCAATCGGTAAACTTTATAACTAATCACTCACTTCACGGCCGTTCAAGTTGTTGCTGTATTTAACTATATCAATTTCTCTGAGGTCAATTTTGCATTCGGTTGCGATTCTCCAGACTGCTTGCTGAGTTTTTGTAACCTTGACCATGCCCGAGGGAACTGGCAACATCCAGAATGGGATTCGAGGCGGGATGATTTCAATGGTATCGTCTTGATTCATCACTGGATCATTTTCGGAGTCAGTGGAGAGGTGAGTGGCTGGAAGCGTCCGTGGAGGAGAGAGCGAGCGATTTCCAGAGGGCGCGTTTGAAGACGTTGGGCTTGCTGGCTTGCATCGTTTGGAGTCGGCAACCGCTTTCGTTGGAGATGGCTCTCGAGCTCTTTTGCTTAAACACTGTCCGGACCCTTGTCCTTGGGCTGGTGGAAGCGAGGCCGTCGGACCGTGCTGAGAGTTTTGAGTAGTTGGCGTTGTTGCTTGGCTGGAAAATGATTATTATTATTATTATTATTCTCTTTCTCACACAAAGATATATATATATATATAAGAAATTAAAATGTTTCAGCTAAATTTTTCGACAGAATTAGGCAGAGATATCGCTTTACTTCAAATTTTCTATAGATTATCATTCGAAAGAAATGTTTCTAGAAGAATATAACAACACTCACCCATTTCCCGTCACAATCTTCATTTCTCCATACCGGCGCTTTGAAACTGGCTCGCCTTTGAAGTGCAGATCATTTTGTCCCTGGTCGCTCGATCGGCAGTATAATTTGTCTTTGGAGCTTACATAAATGATTCTATTTTTGAAGTTGACCTTAACTTTGTAGCCGTTGTCCGTCAATCTGAATAAAATTTCCATTTTCAAAAAAAAAAAGAGGTTTAACTTACTTTTTCACAAAATTTTTGCTAACTTCGCGACTGAAGATGAATGCCAACTGCACTTGCTCTGCCAAGCTATAACCATCACTTGCAACGATTCTGGCGAGTTTAGTGTTTACGCTGAAAACAAAAGCTAGAAGAGAAACAACACAGAAAACAACTGACCTTTGGTAGAAACTTTTGCATTCTTGGTTCACAGTCTTCAAATCTGGCACATTCTCCACGGCTTCATTCACCCACATCTTCAATACTTCTGGTTTGGTGTAATTTTGAATTCGCTTGGAAATGAATTTTACGCATTGTTCATACTTTACGTCCATGATGAAAGGAAAAGTTCAGTAAGTTAGAGAAACTGAAATGAAAGAAGTTGAAAATTGAGGGTAATTCGTACAAAAATAATTGAAAAATTCAAAATTTCCGGGAAAATAGCAGGATCTCAAAATATGGTTTGGTGAAGGGACAAATAGAAACGAATGTTACACGGGATTAAATTTTTTGTTGAAAAGTTTTTCTGGTCGGTTGCAAAGTATGGGTGATGTCGTACAAAATACAAGTTTGAGAAGAAAGTCGTTTTTCGCTCAGCTCTGACGGTCCATACCGTGGTCTAAACAGAAGCAGTAGACCACTCAAGAGTTTTAATCTACAGTGCACACGACGACAGTCGCGTTACTGTAATGGGGCAGAAAATGGGAGAAAGAACAAACAAGAGAGAAAAAAGTACGACCAATCCGGAGGACGAAAAAACGAAAAATGACTGCAACTGGAAGAGATGAGCTGGGCAATGAACAAACCAATAGCAAATCAATAGCAAATCAATAGGTGAACAAACCAATCGCAAATCAATAGCAAGTCAATAGGAGCATAAGAGTGAAAGAGTGTTTCGATTGAAGAGACAATGGGAGAGGCGTTCGAAAACTTGCGCGGAAAGTACAGGGTTGGATTGGCAGGAAAAAATGTTTGCACATGTTCATAATATTAAGTTTTTCAAAGAAAAACCGGCAAATAATTCGAAGGGTACAAAATTGTGGGGTCATTGAGGAACAAAACAATTTAGGGGTGCACAATTCGCTATTCGGTTGTACAAAATATTTGAATAACATGACTTTTGTACCCCTAAACTACCTTTTCTTGTTTAGGGACTCATTTATTATACTTGTTCAATTTTTCAAAAAAGGTTTCTAACCTAAGCACTTTCCTTGTAAAGAATCAAATCTAAACTTTTATCCTGAATTTATTTTTGGAGAAATAGTCTTTATTTTGAAATCATCGCGTGTTTTGAACCAGACCTTTCAAAAAGCCTGAATTTGTAAAAAAAAACTGAAAATTGATACGGAAATCAGATAAATATAGTCGAGAACAGAACACAATATGTGAAAAGAGCACGTACACTGATTTGAGACAACTATGTTAACTTTAGCGTGATTGGATTTTCGAACAGTTCAAAGAGATCTACAGAATATCTGGAATATAATTTTTTGAGAAAAAGCAGGTGCTTCAAATGAGGAAGCTGATCGAAAACTGTAAAAATCTGAAAATTTAGAGTGCTTTATATACAGGGAGATAGCTTTGCCTAATTATTGTCCATTTTTGGGTGACTCAGGTTTTGAAAAAAAGAAGGTTTTTCAATTTTATCATTATCAGAACTACAGCTTTACAAATAGAAAACAGTTTCAAAATTTCGAAACTTTGAAGATATCCAGTTTTTGCTGTAAGCCACTGACTCGGAAAATTTTGAATTAATTGGGGATGAAAATTGTTTTATAGTTTTTTATTCACATTTCAAAACTGTTTTGATAAACATTTATTATCAATGAATGGGAAAAACAGGAGGAATGAATCATTTCAGAACATGCTTTATTAATTTTTTTGCAGATAAATTATCATTCAAACTGTTCACAATTGGCCACAGTACTTATAATTATCTTTGAGAAACGTCTGAAAAATGTTCACAATCTTTTTAAAATTAAAACTGACAAAGTGAATCAAATGCTGAAAGAAATTGATAAGCTTTTTTAAAACAATGAACTTCAAAAATTTATTATATACTCTTTCGAAACATTTTGATCATCATTGTTTGCTCCGAAATTTTCGCTGAGTATTGAACTCTGAAAGAACCTAGATTGACGGAAAAAAGTTTAAATTGACAACGATGCGGAAATCAAATGAAACAAGACAGGAACGGAACAAAAAGATTGAAAAGAGCACGTACACTGATTCGGTCCATCTATATTGTTAAATTCCAAGTGATTCAATTTTCCGAAAGTCCAACGAGATCTTCAGAATTTCTGAGATAAAATTCTTTGAACATCTGCAGGTGCTTGAGATAGAAAAGCTGCTAAAAAACTCATAGTCTGAAAATTGTCGGAAACTTAGTTGCAACAGTGATCAATGATTTACTATCCATCCAGGAAGAGGAATATTCCAAGAACTTGTTCAACAACACATCAACAATGAAACGATGTTCTTGAGCATGTTCAAAATAAGCACAAAGAAAAACGGGTCCCCCTTCAAAACTGTTGAGTAGCGGGGTGTTTGGGACAAGTTTTATTGAATTCTACTCCCACGAAAAATAAAATACATAGAAGAGAGAATGATGCTGGTCTTCTGAAGTGAGAGATACATTCTTCTTATCGTTTTTCTATACATGCATGTGTTGCTTAGAACGAAGTTTGCTCCACTTGAATGACGCGCTCTTCATATCCTTCATATTATCTCTATTGGTGCAAAAAAAAACTTCCAGAAACATACATCAGAAAGAGTTTGACGTGGCGAATGTTTTTCAGAACGCAAAAGTGTCAAGTTTCAATCGGGTGTAAAAAGTGTGTTGTATTTTAGCACCTGGAAATATTAGTTCCTTTTTTTCTGTTGATATGATCTTACTGTCAAAAAGTATAATTTTCATTGAAGAATCTTAATCAAAAACACTTTCAATCCAAATTTGGAAAACACCCCAAACTTATCATAAGACTGCATCTCATCTTTCCCGAGAATTTCACGTTTGCTTTCTTCCAAAACTTTTGACTAAATCCCATTTCTCTGACTTATACAATAAACTCCGTGATTTCTCACGATGTGATTATCTTCAGTGAGTGTCTGAATGCTCAATTTGACTCATTACTTTTTTCGAGACTTCTTCAAATTATCTCGTTGACTTTTTTTTTCGATTTACTTCGGACACCTTCCCTTGTTCAACATTTTCATTCAAAATAAAAGGAAATCGAAGAAAAAAAAAGGATGTAAAACCAAATCACATTCATTCACTTCACCCGAGAAGAACCCCTTTTTTTCGAAACCCCCATAAGTATTTTTTCCTTCCGTTGTGCTCCGTCGAGTTGCTTTTGCTCGGCGCTCTATCTCGACTCAAGAATCAGAAGCAAACGAAAATGGGGTCCCGTTTATTTTATCAGATCGCCCTTCTATTTTTTTTCTCTTATTTCTCAAAACGCTTCTTTCCTATACACTTCTGTGAATGATGATGATGATGACGATGAATGGGTTTGATGGTTTTCCTGGATAGTTTTTTTTTTCATATTCTTGTCTTCTGTGTTTGCTAACATCATCTAGACTATTTATTGTGTTGATCAGTGGTGACGACGTAAGCTACTAGCATGAGGGTTTCCCAGAAATTTTAGTTTCAATTTTGAGATTTTTATTTGAAAATACGTTGATAACTTTTTCTCGTAAATTACTCAACACACCTATTGATACAATATGAAAAAAAAAAGTTGTTTGAGTTTTTAAGAAGAAAGTTTCTTGCCCTATTCTGGTGTGGTAGCTCCAAAAAATTTGAGGGATTTTTTTTCATTTTTTTTAATTCCCTGAGATTTGCCGAAATTTGCAAAATAATTAAAACACTGGTATTATATTTTTTGCTGAATTTTAGGGTCTGGTTTAGATATCAGGTTATTTTAGAAAGACGCTTTTAAAAGTTGGAAAAAATAAATTTTTCATAGTCTTGGCTGTGGGACCCTCATTTTTCAAGGTCCCAATTTCTTTTGAGATGAAATTCTCGGAATCCTTGAACTGAAACGGAGCCGAATTTTTAACTTCATCATTTCGCATTTTTTTGTAGATCTAGTATTAAATTGCAAGTTTACCTGTATTTTAAAACGTTTAAATACATATATTCGTACCATTTTTAAATATTTTTCAGTAATTTCTTTTTCAAGATCCTTATTTCGCAGAAAATAATTATTTAATTGATTGAGCGCTTTTCAAATTTTTTTAACCAGGAGCTATGTTTAAACTTGGTTTTTTGTTATAGTTTCAAAAGATGACATTTTGATGTTTTTTCACTGTTTTATTTATCCCATTAGCATTGGATACGTGGCTGCATAAGTTTTGTCTATCCAACTCTTCAACTGATTTCCTCTCTTTCATTTTTGATCTGATTCGAAATTAGAGTTGATTTTCTGATACTCTCATCTAAATCAACCAATATGTTCAATTTTATCAAAATTTTCAGTGTTGTACTTATGTTTTCTGAAATTATGGTAATCTACAACCTCAGAACTTAGCCATTTTGAATTTCAATTCTTCACTACTTGACTCCCTACTACAAAGATGTTTGACATTGTTCTTTCATACATTTCCATCTTCCTTGGCATCTTACTCAACCAGCAATCTGATTCCACAAAATCACGTTTGGGTTTGGCGGATCGTTCATGCGCGGGTCCTATCTCATTTCCTGAAATCCCATTTTCCACTTCTCCTTCTCCGAATCCTACTCGATCTTCTTTTTTCGCCTTCTTTCCACACAAGGAGCTTCTCAATCTTCCACGCCTTCTGCCTTCCTCGCGCGCTTCCTTTTATTCCGAATAGCTTATTCACAGATTCACTTTGTGTTTATTTCACTTTTTCGTGTAATTCTTTAATTAATCAAGTGCTAGCGCGCAGAGAAGCAGCAGCAGAAGGCAGTCGTCGTCACATCTGATGGGGAGAGGCTTGACAATGGTGGTGGTTTCATTGTAGAGAAGCACATGCAATCTGAATTGAAAATTGAGAAAGTGGGAGAATGAATTAGTAGAAGGAGAAAAAAGAAGAACAATTCTGTTGCACTCACTATGCCAAAAGTATATTACGTTCTTACTAAAAACGTTTAGCAGAGCCGAATACCTTCCGGAAGGTGAATAATTCACAGAATCGGGGTCAAAGAATTTTAGAGAAGGAAGCGGGTTTTTTTGTTTTCTGGTAGTGCATTTAATTTTTGTTCTAGTTCTGCTTAAAAGGTTCTTTATTTCTTTTGCAGAATATCCAAAAATAGTAGAGCATGAATCAGTTTTGAGTTTTTTGTTCAAAATAGCAACGGTGCTAATTTTCGAACCTAACAACAGCCCTGTAGGAGTTGATCTGCATAAAACGTCTTTTGTAAAAAATGCAATTCCTAAAATTTCATAATATTGGCTCTTTGAGATAATTGCGATTCTGGCACTCAATCAGAAGCCGAGTCCCCGAAATCTCGCAAGCGTTTGAAAAATTTCTTGAAATTTTTTCAATTGTTGCTTTCGAATTACCATAAACACTAAAAGAATGACCCGAATTTCAACTTAGGCTTAAGTGATCTTGGTTTATGTGAAATATATTCTTTAAAAACTCTTGAATTCATCACAAACGTATTGTCAATTTTCGATTTTTAACTTTCCTATGTTTTCCGCACGAAAGGAGATACGGTAAAGGCGGCGGCAACCATATACTTCTATTCGGAGCTCGATTATCTAAATTACTATAAGAGGTATCAAAAATGCATCAACTGATAAAATGTTGGCGATCTTATGAAATCATTTTATCAGTTAACAGATTTTTGTTTTTCTGATAGAAATTGAGATAGCTAAGCTTGAGATATACGTATATTGTGGCCTTCTATTGGAGTGTATAGGGTAATTTTTCCTAGAATGTTTGTTTCCTTCAGGTCAAAATTCCCATGTTTAAAATTTTCGAATATTCTGGAAAGTCTTTCCAAATTTGCTTTCCCTATTGTTTAAATAGAATTCAACATTTTAGAGTTACTTCGTCATTATTATCATTTTTCTGGACAATGTGCTTCAAAACTTATCCCTTATTTTTCGGTTTTTTCTGAAAATTTCCGGAACATCTCATGACGTTCCCAGGCAATGTGACTCACGTTTTGTGAACCTATCCAAGAAATTTTTGTCCAGCTTCATTAATGATCCCGATTTCGGCTATAATCAAACACCATCCTATCAAGATTGGTAGTTCCACATAAGGTCAAATTCTGTACGTATTCGCCTCTTGTTCCTCCTTTTTTTCTCGATGTCAGAAAGCGAGAACTGCTTTATTTTCTCTCTGTCAGCCCTTCTAAGGGACAGCATATACATTATCTTGTTTCGCAAGTGGTGAACTGTGTCGTTTGATGGGACAAATAACAGGTCTGTCACCTTCTTCGCCTCCACGCACCTCCTTTCGAGTATTACAAATGTGTGTGTGCGTCTGTGTTACAGCTTCTTGCGATTTGAACAAAGAAAAATACTTGTGTTGCCCTTCCTCGCCTATTCTTGGTGTCAAATTTTTGATGATTCTAGCTAGCCGGTATCGGCATTGTTTTTCAGCTTTATTCTCTTCTGCTTGAATCATTTTTTGCTTAATATTTTTTTGGTTTTTATTTTTAGCATATTTACACTTCACATTTCTGAAAATAAAGATATTTTGAATCACAAAATTAGCACACTAGAATTGACCGACCATATGTCTGCAAATCGCTTTTTCTGTAATTTCTTGTGTCTAGCTCAGTCAATTTTCTTCTGAATCACCACTCCCTTCTATTCTAAGATTCTCAAAAACATTGAAATAGCGTATGATTTGAATCATCGGATAAAAAATCAGTTTTGCACTGATATCCCTTTTTTTCTTTTTTTGCGATGACACAAAAACGAGCTCTTCTTTCGAAAAAAGGCACTTGACGGCTGGCTAGATGGTCAATTTGTTTATTAGGGTTTGACGAGCTTTGCTTTCTGAATAGATACTCTTCTTTTTTTTCTACTGTGCACCAGTCCCCGTATGATTATTTCTCTCAAATAGACACATTTGGATGCGTGAATATGCGTGTAAGACCTATGTTTAAGAAAAGAACATGAAGAAGACCAAGAAAAATGGTGATGAGGATGATGGTGATGGAGAAGAACAAAAGCGGAAGAGCGTCGTCGAGTGTATCCTCTCGCTCTTTCTCATTTAAATTTTCCATATTGGTGTACTGGCCGGGTTCTTTCATTGTTTGAAGTTGTTGGAAAATCTAATTTTAATTACGGAATATATAGAATTTTGATCTCTTCACAAACCTTCCGATGAGTATTTTGTCACTCAGAATAAATTAAATAGTCAAAAAGCTGTCTAGTCTTAATTTCTGCAAAATTTCTGGCAAAATTATCAATTTTCATGAGTGATAATTATGATAATTTGAAAAAAAAAACTTTAAAAAGGGAAGTTTTACTTGTTCAGAAGTGATAATTTTTTTGATGTTTTTACATCTATTCAGAATTTTCTTTCAATTTTAACTCGAAAAAATTCTGGTACAAAAAGGTTTCATAGCGACAACTACCGAAACCTAAAAATATTTTTTCTTCATACTTATTCTCTCAATTTTCATGGGTTTTCAGTAAAATTTTTTGTGAAAAACGAGAAAATAAAATTATCTGTAGGTTACTATTGTGGGACCTTTCGTCACGGGCTCTGGTTTTTCTCTTCCACATTTCTAATTTTATTAACCAGAATAATAGTGAAAAATTAATATTCTAGCCAACTACTTGTTTTGTTAACACTTGTGATCTATTTCTCAGTTGCACTAGGTCGAGTTAAATCAGAATACTACATAATACATACAATTGAACGTCATTCTAAGAAATTAATCTTGCGTCAATCTAAAAAAATCGTACAAGTTATAGAAATTACAATTCAAATCGAGTCATCCATTCTATTATAGTCCATCAGAAATTTATATTTTCACAATTTCCCGTAATTTCAGTTGATCCTCTCGAAAACCAGAATAATCACAATTTTCCGACCAAAGTTCTTTGAAAAAATTCACCTGTTTTAGTGGTCCACTTATCATTCGTTTTCCAACAGACCTACCCAGGAAGTTGCTCTCTGTCTCTCATTTGCAATTCAGTCGCAACGCTCTTGTTTATTAGTTCTTTAGATCTTTGGAAATAATTTTATATTGCAGAGAAACATATAATACCCTAAATTTTCTGCTTCCCTCTGAATCACAAACATATATTTTCTTTAGAGGGTTGATGGCTTCATGCACAAATATCTTCTGATTTGGCTAATTTTGGAATCTTGTTTTTCAATCATTTGACTCGAACTAAGACACCTAACTGAAGCTTCTTCGTCTTCTCATTCAGAATCTCAAAATGTAGACCGGAGACAAGAAGTCTCGGGTAGTAGCGAAAACTACTACCGTAATAGATCTTCTGTCTTCCTTCTTCCACTTCAATTACACCCTGTCTGCTTGGTGGAGCTCTACTGGCTCCATTTTCTTTCCGGTTCCGACTCCTGCTCCACTTTTCAACGACGTCGTCGTTGTCTAAGCGTTAGTTTCCGAAGATTGATTGATGTCAAAGTATTCCCCATCGGTCGTTCGTTTCCACCAGGCCCCAGTCAGTGCTTAGCGGTTTTCTCATCTGGCAGGTGGCTGGTGGTAGTCTTGCCGTTTGTTTTAATTGTTTCGGACATAAAGCAGCTTGATCGCGCCACACATTTTTATTCAAAACCAACCAAGTGGCTGTGTTGTTTTATCGCGGTTTATGATTTCAATATAATGAATGAACATTAGTCATTAGGATTTTGCTGGATATGCAAAACATTGTTCTTCATTATTTTCCATCAAAAAAACCACCACCCAGCTAAATGTAACATGTAGAAAATTCTTCATACACATCTTGTTGTTTCTAGATTATTCAATTAAACGTTATGACGAAAGTCTATCTCTATCTCTCGTTTGTTTTTCTTCCGTCCGTTTTCTCGCTTTTTCTTCGAAAAATTATTTCAATTTCTGTGTCCAACTGTGTTTCTGGTTTCAACATTTTCAGCTTCCTAATGTTTTTCTTTTTCAGAAGTCATCCTGATCATGAAAACTAGCTCCATCCACTGACAGCAAATTGGGAAAAACAAAGGTTTGTGTGCTATTTGTTGTTCCATTAGTTCTCCATCGTTCCCAATTATTATTCTGAGAACGTGCTGGGCTAGAAAGAGCAAAAATTGTCGGACATGATGAGAAGGGCCTGAAGATTTATGCCGCTTTCTATATCACTAAAAAAGGCAGGGAAAAAGGGAAAAGACACTTGAATTTGCTCCGTGACTCTTGAGGAGAAGCGCATATCCACTTGAATTCGACAAAACTCCTAGAATCTCATTTTTTTCGAGGAATGGAATTTTATTAACCTTAGTCGTTAGGTGTCATGATGAAATCGGAGGATTTGAGGAGTGGAGAAGAGTGAGGAGAACATGTTGTTCCCTCTTTACTCATATTTTTTGTGAGTGCGATCGAAAAGGTACCGTCGTGTTTTGCTGTTTTTTTCAGTGTTTTCAATTTCAATTTTAAACCTCAATGGTTTCAATAATCACATTGAAACAAAAAACAACTACATACCAACAAAAATTTTGAGAACAAAAGAATTGGTGTAGTCAAGCCATTGACCATTTTCAGCCAACCGGTTTACTCATTTGACTCTCTTTATTTTTTATTTGAAAATTAAATTTTTAGATAATTCAGCATATTCAACTAATACCAGTTTTGAATTGCAACAAAGCAGAAAGTACTTAAAAACAGAATTCATTTTCCTCTGTTCTTATTTTGCTGCCATTTAGAAGTAGAGGTCCACAAACTTGGCAAATCTTCTAAAATTTGAAAGCATCTGCTTTCAGTTAACCTGCAACTTCCGGGAATCAAATGTCTGCAAAGAGAGTTACACTATGAAATCATCCAGTTTCGTTTTTAGTTCCACGTAGTTCGCCTATCCCCCCGCATACCACTTTACATAACACCGAATGACTAGTTCTTCTAGACCCATTTTTGCATATTTCTTGAGTTTTGAGTCCCAACCTGAATCCCGAACGTTATTTTAAAACTTTCTATTCTATGTGTTTTCTTTATCCTATTTTTCTTTCAGCTACTCCTCTTCTTCTTCATCTTTGAACTTTTTCTCACCGCCCAATCTCAGTGTGTTATTTTTGGGGAGCCCCCCGTTGACTCCTGAATAACAGTGTGAAAACTGAGCAATGGCAGTGTCTCACCATTTGTGTCAATTTCTACGGAAAAACGAGACGATTGATTTCTCGACGTTATTGAGTCATTCGCCACGGGAAGAAGCCACTTCAAACATAAATAAGGTTAGAAAACGAATAGGCGAATAGAAAAAAGAATGAGGGATAAAAAAAGAAGAAGATTTCTTTTTTATTTTTCCCTATCTTTTATCGAACAACACGGAGTAGTACTACTGTGTCTAGAGGAGTCCAAATTCGATTTATTTATCTCGGACTTGATTATTTGATGACACAGTCGCCAATTCACGAAAAAGACAAAAAAGTGACAACGTCGGGAATAATCCAAAAAACCATTTTCAGATCACATATGCATACATTGCTCCATTTATTATCATATTCGGAATCGTTGGAGATGTCCTACTGTCGTCACTCTCACACATCCCCTACTCCGGAAGTCTTCGATTATATACACATACCTGACGTTATTGGCTATGACGGATTTAGTAAGTGGGCGCTACAGTAATCAGAAACAGGAAAAAAGATCTTCTAATAATTAAATTACTGTATTCGATCTGATAGATGCCTACCATATACGGGCTTTTTAAATACAATTATCTCGGTTAATACGAGAAATATCGAACAACTGTCAATTGATGAGATATAGGTCAGATTATGATAATTAATTTGTTAGTTGATATTTTTTGATATTTTTTCAATGAACCGAGATAATTGAGGATACAGTTCACATGGGCTCTATAAAATCAAATACACCAGGGATGTTCGGAACGGCTTTCGGAATTCCAAAGCCTCCAAAAATTCCCACCAATTTCGGAATGAAATTCCGGTCGGAATATTTCCGAAGCTTTTTCGGAACTATAGATTTTTGGGCTACAGTATGTCGCGCGAAAATTGTTTGCCGGCAGAATTACTTCCAATTCTTGCGTTTTTAAAATCGTACTGTCAATTTTTCACCTATTTTGGGCTTATTGTGATAGAAAAAAAATTGAATTTCTACTTAAATATTTGAATTTTTAAAACCAAAAAATTCCGAAATCCCGAAATGTTTAAAATCGGAATATTCCGAAATTCCGAAAAGGCCATTCCGAAAAATCTTGCGATATTCGAGTTAGCCTTTTCCACAGTTTAGATCTATGAAAAAGTGCGAGTTCCACAGTTAATCCTAATTTTAACTTCCTGTTAATTAAGCGGGATCAAAATGTGCTACGTCAGACACTAAAGAATGGTTTTTGATACTCAATTTTCGAATTTTTTCTTTAACACCTCCTTCTTCCAGCTTACACAATTCTCGGTTATACCAATGATCATGTGGTTGCTGGACATTCGCGCCTGTTCCAAGACATCAGCGTTCTTCTATGCTCACATCGGGTTTCCACTGGTAAAATTAAGATGACAAAGTCTGAAAATCAAAAATTCCTATTTCAGGCGAATGCATTAATGGGTTCTAGTGTATGGATTGTCGTTTTTCTGACACTGTCCCAGTATATGGCGGTGTGCAAGCCGTTTGCCTATGGTTTAAGGTCCCGGAAAATCTGTTATGTACTATTTGCGCTTGCTTATATGTTCAATTTCTGTATTTATGCACCATGGGCGGTTAAGAAGAATGTTCATGACATATCGGATCTGGTTCCAGAGGTAATTGTTCTATTTTTCTAAATGATCTTCATGCTCATATTGTTTCTACATTCAGAGTTTCCTGGTTTCCGTGTGCCCCTATGTCGTTTGTGACGCAAAACGACCGGATTGGTTTGTGATTTATGAAACGGCACGGGAACTCATATCCCGTATTTTCCCGTTCTTCCTTGTCGCATTTCTCAATGTCAAAATTCTCATTACGTATAGGTACAACACTAAGCTAGAATTGTAGATTACGAAAGCAACATTTTCAGAAATACCAAACGTGATAGGATGGAAAGATTGGCAAATTCTCAAAAGAAGTTCATGTTCGAAAAAAGTGAAAAAGAGGAAAAAAGATTATTCATTTTGCTATTCGCCATTGTGATTGTCTTCTTTGTGTGCACTATTCCAGCAGCTCCATTGACGATTCTAGTGGCTGACACCAAAAACAACAATGTTGGATTTCAGGTTTGAAAGCCGAAATAATAAAACAGTAAAGTCTAACTCGAAGTTTTCAGATCTTCCGAGCCGTTGTGAACCTTTTAGAATTCACCAAGTTTGCCATGAATTTCTACTTTTACTGTCTGATTAACCCGGACATTCGCAGCATTTGTGCTCACGTCATCACATGTAAGAAGATCACCAAACCGGCCCGAGTGAAGGGACAACCCACAACTCCATTGTCCATGTACACAAGGTTAGTGTTCTGAAAATAATTTTGATCAAAATACCATGTTTTCAGGTCAACGAAAAATTCCACCATCCGAGATGCTCACAAAAATGGCGAGAAGCGAGGTGGAAGTGATAGCGACTCGAAGAAGTTCGAAGATTCCAGAAATAGTTCGCTAAAGTCTGGGTAGGTTTAGAACCTTGAACATTTCTCTTCTACATTGTACCGGTGTATACAAAAACGTATTTGTGTTGCATTTCGGCTATATTGACCATTGTCAGGAGTCTGAAAATTGTCTGTCAAGTGTCTGATTACTCTGAAAACTCCGGGGGGTGTGAAACGGACCTGGATGAAAACTTTGCATTCACAGATTTTTTGAAATTCCCATTTTTTTCAGCTATTTGCTGATCTCTGAGAAGCACCAGTTTTTTCACTTTTTTCAGTGCAAGATATGGGCCAAATGGGCTGTATTTCAGAAATCGGTGAATAGTTAAAACTAAGAATTTTCGAAAATTCTGTGAATGCAACATTTTCAGTCTAGGTCTATTTTACATCCTTCAAAATTTTCAAAATGATCCGTTACGTAACAGCCAGTCTCTGAACGTTTGAAAATAGTCGAAATATACGTAAAATCACATTTTTGCTTATCTTATCGCCCTTTACTGTACATGCTCTTTAAAGTTTTTTGAAAATCAACATTTTTACTTTTTTATTCCAGAAAAGACTCTGTTCGCCGAGGTGTTCCTGCCGACACCCTAATAGAAAAATTGACAGTCATTAAGGAGAACGAATCGGTCACTTCCGAGACTGGAGACCACGTGTAAAATACGAAAATAAAACTTCTCGCGTCTCCCCTAATTATGTATTTGAAATTATTTTCCGACTACGATTAACTAAGAATAATTACGTTTCCCTTTTCCCTTCCCACTTACATCATTCCCTTTTTTTTCTCATTACCCCCCCCCCACCGACCTTTTTTGTTGTGAATGTTGTAGATACCATTGAAACACAAAAAAAAGTTCTCATACGAAAACAACTGTCATAATAATGAAAAAATGCTTGTATTATTGAAATGTGTGAAAATTTTTGAATTGAAATAAAATATGATTTTTAAAAAATATTGTAGGTTTTTGTAGTTTATCGGAACGAAGTGCAATCGGTGGAGTGGGACCTCTGGTGCACTCTCTTGTACTTAAAGTTGGAACGATGGTTGCAATGATGGTTGAGACTGTTGCTTTGGGTACTGTTGTGGTTGTTGTTGTTATTGTTGGTGGCTGTTGAAGTATCTGAAACAAGAAAAAAGTTTATATAAAAAACTGAAATTCAGTTATTACCAAAATTCACAAGACTTCGTTTAGTGGTAGGCTCTGAAGTTCCTCTTGACTGACACAGAGCTTTCTTAACATGAGATCGGTTGAAAAGGATGTAAATCCACGGGTTTAGGCAAGAATTCAAGTTGCCTAGAACTGACACATTGTTGATGAAAGCGGGACCTGAATTATTTTTGGTCAAGACTTCAAATAACCTTTCAGAGCTTAGACACACTCAAAACATCCGGCCACAAAGCTTGAATAACGTTAATTATACAGAAAGGCATCCAGAGAAAGAAGTTGCAAGCAACGATGGTGATTGTGAGGCGGACTGAAATGAAAAGTGAACATTTCTGTAATAGTACGATATAATTCATACCAGTTTGAACACGCTTTCTGTCAAACTCGGACATTTGTTGTCGGAAGCCCTTAGATTTCTTCCTGAGCTCTTCAATGTAGTTTTCGGTGGCTTCGCTGAAAAATAATCTAGGCAATTATCACGGAAAAGATAATTGTTTTCTTACGTAGACTGTTTTCCATTTTTCTTTTGACTATCCATGGCTCGAACGGACTTGTTGGATGATAAACGGACAGCTTTGCACACACAATCTGGAATTTTAGATTATTCATTACAAAATTCTAATCTAGTACTCTTACAGTAGAAAAATGCGGCGAAAATCGATGGAAGAAGCCAGGCCAAGGTGTTGAACATAATCACGTAGACGCTCTTGATGATATTTCGATTAACCCCGTAAACTGTTGAACATCTTCCGGTTTTACTGAAAAAAAAACTCATTTTCCCCTTCTCCTCACTTCATCAAATAATTTACCCATTTTTCGTCCAGACAAAAAATTGCGGAACTGAGAGGAGCAGTGCAAGGCCCCAGGCGATGGCGGCCATCCAATTTGGACGACGATATCGAGATGAGCGGAAGTGAGCCAGTGGTCGGCATATTGCCTGAGAACAAAAAAAAACATAGAGTCTATTATTATCCCGGAAGTTTAGTTTTTCAAAAATCTCCACACTTCCGTCCCTTTGATTTTCGAGTTTGACATGAATATGAAACTTGCAAATATACATAAACCTCTATGACATGTGAGATTCGAAGCTCTACGATTTCCTCCTACTCCTCGTCGTTTTTTTGCCTCTATCTTCTTCTTCTTCCTACACACAATCAAAAAACACAGGGTCCCTATGCTTGCAAAACATGTTTACATGACTTTTTGACAGGAGGGGGTCCCTCTGAATATGGATGCTTGCTCGAGCTAATATCTCTGAACTCACACTTTGAATTCATTGGATATGCACGTTTCTGGTGTTTGGGCCTCCAACCAATTACACGGAACAAAGCCATGTTCTCTACAGGTGGAATTTCAAAAGAATATCATTCAAAGAAAAAAGTTATTTGTACAATTCCACCTGCACGATATTTTCCATGATGTTTGACTCTTTTGTATTATGCTCCCCAAGTATTTTGTAGGTTGAATGAAAACAATGGTTCACCTGATAACGATCAGCACTGATTGCAACTAGAAGAAACGGGCTCGCGTACATCGGAAACATTTGAACATATCTCATGAATTTGCAGGTAAAATTTGAGCCGTAATAATTTGGGAAAGCCATCTGGAAATACAGTATATATCCATTGTTTTGATGATAGCGGACTCAATTATTTTATTTTAATTGGTTTCCACTTACCAACGTCAGAATTTCCGTGCCTAGTGAGAGAAAAACGAAGAGAAGATCGGCGACGCACGTATGGAGTATCAAAAGCTGAAAAAAAATACTTTGTAGCTAGCAGGTACAGTAACCAACCTGAACCGGGGACACACGTCGTTTCATCACACGGTTTCCTCGGAAAATCACAAAAAGAAGGAACAGATTTCCCAACAAAGAAACGGCCATGATGACGGATTGGTGAACAATCATGAAGAAAATTTGGGCAATCATTTGTTTTTTCAAAGTGTTGTTGGAGGGCTTGGAGACGTTTGAATAAGTTTGTTCGAAGAGGGAGTAGTTCGAGTAAGTGTCGTTCATACTGAAATATAACATATTGCTGAGAAAATTGTATAACTATACAAAAAAGAAGCTTATTTTTTTCATAAACAGATTTTTTCAGAAAAGAAAACTTTCAAGAATATGAGGGTCTCAAAAACTCTGAGTAGCTACAAGGACTACAAGCAATTATGGCGCGAAGCACCAAGATAGACTCATTGAGAACACTAGATTCTGTGCCCTTGTTATGTCGGGCCTTTGTTATTAGCGGGACTCATTTTCTGAGCATGCTCTCTGGTTCCTAATGAGAGATGCGGCGACAAGTCCAACAATTTTTGGGTCAGAAGGGCAAATAATGGGGATGATGCCAATCCAGAGAGAAACACTCATTTATGCAAAAATTACTAGAAAGACACTAATTCAATGTCATGGCAATAAGATTAAATTATCTATTCATCAAGTTCATCTAGAAAAAATATTTTTAAAGAAGCGGTTAAAATGGAATAGTGATCAACAAAAAAACTGCTCTATTTTTTATCAGAAGCCAATCAACGGATTTCTCGCTACTGTCCTCGAAATCTACCTTCCAGGAACAACAAATATAACTAATTTTCTGAATCCAATCAAAATAAAGCACTACTCTGAACAGCACGTCGTCAGCCATTAAATAATTTAATTTATGCAAAATTTTTCAGGCCTCAAATGAGAGCAGGTGTTTTTACTTTGGATGAAATTTAAATTCTATCGTCATTTCTATGGAAAACTGAAAATGTTGAAATTCGTGGAAAAATATTTTTAATATTGTTTTTTTGACGATGATGAGGATGAAAGTTATTAAACCAAAAAAATATATGAGTTTTCAGAACTGAAAATTCATAGAAAAATTTCCAATGAATTTTATTTCCTTTTCATAAATGGGCTGGATACAAAAACGTAGGATTGGTTACAGCCAGCTCGAAGATGTCTTCATGGACTTGACAAGCACTAAAGTCAATTCGAATTAACATTCTGAACGGGGAGCTCACCCCGACTTTTCCTCGTTTCCCCCATTTCCCATCTGCCAAGTTCTATTTCCTTTCATCTTGATTTTCTAAGAAATCATTTAAAGCGACACGAATCTAAACCAAGATTTACTAAACCATCGGAAACATTAAAATGTATCATAACCTTTTCCTAGAATTCAGCTATTCCTAGAGCACGGAGGTGTCGGATGCACCACATGGGATAGGAAGCATCAGTGTGTTCTCCTGTATCGCCAACGAATAGTTATAAATAAATGAGAGCTGAAGTTCTGAGAACAATAAAGGGGTTCCGGAAACCACCAATCAAAGAGAGAAAAGTTATTTTTGAGTGACTACTTTGTCAAAAACACACACACACACACAAAAAGGCATAGTAAGGAAAAGAACTGACCAATAAGTCCAAAAGTCGAAGCAAGTTGGTAGTGATATTTCTGTGGTCCCAAGAGTAACGAATATGTCAAGTCGTAAAGCCCTTTTTTCTAGCTCCCCAAATGAATTATAAGGATTCTCAGAAAAAGCTACAAAAAAGTCAAATATAAGTGAAACAAGAGAAAAAGGAAGACAAGGAGAACCCATTGCGAATTCGGTTTCATGATGATTAGCTCCTCGCCAAAATTATAAAACTTATCAAATGAGTTCTTTCCGGAGGACATCCTCTTTTTTTCTAAATGGTAGGATGGGGAGATGGAAGTAAGAAAGTAAGAAAAAAAACCGAAATGGAATTTTTTCCCCCATCTCTCTTTTTCTAGACACTCATCATCATCATCATCATCATCATCTCCTTATTCGTTTTTCACCATTGTTATTATTAAGCGCTGGAAATAATTTCTTTTCAGCTCATTTATTTTTTAGACAGGCAGGCACACGGCACTTAATATAGCTTTAATAGTTTTTCACTTTCTATACATAATTGGTTGAACGAGGATAATGAGATTCAGCTAAAAAATTTCAGAGACGGAATTGACGAATTGAGCGAGAGAGTTTGCAATTAAAAAGGAAATCTGAAAAATAGAAAACAAGGAAAAAGATGCAACGGATTCCAATTTTCAGACACAACGCTAGAAAACAAGGATCTCCACAAGACAAAGAATGAACACGAATATAAAAAATTCTGATTTTCACGGTGTTCTATACATTTTCAATTGCATTTTCTTTTATTTTTTGTTCCTGGAAATCTAGATTCTGTTAGAAAATGACCAGCACGTCAGAAAAAAAAATAGAGAAACCAGGATAAACAGAAAACGTGGGTCCTGCCATTGATGTTCAGTCAGGGAGAAAAGTTCTATTGAGAGATAAAGAGAATTTTCAGGTGTCTGCATTTTTTGAAACGAATGTACTCAGAAAAGTTAAAATCCGACGTTTTCTTTAATTTCTGGAATTCAAGTTACTGTAAACGCCCTAATACAATCATTCCCCTAACTTTGAGTCAATATAAATAAGTTTCTGTGGAAGATATAAAAAAGAGGTGGACGGACAGAATGTTTTTGATATTACGATAAACATTTTGTCAGATGAAAACTTTTTGAAATTTTCACGAGAAATGAGATAAATATACTTAAAGATTATGATCCGTGGGACATTTTAATGTAGTGTTTGCGCTAGAAAGTTTTTTAGATTACTGGATTTTTCAAGTTAAATGAAAATTAAGGGTTTTCCTCTGAATGAATATGTTGGACAAAAGACGAGAAATTGAAAAAAAATTTAGCGCAAGACACCACTATAGTTTCCTCTCACCGTTTTTTAACCAGCGATGATGGTACACAACGCAATGGTTTCCAAGAAAACTCGCTTATTTCTGTTTCTCCATGCCTTGTGCCCTTTATGACCTTAAGACTGACAATAATCTAATTAACTCTGCAAAAGTTTGAACCTCACTTGGTGTCTTCAACTTTTTTCTACCCAAAAGAGAAAAAAAACCCCGAAGTAGCAGAAAAAGAAACTAAGTGTGACCGTCATGAGCTCACGAGTAATTATCTCGCATTTTCTGTTTTTTCTCCGGTCTTAGTAGAATATACGTCCTCACCAACAATATACCAAAGGAAGCGACAGGAAATTGGAAGAAGAGTGGAAGTTATTTTTTATCTCTCAACCATAAATACAATTAATTACGTGACTTAGACGAGTACCAGGAACAAGGAAAGTGCTAGAAAAACAATGACGATGGGGCAGGTGTATCAAATGCCTATTTTATTAATTCATAAGTGGTCGTCTTCAATTTCCGATGTCTTATATTACTTTTGTTTACTCTGAAGAAGTGGAATTATGAAAATAAGTAAGAATTAATGAGCATCCTATTTTGAAACATTGTTCGGACGCGCAGGCTCGCAGCATAACACACTGTCTAGAAGTGAGAAGACATAATTCAATTTTCTGTCTCTAGAAGCGTTCAGAATGACGAATCCATTGTAGAAATGTTTAATTTTTATTATCAACTTTAACGGTAGTGTTAAAAATTGTCAAGTGTGAAAAAGTACAAGTATTGAAGTAATGTTTTACAAGTAAAGGATACCATCTACTAGATTTTCCAAACAGAAAAAAATATGACAAGCCAGAAAATGTTCAATGAAAATGGAGAAAAAAGTAGAGAAGATTGTTGTGTGAACGCGATGAGTTGTGCCCCTGTATGTCAATTTTTGGGACCAAGGAAATTTAGTGACAAGAGGATAACTGATGTAAAGAGAATAGTATGAGAATCATTAAACAATAAGAGCAATGGGAAAAAATTGGATGATTTTTGATGACTGGAACACAGGAAAGAATGGGAGAAGGGAGCAAAAAAAATAAAAGATACGTCGTCGTCTCCCAACCCCATCTCGGAAATTTAATAACAGCAAAAATTGAGAAATTTCATTCTCCGTCTTCTTATTGAACAACTTCCAAATCTGTGTCGCTGCTCGTCGCTTCCTTTGCGTCTGGAGAATCTTCTCTAACGTCATCCTTCTCAATGTGGACAACATCGTCGGATCCTTCCTTTTGATCATGCTCAACCTGGACGATATCGTCAGACTCGTGACTGCTTCCTTGTGAGCTCTTCTCCTCGGAGTGCTCGCTGTTCTCACCAACGACTACTGCAGAGTTCTGGTCGTCATCTGAAATTAAACATTATGTTAGAAATGAAATTATGAGAACTATGTACCTTTGTCTTCAATCTTATAAATCGACCAGTCATCCTTGAACATCTCTTGTGGGGTTGTAAAGTTTACAAGTTTGGCGTGCTTTAGAAGCATTACTCGGTCCATGTTGCGAACATTGTCAAGTCGGTGAGCAATGATGATTACTGTAGCATCTACGAACACCTTTCTGATAACCTCCTGGATGAGTTTGTCGGTAGCTGCATCCACTGAAGCAGTAGCTTCGTCGAGGATAACAATGCGAGAGTTTGAGAGAAGTGCCCGAGCCAAACAGAATAATTGTCGTTCTCCAACGGAGAAGTTATCTCCTCCATGACTAACTTCTGCTTCAATTTTTCCAGGCATTGCTTGAACTAACGCCTTCAAGTGACATTTTTCCAAAGCATCCCAGATTTGCGAGTCAGAGTACTCGTTGGTAGGATCCAAGTTGAAACGAACGGTACCAGAGAACAGCGATGGGTCTTGAGCAATAGCGGAAACAGCGCGTCGGAGTTTGGTAAGTCCAACGGTGCTGATATCAATTCCATCGATAAAAATGGATCCATTAGTTGTTGGATAAAGACGACAGATTAGGTTTCCAAGTGACGATTTTCCAGATCCAGTTCTTCCAATAATTCCAACCTTTTCTCCAGCCTTGATTTCAAAAGTGATGTCATTCAGAGCAAGGGGAAGGTTTGGTCTATAGCGGAGCTTCACTTCGGAGAAGTTGATTTGTCCATTGGCAGGCCAGGAGGAGGAAACATCAACACCACGACGAGTGTTCCATTCCCCATCTGGTTGAATGTTCTGAAAATTGATTGATTTAGATGATTGCCAGTGTAATTTAGCTCACCTTAGCATAGTAAGAAACTCTCTCAACACTTGTCATCTTTGCTTCCAGTTCAGTTTGAGTTCTAACAGCGAATTGGAAGATTCCGCTCATCTGCACAGCAAAAGCAATAGCCATACCAGCATCAGCAGGTGAAACGGTTCCAGTAAGAACAACAGTCAAAAGAGCAACACATCCAGTCATAACCACAACCAAGAGATCCAACCAGACAGCCAACCATCTCATAGCAGACTGGAACATGAAGATGGCACCACTGTTACCATCGAGATGTTTCTTGAGGATGTCCAAGAAGCGGTTGCTTTGTTGCAGGGAGTGAATAGTGGTCATTCCTTCCAAACTGGCAGTCACATGATCGTAAAGTGGAGAGCGGGAGATGTGTTCGGATCGTTTCAAGCTAAAAAAATAATTTTCGAACAAACTCGTACGAAGAACTTTCACTCACTTTCTGATTCCAGCTCTAAAGCAAGAGACAAACACAACAAATACAACGAAGAGTGGGATGGCGAAGAGAAGGAAATATGGAAAGACGGATATGATCACAACCAAGAATCCGAGACAAGTAATCATGTTTTGAAGGAAGACTTCGGCGGTGAATGGAAGTTTGACATCAACTGCAAATGTTTTGAAACTATTTTTCAATACAATGAATACAAAACTTACTCTCATCCATATCCTTAGAAAATCTGTTCAGAATTCTTCCAGTTGGAGTGGAATCAAAGAAGCTGGTGGCTCCACGGATCAACGAGTTGAACATTTTATCGTGAAGTCGAGTAGCAGCAGTGAGAGAGACTTTGACGAATACACAGGCTTTGAAGAGTCCAGAAAGAGTGAGAATCACAAGAGAGACTAAGTAGACAGAGGAGTAGAATCCAGTTAATGGACTGTCAGCGAGACTTTCTCTAGTTTCCAAGAAGTTGGTTCCATTGATAACAGTCACTGTTTCATCATGTCCCTTTTTCAACCATCTTGAGAGCCAGTATGTAGAGAAAATGTTGGAGACGACGTTGATGATAAATCCGATAATAAGGCACACCCAGATTGGCCAGCTGCCGGCAGCATGAACGTATTGCCTGCAAATTCATCACTCTCACAACTGTCAGCTAATTCAAAATCGTCTTACATATAAATATTCCAAGCGATAGTACTGTTTCCCATATCTTCCTCGTCACTGATCAATTTATCAACATCTGCAGCGTTCACATTCTCAGAAGAGTTCTTCAAGGCTTCAGTCTCAAGAGTTGGTGGTGGTGGAGCTTCGCCAACTGGAGAAACTGTTCCGGAAGATGCTTGATAGGTTCTGCAGGCGTTCACAAAGTTTTTGTAGGCAACATTGGACTCGTAGAGGTTGTCATGGTCTCCATCGGCTACAATATTTCCACCCTCCACAAAGATAACACGATCGAAGTGTGATAAAAGCTGAAATTCCATCATTATTCAGTTTAAAAATCGATAATTCTTACCTCCATATTGTTGGTGACCATCATCAAAGCCTTCTTTCTCAACAACTTTTGAATAATTTCCTCATGAATTTTGTTAGCCACCTTCTTATCCAAACTAGCAAACGCATCATCGAACAAGTAAAGGTTTTTGCTCTGGAACACAGCTCTGGCCAACGAGATTCTTGCTTTCTGACCGCCAGATAGAGTAGCTCCACGCTCTCCAACTTCGGTTCGGTCTCCTACGGCAAGTGTTGTCAAGTCTTCAGTCAATTGACATCCATGCACAGCTTTGTAGTATCTCTCTGCATTCATCTTGTCACCAAACAAAATGTTGTCTTGAACAGTTCCATTAAAGATCCATGGCTTCTGTGGAACATATACGGTTTGGGTGCGGTCCACAGAGATTGCGTCGTCCTCGGAGAACATCTGAAAGGGTTTTAAAATCCAAAAGAGTGGCGTTTGAAAACTTACATGTCCAGAAATAGCCTTCAAAATTGCTGACTTTCCACTTCCAACACCTCCAATAACAGCAATATGCTCTCCACGCTTGACAGTGAACTTGTTGAAGTTGCAAGTGAACACGTTTTGCTCAATTACCAATTGCTCGGTTTCAGTTGGATTTGTGGGTGCTGCTGGAATCCGCATAGTTAGAATATACAGGCAAAAAAAAACTTACGCTTTTCAACCTTTGGCTGGTAGTTGTATGCTGCTCTTTCACAGTAAAGAACAGTATCCTCTGCGTTGGTGACTGGCCAGGTTGTGTATTGCTCCAACATGAGGAATTCCTTGATTCTACGTAGAGCCACGACTGCTTCAGCCAAGTATCTTGATCCATATGGAATCATACGAATACCGAACAACATTACAAAGTATACAGTGATAGCAGAGAATGCATCGGAGGCCAAAAGATCATTTCCAGCAAGAACAACTCCGAGGAAGGTGAGAATAGCAGCAACAACTGGGACAACAGGTCCACAGGCAATAGCTAAGGACTGTGCGTATCCAGATTTACGAATTTGAGCTTTTTCTTCTTGGCGGAAAGCTGAAAATATCAGAGTCTGTTTGAAAAATAGAGTTAATTGACCAACCGTCTACTTTCTTGCTGAACACATCCTCCCATCCATTGATCTTGATGATTCTGATATACTTAATGATCTCTCCCATCAAGCTGATACGTTTCTCTGTTTTCACAATAGCCAGATTACGGCAAGCGACCATAGACTTTCCGAGAATGAACTGCAAAGACGGACTTTACATATTTTGAACTGCAAAAAAAAATTGTATGTACCTGAATGACATCGAAAATGAAGAAAACGAGGATTCCAAGAAGTGACCATCTTCCAATAACCAGAAGCAAGTACCCAATTCCTCCTACAAGAACCAGGGGACCCACAAGAACCAACGGAGCAAAAGTGACGGCATCAAATAGGCGTTGTCCATCGTTAGCAAAAATATTGATGACGTCTGGTTCACTCTTTCCACACAAATCTTTAGCATTCAACACATTTTTGTAGAGAAGTGCAAGAACAGCACCGCGAACTCTGATTCCAGTTCTAAAAACCGATAAAAATGTGTCGATTGCTGATGCAGCAAGAACCAAACCTGTATGAGACCGCCCATGTCGCTCCATATGACAAAACTCGTGCAAACTCGACGACACTGATTGCCAGGACAAGGCCAATTCCATAAGAGTAAACGATGTTTTGGTCTTCGTCGCGTTGGGGGTTCTCAGCGAAAGCGATCAGTCGTCTGATGAAACATGTTGGTCCGATGAATCCGAAAATAAGACAGAAGAAGAATACAGCACATGAGAACCATAGACGGGTGCTGATGAATCTGAAATTTCAAAATAAATTGATACTTTCAGTCTACAAATCTGTGAATAACCTGTAGATAACCTTGAACAATGATGGATCCTTTGGATTCACTTTCTTTTCATCTTCCCACAAAACTTCCAATCTGAATAAGACTATCTATCAAGACAAGAGCAATATGACACTCACCTGGCCATATTTAATCCACAGCTGTCGTAAAAACTGCACCCCCATACTTGATCTCGATTTAATTTCCCTCTAACCGCTTGCCATAAGTATGGGAAGACCCAGGAGTAGGTGACAAATGAGAAAAGGCCGGCATCGTCAATTCGGCTTCCTCCGTTGTTCTTGTTTCTGCAAAAGTGAGATATGAATCGGGGAGAATCGATTTTCGGGGAGGGCGGGAGATGTCAAAAATCAAAATTCTCTACGCATCTGTCTGTATGACTGTTAACAGATGGTAATATACAGTACCGGTAAATAGGACGTATATTTTCAGTTGGTGTTAACTAATTTCAAGAGTAGAGCTTGAATGTCAAGTTGATTCGTGAAAAACATCTATTTTTTATATTTTCATTACAAAAACCGGCAAAAAAGGATTTTCCAGAAATCGACAGTCAGCTGGAGAACTAGGAATTGTTAGAGAGTTTTGTAAATGGCAAGTTTTCAAACGATGCCTGTTTTACACCCTTCGAAGTTTCCAAATTGATCGGAAACTTGACAACTGTATTCCAGATCTTTGAAAATGATCAAAATAACCGGATTCATTGGAAAACTACGTTTTAGTTCAACTTATTGACCGTTACTGTAGATTTCACAATGTTACCCACTCACTTTTCTGTAGTTCTGACAGGAATCAAATTCTGTACTGCAGCTGAATATCTTCCCATTGTTTTCCGGTTGCCTCCTTCTCCAGCATATCTTTTTGCTCTGTCTGCTGACCTGTAAACAGGAGAATCATATTTTTAGGTTTCTTAAAAACTTACTCTTTTGAATAAACCACATTTTCATAGACGCCTGTCCCTGATTGTTGTAGACAGACTTCCTCGCTGTCCGAGGGCATCTGCAAAGCAAAAAATTGTTTTTCGTAAAATTGATGATATTTGTTTATAACGGAAGAAGAGAAGAAGAAATAAACAAAAACGAGAGAGCAATCCACTTGTACGAAAAGAACGGAACGTGACCATAGTTCTAGATAGGGAGGAGAACAGAAAGAAGACGGTTTTTTTTCAGCAAAAACCCAAAATACTTCTCAACACACATACTTTCTCTCTTCTTTCTCTTATCATTTTCAAGCCGTAGGCGATTATTGCAACTGATAAATGTCATTAACCGACATATGATGAAAGTTTTGTATAATTCGTCTCTGTCTCTTCCTCTCTTCACGCACTTTCTCAATTTGCACTCATATAGAATATTCGATGATGAAAATTGCGACTTCTGTGCTGCACATCAGCCGCTTCTTATTGCTTCTTATCAAAATTTATGACTTTTTTAAGGCTACAAAAAACATGAACCTCAAAAATCGACGAAAAAGAAATGGCAACATAGGTTTGACACCAAGAAAAGAAAGGGACAATAAGAGCAAAAAAGGGTGACACTGCACAGCGAGCGAGCGCGCGGTTATACAAACCATCCCTGGTGCAGTGGAGCACAGTTGCTGCGCTAGCCGGTCATACGACGGAAAATAAGGGGGTTAGGGAGGACAACGACGCACACACCACACACCGGCTGTTCAGGTCAAGTGAACGGCGGACTACACTACACCAAGGATCATTAGCACAAAGGAGGGTCGCATGACGAGGTGGTGACGAGGATCGATTTTCTACATTAACACCTGCTCTTTGTTGTTGTCAGTAATTTTTGGAATTCGGGAATTCGACAACAACTTTTTCCAGGAAAATTTTTGTCACTGGGTGAACATGGAAAAAACTTGTCCAATTTTATTTTTGTACACTTGGTCATAGTGTGTTCTGTGACAGTTTTTTGTCAGAAAAATGATGATAAAAACAGTTTGTTCAAAAAAGACCATTAGAACTTATTTACATCATAACCGCGTATATGATTTATTTTTTATCAATTTCCAAAGTTGAAAAAACAACAAGGTTACTGATAAAAGTTTGCGTTGAGAGAACAGAAAAAACAAAAATAATGCCTATTGTTTTGATGTATCTTTTCAAATTTAACGCCTGACCTACATATCTCATCTGTTCGTCTTCGGATACCTGCGTTTCTCAGGGGCAACTGTGTTTCTTACATTCTTTGTCTTGAGGATAAACGCAGAACAGTTATTACACAAGATCTACGCAAGTAATTTCGGATGTGATTCTCGCAAATAGTGATGAAGAAAACGCAATTTATAGGCAAACATTCATTTTTGATAATTTTGAACGAGAATCAAAAATTTTGGTAACTAATCAATGATTTATCACCAGAAAGCTGGTGCACCTTCGGCATGATTTAATCTACTATTTTACTGGTTCAGCACTTCACTCTTCCCTTTTTCTTGAATGGTCACGTAAATTTAAATTTATTTTTCAAATTTTTCAAAAATTGACAGACGGACATTAAGACGGACAGACGCCTCTAGCGTTTTATATATAAGGAATATATCATCACTAACATTTTATCAGTTGACAAAATTTTGATGTAATTCATAGGAACCGAGATAAATTTGGTCAAAGTTATCAGTGAGAGGGGGGGGGGCACTTCTATTAAAGAATTTACCATACAATCATTTAAATTTGAATTAATACAAGTTTTACCAAATTTGGTTCATTGGTATACCACAGGAAGAGACAAGTAGTTTTTGGATCAATGATATAGTTAAGCATTTTTGAGTTGGAATGATCCCCAGAGAAAAGTTGAGATAAGGATATTGATGAATTTGGTTTCAAAGCATCAAGCAAAGAAGCAAGTAAATTATGAGGAATGGTAGATTACGATAGCCTACTTCTGGAATTAGCTAGAGTTGATGACGCAGATCGTTTCATTATCTCAATCAGCTATAATATGATTCACGCGCTCTTTTGAACGCTTCATCTTCTTCCTGAGCTTCTGAGAACATGTTCCTTCGTTTTGATGTTGTCATTTCAACCGGCCGAGAATGATGAGCGGATAGCTGGAAATAGAAACCTCAGACCCCACAAAAAATATAAAAAAACTCACAAATCGATCTCTCTGAGCTTGCTCGGCTGCGAGTCTTCGAAGCAGACCTTCACATTCGTCCCGATTATTTCCGTGCTCTAAACAAACTACTTCTCTTGAATTCGGTGAATTGAGAAAGGTGCTGAACGGCAATGTAACTGGCTCTAGACTCCTCAAATTCTTTTTAGCCAACACGAAAACTTTCAGCTCCTTGTACTGGTTCACTGAGTGATGGAGATAGCAAGTCGGGTTGCATGACCTATGAAGAAACTGTTCCGTTCTGACCGGTTTGGGACGACGCGTATCGATGCAAATGTTGATGTTCTCCAGTCCATTGTAAAGAATTGTGCTAGTTGAAGAGCTTGGAAGATGCATTTCGGTGTCTAGAGAATATGTTCCATCTATTGCTAGAAGAATCCTGTCCTTCTCGACATCTTCGGAGACATTCACAGTCTGGGGAACTTTATCACGGAAAGTTAGGTGAACTTTTGGGTAGGGGATTTGATGGTCCAAATGGTCTCTGTTGGTAGTTGGAACTTTGTAGAGCAAAGATGAAACTCCGCTGGAGTAGGCTGGCAAGAAACGTTCTCGGAGATTCTGACGACAATATACAGAGTAAGTGTTCTGAAAAACGGAAATGTGGTTTAAAAAACAAAACTATTCTATACACAATAATTGTAAATTGGCCGTTGGCTCATGGAAAGGTTATTAAATGCCTAACCAGTATTTTAAAAGTGTTTTTCTCAATTTTCATTGAAAAAACATACCATTTTTCTCCTATACGACGATAAGGCTGCCTCAACAGTTATACAAGGTTTACCGATTCATAAGATATCTGTAAATTGGTCTTTAAAAATTGTAAAATACACAGAAAAGCAGACGAGATATAGAAACAACAAGAAAAGAAACATCGAAACATGTGGAAAACAAACGCAGAAGGTGTCGAGACCGAGGGCAGACGTATAGTGCATAGAATAGAGAGAGGGGAAAGAGAGTAAACGGCAGAGATTGAGACACTTAGAGAAATTAGCCTATGGAATTTCGCAATACCCGCACACACTTTTTCGGCTAATCGATTATTCTGTTCGCAAGAGAAAACAATCCAGACGAAGACTAAAACAGTCGTTAAGCAAAGAATTACAAAATTCCAAGCATTAGCCCTTCCATGATGTAGATACAGTGAAACGGACTTTATGACCTCATCGAAAATATAGTTTTTACATTTGACAGCTGATAAAACTAAAACACTAACAAGGGAACCTTTTGAGTGAAGGCAGGAGTCAGCAGAAACCACCAACATAGATCGAAAGAACATGGTCGAAAACCTATAAAACCGTTTTCAAAGTTTTCAAAGTTTTTCAAAGTCTGTTTTCTTTACTCCTAGGAGGTTTTAGGAGTTGAAACTTTTTGTATTATACTTGAAATTGTGTGAAATCTTATATTTCAGACATTTTCCATATTTTCTAAAAAAAAGTCTCCAACTCGGAAACTTGGGCCCACTGAAAATCAAGGCAAATTTTGAAACTTCTCAAAACTTTTCCGAAAATACTTATTTTTTAGAAAATGTCCGAAATATGAAATTCCGCATAATTTTAAGTATAATAAAGAATTTCAAGTCCTAAAACCTCCAAGGAGTGGAGATAATCAAGTTTGGAAATTGCCGATTTTACACTGAAAATGGGATTTCGGGTGCTGAAACTGAAATTCCAACACTTCAAAGGTCTCGTAAGCAGACTTTGAAAACGATTGTATAGGTTTTCGACCATGCTCTTTCGATCTATGTTGGTGGTTTCTGCTGACTCCTATCTTCACTTAAAAGGTTCCCTTGTGAGACGAGTGAAAAAAAAGCTGAGGAACTAAACGACCTTTCACCGTATCTTAACGTCACAGGATTGATGAATGACAACTCGTTGACTCCTTGTGAAAAAATCTAATAAAGTATGCGCCCCGGTTATTTGGAATTGGTTATGGCCTGCGAATAATGATTATTGATTAGATCCACAGATCAATAGGGCGGATTTGGTTCAGGATTATGACCTGATTGACTGTATGAAGCTTGAATGCTGAACAGATCGAATGAATATATTTACATCTTTGAAGAGGTACATCATGACCATCAGTTTTATGTAAACCAGTTTACCTTGTTTACTGTGAAAGATTTCAAAAAGTTATGAACCAACAAAACGTTTATCATTTTTCACAGCATATGAACTGTCCCGAATTTGGCGATCATCTTGCCACTGTTTAAGATTCGATGGTAGTGAAGTTTATCGTCTTGCCAAACAAACAAAAATTAATGTTGTGAAACGGAACCGATAGTTAGTCGCATAACTCAAGAGCCTGTCAAGAGTTTTAGTTGAATTTTTATGCATATAGTGCCTTAATACTTTGAAAACTTGAATATCGGTCAATTGAATTCCTAAAATAGCCGTTAATTTCATGATATCAACTTAGACTTAGAACTCTAGAAAAAAGAACAGAACATGCAAATTATAATTTATTGACAAATTAAAAGAAAAAATCCACAAAACGATTCGGTAAGTAGTACACGTATAATTTTGGAAAAATGAAGGAACGATTTTTCAGAAAATTTTGTATCCTGTTCAGTAATTTATGGGCAATCATTATCGCGTATTACATCGGAAATTTAACTATCCAAAGGTTTTCCAGCAGTTTCTGCGCCACCAGCATCCAGGCATTAATAACTACCTGATTAAAGTTTGGTATGTTGTCGTAGTATTTTTTTCTAGCGTGAATCTTTCTCAACATGAGTCGTCAATCTTTTTCGGTGGTATTGAGATCAGAACAGCTGGGTCATTGAGAGCTGGGATTCCATAGTCACTTATTCCCTGATGGTGATATATTGGCCTTCTGAAAATACCCGGCAGACAGTCTTCGCGGACACCGACAAACTGATATTTGTTATTGTACGTTTTGTAGTGGAATACCATTGACCGAACTATGGAGAATGTAATTTGCCAATTTCGGAAAGACATCACCGGCCCGTTTTTATACGGAAAACTGAAAAAAAAATCAGATGCATTTTTAAAAATCGGCAAGTAGTTGAAAGTTTGAAAGATTCTGTGAATGCAAAGTTTTCCAATTATGCCTGTTTTTCATCCTCCAAAGTTTTCAAATTGATCGGGAATTTTACAGCCGAGCTCTAATTTGAAAAATGGCAAAATCTGAAAAATATTTTGTATACCTCATTGACCGGTACTGTATACAACCCAAAATCACGTACCAGTGATGTGTATTAGGACTACAATACTCATAACTCTCAAGGCGTCATAACGTCTCCACCAACACAATCTTGACATTATCATTTGGTTTCATTCTTCTTATTTTTGCTCAGACCATTCCTCATTCTTATTCTTTCTCATTCCCAAATGGTTTTTTTTTGCGTCATCACCTGATGACACTCTTATGTTCACCCAAAAAATCGAGAGAGGCCAATGAGAGGATGATAAAGTGAGTGTTTGTCAAAATATCATACTTGTGGGAAAAATGGTCGTGTTAATATTTTTAGCTGGCCCGTCGGGCCAGAAAATTAGAGACGTGACCGGCTCGTTTTCGAAAATTTCAAGATTTTAAAGCGAATCATCATTTTTAGAACCATGCAAGACAAAATTGATGAGAGCAATAAAAAGCACGATGATGATATCAGCAGGATTTAATTAGCATACGCTCAAAAAATCAAACATATCCAAGATGAGGGTTCGAAAGAATCGAAAAAAAAAATTGAAAGTGATAATGCGAATCTTGTTATTCAAAACACAAATTTAAAATTTTCACAGTTTCAAATAAATTTTTAAATGAAAAGTCTTCAAGAACGATATGACGCAACGCTTTCAAGATTGGAAAAAATTGAAAACACTGAAGCGGGAGGGCGAAGAAAAAATTGGAGAGATGACTGACGAGAGTGAGAGAATCGCATCGCAACAAGTGGAAGAATTTCTTGGATACCGTAAAACCTGTATTAGAAGGGCCCCTGAAAATGAAATGCCCCTTTGACTATCTCCTTTGATTTTCAGTCGTTTTTTTCTGTTGTTTTGAATGAATAATTGTCTAATTTTGAAAAAAACTGGCACCTGAAAACTTGAATGCCGTTGCTCTATTACAGATTCTTGTCTTGTCTGAGCGATTTTCGCAATTAAGCATGGAGTTTTTCAATTTGAAAAAATTCGAGAAGTTTTAGCGACGAAAATGTTACCAAGAAATCTGAATTTTACTCTGAAAATCCCACTAAATTCAAAGAAATTGATTTCGTTCGATACAATATCGGGTTTAAAAACCTCGTAAATTTGCATGAACGGCGCTCGCGAAATCAGGCCAGTTTTTAAAATTTTGACAATATTGGAAATTTTGTTTTTATGAATGAATTGTAGTGGATTCTGAGTAGAAAACGAAATTTTAACTGAAATATGATGTCAATCCAATAGAAGTTCCGTTCTCAGCGACCCCACGAAAAATACAAGTGCCCCATCTAATTGAAGGGCCCCTCTAATTGAAGTGCCCCCCTAGGGACCCCACGAAAAATAGAAGGGCCGGCCCTTCTAATACAGGTTTTACGGTATCAAGAAAAACTGGAACATTTGGAAATCGATCACAAGAACAAAGTTTTGGATGTTAAAATGCTCCATCTACAATTGCAAGAAAAAATTTATGAAGGCGAAAAGTAATGTTTCTTCTCTTTCCAATGTCTGCAATTTGTTGTTCAGAAAACAGCGACCATTGCGACAAAAACTTAAATTGGAGGTTGCCGAAAAATTGAATTCTGAATTGTCTTCGAATTTCTCGAAATGACGATCGAGAAGTCTTGATAGAGTTTCTGAGCATCATGAGTACCATGAAAATTACAGAAACCGGTCTGAGAACGATTAACGCTTGGGTGAGGAATTCATCGACCAAAATTCAAACGTTTTGCTCTTTTTTATGCGATATGTAGGGGACTCTCCGAAAAAGAAAAATGCGATGCTGAATTGAATTTTAAACAAGTCGCTGGTTCCGAGTCGACGTTAACAAATCAATTATTCCAATTCCGTCAGATCATTATCAATAAAGAAAACGTGAACAAAAAACTAATTAAAAATTTTCAGGCAGATTTTTGCAACACTAATTTTGAAAATATATTACGGAATTTCAGAGCTAAGTGCGTGTTTTTGAAAAGTCTTTGAAAAACACAAATTTCGCCTTTGCTCAAATTTCCCGGCTGCAATTGAGACTAAAAACAAATCTGAAATCGAGGAACTTGGAACAATAGCTGGAGAATTGTCTGAGACCAAATAAAAGACGAATTGGAGCAAATTTCTGATCAAAACCCTTGCTACCAATTCAGCCTTCTTGTTGAAGTTTATCATCTTTTTTCTTCTGGTTTTATTTTCCTTTATTCACTCTTAATATTTGCTTTGACATTTACTTTTGCTATTTCTTACATCTATAGCTGACTTGTGTCTTTTCCATTGCGATAAACTTTAAAAAAAACGGTTTCTAATTGTTTGCATTTTTCTGGTGATTTTTCTGATAATTTTCTTATCATTCTAGCACACCCACAAGACGGAAACTTCAAAATTTCTTCTTCAGTTTTTCCTAAATTAGTCGTTCTGTTTACAATACTGTTCTAAACTCAAATCTCGAAAACTGAAGAAAACTTTCCATCCGAAAGTTTTCCTCTCTAATCCCGTGTCCCACGTTTACAAAATTGCCTCTTCGTTTTTTTTTCAGGAAACCAGAAACGAAAAGTCCTACTCATCTTCTTCATCTTCTCTTCGTTTTTACTGCTCATTTCGGAACTAATTACTTGCACTGCATTAGTTGGAAAATCCCTCAATACCCGTGTATTGTGGCTTTTTGGTGGGGTTAGGTGCTTTGTGATTAGGTTATGCTATTTGTTAGTCACACGAAATGACCTAATTTCGCTTCATCTTCTTGGGCTCCGTGCCCTTCTAATCTTCTCCAACCCTCGGCTTACGACTCTCCTCATAACCTCGTTGGCGGATATGAGCTTTATAGGAAAGTGCGATTGGGCTTTGGAGCCATAAAATGAACTGGAAATAGGAATTGCAACTTTCAATGTGAAAGTAATGCAAAAGTTTGAGAAAAAACTAGATCAAGTTTTGTAGTAATTTATTTTGATATAAAAATCTTATTCTTGCACAAACTTTCGTCGAACAGCAAAATTGTCATATTGTGATGTAAAATTACGTCCGCCTATAAATTTTTTTAAGTTTTACACATTTTCAGGCTAAACTTCTTGGTTTGTGACAATTTTAAATCATTCAACACTGGTTATTATCACTTTTACAATATAAACTGAAAGTACATGGATCTAACGGCGCAAGACAAAGATTTCAACACAAAGACCACAATGCGCTTTTGAAAAAAAACTTGACCACGTTTTGTCACCGCCGGATAAGAATTATGTTCAAGATAAACATTTCCAATAATACAAAAAATGAAAGAGTTTATTCAAAACGGCTGCTCACCGATAAGGTATGACAACAAAACAGTTCAAATCTGTGTACATATAAATAAAGCATGAAGCAGATTCATCATATGTGCATTATCAGAAAAGGTGTAGAAATCAATAATTGTACGAAAAAAAAAACCGAACAAGATATGTCTTTATACAGACTGACCATTTGAGATATAAACAATAATCAGTGCATAATGGGAGGAGAAAAGATTTATGAGGTTTTGGAGGAAAGATTGGGAGATCAATGGGAAGGAAAATGAAGAGGTATTCACGATGAGTTGATTTTTTTTATATTTTGACAAATATTTCGATATCGCAACAATTATTTAATATTGTTCAATGACACACTCAAGTTCAACACTTTCATTTCTTCATCCTCAGTTTCCTCGATTTCCTCTTCGCCTAGTAGTTCGTTTTTGATCGCGAGCAGCTCGGCGGGTAATCTAAAAAAAGCAAAATAACGGTTTTTTTGATTGCACAATCGTGTTTGTGAACATGCCTGAACACGTTGAGAAACTCGTCGGAAGAGTCGAGATATCCGCTGCTTGTCGGAGGTGTCATGTATCCTTTCGGTGAGAGATCTGATGAAATTTGAGCGGCAGACACTGCAATTGTTACGGTTGTGGGTGGGAATGGAGGGGGGGGGGGGAGGACAGGAAATTGGGGGTTACTGTAGTGGAACAAGAGAACAGACACAATAATGGTCTTGACTTGATTGGCTGAAATTTGAGGTGTAAAACGAAACGAACCGCATTCTTCTGGGTGGCCCGGATGGTGACTCTCACGATGCCGACGACGGTCTACTTTACGTTGGAACGTCCGGCCACACACATCACATGCGAATGGCTAGAAATAAAGAGTCCGAAATCTGATGGAGTGAAATTTTGGGATTACCTTGAATCCGGTATGTTTTCTGGTGTGGGTGATAAGATTAGACGACTGGCTGAACGCTTTACCACATACTGTGCATTTGTGTGGTTTTTCACCTGGAAATTGGGTTTATTTTGGTGGTAAAGGGTTACTGTAGTTTTAATGAAATTCTAGGTTTTGGAACAAATTGTTTTGTAAAAATGTAATAACCTTGTAAGATACCCTCAATTTTTTAACAGCATGGAAATCAATGCTTGCTCTTTGAACTCAATTATCTGAATTTCTATAAGAGATAACAAATATATTTCAATTGATAAACTGTTTGTTATACTATCACCATCATTTTATCAATTGTGGGTAGAAAAGACATAAACTAGTTTCATTCAATATGAAAATTAGCGTTCTCAGTCCTCAGATGCGCCGATTGATAACAGCACAGCCAATACGAATGGAATTTTACAGAATAATGGAATTTTACAGAATCCCCAAGTTCTAAAACTTTCTCTAATTGTTTGTTGCAATTCCAACTACTTTCAATCTTTAACTTTTTCTCATCGCTTCCCTTTCCCATCATGTCAAGCTCTGTGGATTGCTTGACTTGTCACCATACAAGATTTAATTTGTGTTTAATTCTCAAAACGTCATTCAAAGAATCTCTCATTTCCCTTCCCCTTAACCTTTGACATCTCATCTCAGAATTTGAATTTGAAGCAATTCGCCAATGTTCAAGCTGTGTTGAGTTGAGCAATGCTCATCGCTGTGGTTCACTGCCTTTACATGGATTGAAAAGAGAGTGAAAGAGAGGGATGGCGCTTGTGTTGATGGGAGCAAAAACGCGATTTAAATTCAATTTTGATTTGTGTTGCGGAACGGTAGTCGACTCGTCTGATGACATGACTCGGGGAGTCTCTCTTTCATACTGATTCATCAATCATACTTAGAGACGGGCCCTTCGAGAAGGAAAAAGAGGAGGAGAGACACGCATCTGACAACTTTTCGATTCATAATAAACCAGAATAACGACTTACTCTCTTTTTCAGATGAGAGTTGAATTTTCAATTAGTCAGACTAGTCGGAATCACAAGAATTATATTTGGAAACGGGCTAGATGTATAGATACGGAACTTTTGAAAATCACAGTGAAATAAGACAGTAAATCGGCTCTTAAGCTAGTCCATATACAGTAATGTTCAATAATATATACAAAAACACATTTTTCAGTTGATTTCGGCTGTTTCCAAGGTCTGTAGCTCTGCTGTAGAGTTTCCGATCATTTCGAAAATTTTGGAGAGTGTAAAACAGATCTAGATTATTACTTTTGTATTCACAGAATTTTTAAAAATATTCTTAGTTTTTCAACTGATTTCCGAGATCTGAAAGATACCAGTTTTTAACGTTTTTGGTACAATACGGGCGAAATGGAGTGTCTTTCAAAAATCGGTGAGAAGCTCAAAACTTGGGAATTTCAGAAAATTCTGTGAATGCTTTTCAAAAAATTCTGTGAATGCTTTTTTAATCTAGGCCTGTTTTGCACCCTCCAATATATTCAAAGTACCCGGACACTTGGCAACCGCGCTCCAGACTCCAGAAAATGGTCGAAATAGCCAAAAAATCCCGTGAAAATCATGTTTTATAGCATATTAACAGGTACTGTAGATATGAACTTACTAAAAATCACGGTAGATGATAAATCAAATCTTGTAAATCAGTCCCAACCTGAACTAGATTTCAGACTGTCTCTTTCAGTTTACCTGTTTTCAGATTCTTCATTCAAACATACCTGTATGAATATAAGTGTGCTTCTTCATATCTGATTTCTGATGAAAGCGCTTCCCACAGTATTCACATGGATATGGTCTGGTGTCCGAATGAATTAAAAGATGAGTGGAAAGTGTTGAAGATCTGAAAACCAACTCTTAAAATCTCAGGATTTTCAAAAAATTCAGTACCTTTTGAAAGTTTTACCACACTGCTTACATTCAAACTGCTTGTCATTATTGTGCACTTGTTGATGTTGCTGCAAATTGTCACTAGCCAACTCTTCAATATCTGTAAATCAGTACCTCGAGAGCTGCTATCGTGGAAAAAACTTTCGTACACTTTGAACAATGGAATGGTTTCAGCTCAGCTGGTGGGGTAGGTGTCCGATAGATTGTAGCTGGAATAAATAACAGTTTCAAGAGTAAGCCCTCTTCTAAATTTAAAGTACCTGGCGGAGATTCGGAGCCAGGTGGGATCATTCCAAGCGACATAGTCCTAATGTACTGCTGCCAGAAAGCGGGAGCATTCAAAAATCCGAATGGGTTATTGATCATGTTCAGAGTAGGATGTCGAGGGACAGCTGAATATGTGGGGAATAGGATAAGTACATAAAATTTAAACTCACGTTGTTGCATCATAAATAGTTTCTGTTGTAACGAAAAAGACGCAGCCATTCTCTGCCAAGAGTTCATTATCTCTTCTGTGATAAGAAACTCATTTCTGTCCTCTACGGATTCTAAAAAAAGGTCAGTTCACTGAGATTTCGTTACTAAGATTTTGGTAGACAAACCTGTTGGTGAGACGCTTGATTTTTCAACATTGGATAGTAATGATTCTACTGAATAGACGTTTGCCACGTGGTCAGTGGTCATGATGAGACAGTACGTGGTATGAATACAAATCTGGTTATTTTCCTGAAAAGAAAAATCGAATCTGTTTTCTTGTGATTTCTAGTAAAATTGGATTAAATGAGAGACAAAAACAGAGACTGGAATAAGAAAACAAGAGATGTCTCAAATCAAGGGTCCATAGGGATTTCCAAGGATTTACAAAGAGAAGACGGACTGAAATCAGGGCTACCAAGCAAATCAATTAGGCAAAACTTTTTTCCGGAAAGGGAAGTGAAATCTTTTTCCAAGAGAATGCGACAATTGTCAAGTGTGCTCGTTGTAGTGTAAAAATGAGCATATAAATAATAAATATGAACATCAAACTGCAATAAGCATCCCTTCCCTAAGCAGGGTGGGGTACTTTGGAAAAGAGAGGACTTTGACAGGAGGACCAAAGGATGACTCGGAGCCCTTTCGGAGCCCAACTGTGGAATCTGAAATGTGGAATGCATCTCAGCAGTGATCTTCATCTTCCTCCTCCTCTTCATTTCGACCCACGTTGTCCTGCCTCTCATGTTTCCCGTCCGATGCCCGTTATTGGATCGCCCCGCCCAGCCAAGCCGAGGCTTCAAGGGGTTAGCATATTTGTAGACGGGCGTGAAGAAAAAACGTGAAAGAGCACAATCCTTCGGTTCAGGTTATGCTCAATCTATTATTCTTGTTTTAATAATCTCAAACCGATTTGTACATTTGTTCAAGCATGAATTGAGGTGACATAATCAGGAGGAGGAGCCTCAACTTTTGCTCTTTTCGTTTCGTACAAAGGACAAGTCGAGAACATTAATGGAATTTTTAAGAGGAAACGCAAAGGAATCTTGAATCTCAAAGTAGAAAATCTGCAAGCAAGCGGAGATAAGAATGGTCTATCAGGAATTCATAGAAATCGCAAAGTTTCTATGGGCTAGGGGGTAGAGCAAGAAATCAAAAAGGAAAAAAAGCATTTAAATACTTGTTTGAGCACACCAGCACAGTTTATTAGCTCAATAAAAGTTAAGGCGGCCAAGAAAGTGACGGTCCACAATATTCAAAATTGTTATGGTCGTAAAAATGTTATTAGCTTCAATCTTTTTTTCCTTATTTTGATTTGATTCAGATTTCAGGCTGTAAAACAAACTTTTCGATATTTTAGATCATTTCTCAGTGACCAACAATAAGGAAATCCTAATATTCCTCCTCATTTCCGCTCAATTCGTATTCCATCCGCGTACGGTAATTAGTATTCATCTGCACCAAGAGAGCTGATGCACTTCCAATGGGTCAAAACCCAAAAGAGCGGAGATTCCACCGGAATTTCAATTTCTCGAATCATCTCATCTCAATCATGTCACCATACCCATTTTTCATTCTCTTTACCCATACCACCCTCTCTTTTTGTACCCCCCTTCTTCGCTCCACCTCACGGTGCTATGCATTTTTAAACGACTTCCAACAGTGATGTGCTTCCAGGGATGGAGGAATACGGATAGTGGTGGTGGTGAAGATTGAAATAAATTGAGTGTCATCGTAATGCATAAATTTGAGTTTTCCGGAGGGGTGTTGGGTGATGAAGATGGGGAACACCATGCAAAAATAGTATGGGTATGGTTCAATTGAATAAATACATAAGAGCTCTTGATTTATGAAATTGTTTTGGGTCGTGTCACTGGCTAAATTAGATAGTGAACGAAATTAAAAGAGCTAAAAATGGTAGCCAGGGACAGTTTCACGTTTTATATCAGACAATTTTCATAAAGACGCATTTTTGTTTTTTTTTAAAACATTTTCAGCAATCTGGAGATGGGCTATCAAGTGTTCGATGACTTTAAAAATCTTGAAGGGTGTAAAACAGACATAGATTGAAAATTTTAAGTTCACAGAACTTTTGGAGAATTCCTAATTTTTCAGCTATTTGCCGTTTTCTGAAGGAGATTCGGATTTTTCAGGTTCACAATTTGAAAACAGACAAAAAAACAAATTCCTTCGGAAATCGGATAATAGCTGAAAAACTAGGAAATTTCAAAAAGTTATGTGAATTCACCGTTTCTGATCTATGTCTGTTTTACACTCTCCAAAACTTTCAAATTTATCGGAAACTTGACAGCCGAGCTTCAGACTATTAAAAATAAAAAAAATCGACTGAAAAATGCATTTTTGTATATTGCATTGACCGGATATTCTTACTGTATATTCTTTTTTATAATACGAAACCACCGTAAGCTGCAAGAGAAAATCTTTTTCATCTAAAAACATTCCTGGCTAAAGTGCTGAACCTTTCTTCAGTATATATCCAGCTTCGATTATGCCGATTTTGTCATTTCACACAAACCCAGAAGCATATATTCCCCAGCGGCCCCGCCGTCTGCAATCGGTATGCATGACGAGAGGTGATTGGATTCTGAATCGCGAGGACGCGTCGAGGAGAAGATATTTGTCAAGAAATTTGTTTTGGCTCCTATTTGAGATGTGTGAATTTTCAGAATTGGTAATAGACCTTCGAGGACCCGCTTTACTCCCTCCTCCACAACCTTCGGGAAAAGGGTTTTGGATGACACTGATCCGAAATTCAGTGTACAAACCGAGAAACGATCAAATGACATGTGAGGTGTGAGAATGATGGGATGGGAACTTCATGATGAGACACCAAACACGGGGCATCTGGGAATGAGGGAAATACACGTTTGTCACTATGACTTCCACTAATATGGCACAGCTACATACTTGGGAAACAAAAGCGCCCACTGTTTGCTCATTACTTTGATTGCGAGCTCGCAAAGCTAAGCACCTCCAGGTTGAGTGTGTAATATGAATCCTGAAATGCTGGAAAACTCAATTTTCCTCTCTTCCACTTCTGATTCTGAATAACTCGGTTTTTAATGGAAAACAAAAAAGAAGCGAAGTCGATGACCAACCAACATCCACCGAGTTTTATGATTTCTCAATTCAGAAATTTATCTATCCGTGGGCTCTTCTCTCTCTGCATATTACGCGCATCTTCTTTTTACTAGCGCGTAGTGGCTTCTCATGGAATATCCACCGTAGTCGTCGTGCGGTACATATGGCGGCAGCGACTCTCAACCTACGTAATTGGAAGGAAGGAGCAGCTATGGAAGCATCCACTATTTTATGACGCAATCTAGCTGCCTGGATAGGATAACAGAGCAATTGTCCGCTTGTTGAAGGTTGGGGTTATTGCTGGCTATTCTTAGTCAGGGATTCTTCGGGAAAATTGAAAAATATTTAATAGCAGGAAACAGAGCTAAATGTGGTCTTCATTATAAAGTTATAATTGTTATTGGAATCTTGATCCAGTTTTGCAACATTCTCTTGAGATCTAAAAATAGTGATTGTGTGTATTTTTATGAGATTTTTCTAGATATTATCCTTTCCTTCGCCGAATCTACCTTCCATGAATCCTTTTGCGGGAAATGAGAAACGACAGGAGTGATATGGCGTGTCGGAAGATGAATTGGTTGACAGATGTACTCAGATCCATTCCAATCCACTGAATTTCCTACTTCTTGCTCTTCTCCCTCCGCCCTTTAATGTCCGCGATATATATTGTTAGATTCACTGCTCTCTCTGCGTTATTAATGTTATATTAATCTTGTCCTCTTCGACGATTTTACAGAATTCTAAATTCGATAAACGACGACACATGTTGCATCACTCACATACTTTTTGCTAGACTAAGCATGTTAGGTACTTTTATGCTAGGTATAAAATCTTCAAGAAGATCTTCAAGAAGACTCCATGGATAAGAAAATTATGTAACATAACAGACGGAAACCGGGGGGTTCATAACAACGACCATAAACGAATGATGTGCGCGTTGTAATTGACAATATAACAGTGGAAGGATAGGGAGTGCGCGAAATTGGAAAGTGATGGGTTGCAGCTGTCATCGAAGTCGGAAGGAAGGAGCGCGGTAATTTTCACACAAACACGGGGAAGGATGAGCCAATGTTTTGGTTTGGAACAAGTTCAGGGAGACTGAAGAAATAGTTGGAATTTTTGAAAGATGAGCATTGGTGTTTTTGGAATATGCCAAACGAATTATTCGACAAGTACTGTCTTCTTATTTTTTGAATCTACATACAGTACCGCTCAGTGAGATATACCAAAACTTGTTTTTTCAGTGGATTTTTTTTTTTTTTTTTGAGCATTTTCAGGAGTCTGCATCTCGGCGGCCAAGGTTCCGTTCACTTTGAAAATTTTGATGGGTGTAATACAAACCTTGGTTGGTAACTTTGCTTCACAGACTTTTTCAAAAATTCCTAGTTCCTCAGAAATTTGCCTATTTTTGAAAGACACCATTTTGGCACAATTTGTACTAAAAACATGAAAGGGGGACTCCGGTCAATTTTTCTATTGCATCAAAATGTGTTAAAATGTTTCTATTTTCAGAATATTATTGCGAAAAAATTCGAAAAAAATCCGAAATCCCCAAAAAACGCCGTTGAAAAGAAAAAAAATTCAAAAAAAGGTGCCACCGAGGGACGAGTATTTTCAGTGAGAAACCTAGGCCGCGCGAGCGGCGCGACTTTCTTACCGTACAAATTTTCCGGATTTTTCTCGCTTTTATCTCCGACAGGTAAAAAACATTAAAAAACACTGTCGGCCACTTGAAAATAATGCTGTCAGGCGCCGTGGCCTAGGTTTCTCACTGCGCGGGAATTCAAATCCTCGTCCTCCGGCGGCACCTTTTTTGAACTTTTTTTCATTTTCAACGGCGTTTTTCGGGGATTTCGGATTTCTTTTGAATTTTTTCGCAATAATATTAGGAAAATAGATAACTTTTAACACATTTTAATGCAATAAAAATTTTTGGTCGGAGTCCCCATTGAAGAACGACGATAGCCGTTTCAAATTTCTCATATCTTCTTTTGGAGAACTGATAATTTAAACAATAATATCAGTAAATCGAATGTTCTATCGAAATTCAACTACCGTAAAACCTGAAACAAAAGATCTCTAACGATGTCCCCTGTGACTTCATTTTTTTTGGCTCCCTCCCTTGCAATATATAAAAATTGTGTTAATTGGTAAAATGTTTGTGATATTATGATAAACGATGTATCAGTTGACAACTGTTTTCTCCTATTACAGGTTCCACGATTTCACTACGCTAGCAGAGACACTAGCAACTAGAACATCTTCAACTGCTCGAATCGACTTAATTATTACTTTGAAGTATGTATTCGAATCGTACCATCCAAAGAACAATCTCAATAGATATTCCAGGTTTTGTCTCTCTATTCCAGGTTTTGTCTCATATATCTAGCCAGTAATTAACCTCGGTCAGGTATTGTTTCCACAGATTACATAAGACTTGCCGCCAATCCAATTAATTTTGATCTATAGCCCAAAGAAGAGGATGCGCATGTGTACAGTCAATTGTTTCAAGAGGGGGGTCATCTCACCTTTTTTGTGTTCTACTCGTGTTTATACATACCGTGTTTTTACACTTAACAAGTTGCCCTCCCATTAGCTTAGCGCAAGGCACTTGGAAGTCGGCTTCCTTTCAAGTCACTGTTTGGTGCTATTAGGTTACGGTAGATTTTGCGGATATCCTCCAGCTTCTCCTGTTGTTGGTGTTGTTTCTTATTGTGTAGTCAGATGTCTACAGAGGGGGCTCCCAAATAATTGAGTTGACTTTTCAATGAGTTCGACACTCTGTTTGAAAAGACAAAGAAAAACGAGGTGAAAGATAATCTAATCGAGGACACAACTCCCATTTATACATTCTCATTCCCATTCTTGCAGTCATATTGTTTCAATGAGAGATGAACAGTGGAAAAGAAAGAGGGATAAGCTAATTTCAAAAAGCGGGAGAACAAGAATCCTTGTAATTGTGCATTGGTGGTGGCGGCTGTCAATATGGAAATTCAGTGCAAAACCAAAAGAGGATATCCTCGGGGAGTGATAATTGTGATTCGCACCTAATTTGCAGATTTACAACTTTTGAGTGAAGACGATTTGATGTGCATCTAGGGGATTTTGGCGAGCTTGGATTTTTTATTCTTTGTTGGGGTTGTGAACAAGATCTGTAATCGTAAAACTTTATTATATAACGTTGTATATAAAACCCATATAAATAAATTATGAATAAAAACTCTTATATATGACAATTCTAGCGTATAGTTGAGTAGTTGAGTCATCTTCTTAACCTATTGAACTCTGTGGAAGTGCTGCAAAATTTGTTGGTGAGTATCTCGTCGCATTCTTCTCATTGAGCATTCCATTGGAGACATCATAGAGCATCTGTAAAGAACTTTTAAAGTCCCATGTTTCTCTAGAATACTGTACCTTGGAGCTGGCATATCGCAATTTGGACAATCAACTGGAGGAGCCGCACATCTGCATGGTACTGGTCTTGGGGCAGAGCAAGTGCATGGTGGTGGACGTGGAGCTGGTTGGCAACATGGGTTAGATGGAACTGGAGCAACTACGCAGCAAGCTGGAGCCGAAGCAGCTGGTGGGATTGCAGCAGCAACTACTTGACAGCACGGGTTTTCTGGAACTGGAGCCTGCTTACAGCAAACTACTGGAGATGGGGCTGGTGGTGGTGGTGGAGGAACGCAGCATGGAGCAGCTGGAGCTGGTGGTGGTGGGCAGCATGGGGATGGACCTGGAGCTGGACCACAGCAGGATGGTGCTGGTGGTGGTGGTGGTGGAAGAGGTGCTGGTGGTACGTAAGGGCAGCAAGCTGGAGATGGACGTGGAGCTCCACAGCAGTTCTGCAAAAGATGACATAAATTAAATTTGTTGAAGAAATGAGGCAAGCAAATCAAAATCTTACAAAGTTAATATTGAAAGTTGGGCTGAATGGTCTTTCACCGCAGCAAGAAGGGCATTCTTGACAAACTGATCTACCACAACCGTAATCTCCACAGTGTCGTTTGAATCTGTGAACCACTGGAGACAAACTGGTCTTTAAAAATACAAAGATGAGAAATAAGCAAAAGAAATACAGCAATCTATACCTCTTGAGCTAATATTCCAGAAACAAAAAGAAAGAAAGAAACTAAAATTGCAAACTTCTGCATTACTCAACCGATCCAATCACTTGGATGTGTTTTAATCTGCCAATGGGATGATATCTCCCATGGTGGCCACATTCTTATATACCGTCTGTAGCCTAATTCCGGCTCCGGCTAGCCGGGCAAAGTGTCAAATTAGGGAGGGGAGGCACCTTCGGACATTATTTGAACGGTTTTTTTTTGAAAACACAAATAAAATGCGATAAGAGACTCTTGCGAAGAGAGCTGATGGCGATCTGTTTTTCCGGGTTATTATATTTGTTTTGTTTGGAATAGTGAGAGATTAATTTCCTATTTATTGTGATATCTCGCTAATCGAGAAAATTAAGTTTGAAGCTTTCTTTGGGGGAGACTAGAAGTTTTTTTTCATGAAGCGTAGGATAATACGTTTGACAATTGCAGAACAAGATGATTTTTTTTTTTTGAAGATTTTGGAATTTTTTTGTAGAACCGAAAGAGAAAGTTTCCAAAGGTTTCATTTAGAATCAAGGTAATGATTTCATTAAAGCTTTTTCTTCCATACCGGACTGTTTGCAATTCGCTTTGCTCCTCACTCTTTTTAGAAGTGACGTCAATTTATTTTTAATTTTCAAGCTTTTCAAAAATGTGAGGACAAAGTAACAGAAATTACAGTTCTTAAACTTTTCCGTTACTTGCAAAAACATTTTTGATTGCTCATAATCTTCATTTACCAATGAAATGCAATCGATGGCAAACACTGAATTTTTTGGGCAAGCAAAAAACTTCTTCAGACTTCGATTTTTGGCCGCATTTGTTCAAAACAAAATTGACTTGAACGGAAGCTGGAAAGAATCCACTGGCATCCACAGTATACTCGATCGTGGATCCAGCATCAACGACTGATTTGAGCGTGAAGGTGAACTTGGTTCCAGATGGGATTTTGGACAAGCGATCGACATTTGGATATTTTTTAAAAATCTAGAGTGGTTATCTGATAACCTTTTGATTAAAGACCAATATAAAATTCTCACTCTTTTGAGAAGTTATCCTGCATCACTCCAACAAGAATTCAGGCTGGAAACGAACAATTTTTTATAAATTTTGTCCAAGCCATAAAAAAATTGCAAATTAGAATATTTTTTGAAATGGTGAAAAGAAAAAGATCAAAACGAATGGAGAATTTTGAACACAAAAAGAATGTCAATTAAGTTTTCGAGTTCGGTGATTCTGATGCTGCAATTCTTGGATTCAAAGATCTAAAAAGGGAAACAGCAGTATCGTGAGATTCAGATTTTTGGAAATGCAGATTGCTTGAAATTCAATGATTGAACGTTTGGCTTGAGTCCAAATTCAGATTAGTCTGCTTGAGTTGGTTCAATCCTTCAGGATTCGCAAGAAATTAATTTATACAGTGTTTGGAACGATTGAAGTGAAGTGAGATCTTGCAATTCGACAATCCAGAAGTTTTATAAGCTCAGAATCAAACTTTTCCGGCAACTGACAGCAAATTCCTACGTGCGATCGTACAAAAATGAATAAAGAAAAAAACGTGCCATATTATTAGTTTTATGCAGCATAACTTTTTTCAAGCTAATTGCTTTTGACTGGCATCGAAATTTTCAGCAAATTTTGCAATCTGTGTTAGCTATTAGGTTGATAAGAAAGTGTCTTCCTTTTTTTTGCAAAATTTTTGATAGAATTTTTCTCAAAGCTAAGGGGGCAAGATCAATAAAAGTAACGTTCATGAGCATTCATAGCTGTCTGGTAACGCTCCGGTAATTTCTTGATTCCATCCGCCTAGAACGACGAGGGCTGCAATTGAAAAAGTGGGGCAACTCCTTTTTGGTGTCATCTTTTCACTCAAAATCTTTTCTATCAAGATAACATTGAACAGCCCTAAACATTCATCCAAAAGAGCAAAGTCCAAAAAATCCGATGAGTGCAAAAGATTAATTCAGCTGGACGACATGATTTTTTAGCTGATCCCTCTATTCACGGGTGATTTCGCATTGTCGCGCTGGAAGTGAACCTGGGTTTTTCTCCTCGTTCTGATTCGACTGCCAAATTCAATTTCTATATTTAGGAATTATACAATGTGTCAGTTATAATGGTGAATTCATATAAAAGTTCCCAGCCTCCATTCCTTTGGCAGACCATCAAAATCATAGCAACCCCCCTTTCACGCGAAATTTAGATTTCGGCACGTCCAGAGCTAGCTGTTCTTTGTCAATCAACTGACCCTTCCGCACATTGATAAGGTAACATCCCCACTTTTCATCTATGGTAATTAAATCATCAAGCCAACTGAACGGTCGAAGAAATTATAGGTGAAACATACCGATGTCTACATGGCGAAACATATTGTAGTCATGAAAAACACGGGGTACGAATCAACCCAGTTTTTAACTTTGCCAAGAGACTTCGATCTTTTCACAAAACTTAGTTGACTAAAGGACAATGCTTGTGACATTTTACGGATGGTTTGAAATAGATCCTCGTTCGCCACTTTTGATCGAGATCTGACTGCCTAGGCCGTTGCCATCTTTAAAACTGAACTCCCCTGGGCGGAATTTTTCGAACTAAAAGCAAATTGTAGGCGGTGACCGAACATGTCCCTGATATACATTCACAAGTTCCTTACAAATACCCGGTGTTTGAAGACAAAATAAAAATGAAAATATAACCATGTTGCGCATGTGCAGTCGGATAAGGACCAAAAAAACCGTCATTCCTTCAACACGAAGTGAGGCATGAATGAAAGAAAATGTACGGTGTAAAAAACACTGATTACAGCTTTCCAACAAAAAAAAGTTTGGCCTTGTAAACCATTTAGAAAGCTAGAAATCGAGCATCAAAAACAACCCTGTCAAAAAGGAAGAAAATTTCTTATCAACCTAATAATTTTGTAATCGTAAAACTTTGATTTTAGTTTATAATTTGATGTCCTGAATTAGATTTTTAAGTTGCCGGAAACCAACATTTCAACGCACATTATTCACAGAAACACGTCTCAAAATTGATGTAAACAACATTCATATTAAGCATTCAAAAGGAAGCATAGTATTAATAGAAACACGGTATGGTCAATTTTTCCTGGTCCTACATTTCCAGTAGATTCGAGAAAGGAAATTTTGAAAGAACTCTATAATCTTTTTTACCGTTTCTTCGTCCTGCTTCTTGAAAAAGAACTCTCTGAGGGCTTAACTTTTTGTCTTCAAAACGCCGTCAATTTTTCCTCATCTTCTTTTCCTGGTCTTCTTTTTAACAACCAAAAACCATCAACTGCACATTTTGTTTTTTTCTGAAAAATGGAAACAGACTGATGCTTTTGAAATCACTAAATCAACAAATGAGTAATTACTTCGCCGGCGAACAAAAGTGCAACTACAAACAACCATCTATTTTGTGGCCACAGCACACTGTGTCATCCAACACATTATCAGCTGGACCTGTCAATTATTAATGTTGAGCGCTATGAACTACACTAATTCTTATCACTCGTTCATCACAATCTTTTTTGTGTAGAAAAAACACTGTCAGTGATGGTTATTGATTATTTCCAATCCCATGTGACAGTCTTCAGATGGCAACTATAATTCAATTCATTGCAACGACGTCACAACAGATCGACTACAATTCACAACTCAACAGAAAAAAAATGAAACGCGAGATTCTTTTATAAACAAAAACCTTTCTGTTTTTCGATAAATTAAAGATTGGGAAGGAGAGATAATGTAAATAAATACAATAGAATCCCGAAACTAGTTGGGGATTGTGAGTGAAATTGCATTTGGGTGTGATTGGGAGATTGACAGAAGGAGAGGGAAAATGGTGGCTAAAGCATAAAAAAGGGGCGGGGAAATGAAAATAAATACGAATCATAGATAGTTTCAATGACGAGAGATTGGGGATGGAAATGGAGAGACAAAGTGAAAATTACTGGATACGAGGTGTGACTTAAGATTGCACCGTTAAGCGTTTATGGAATGTTGGATTGGTTGACCTGTGGGCTCCATGCCGGGTCTCCAGCGGCCATCATGTTGTTACGATCAGCCTTCTTGCCAAGAGCCATGAATCCGTAAATGACACCTGAAGCAAAGATGGTTCCACTTCCGAGGATGGTATTGAGCTCGATGCACAGGAAGATTGGGATAAGACCCATGCTGTAAAAGAGTATTTTAAATGGTGGTAATGTATTCTCTCAGAATTTCGATGAAAAATAACCTATATATATATATCTTCCTCAGCGAGAGACAATGTCATTTTTTTTGCAAAAAGTCAAATTTCAAACAACCCATAGGCATCGCCTCAAAAAGAGTATGCTAATTTGTCTTCTAAGCCATGGGCACTCTTCTCGATGCACTTGAGAAATGTGCCGTCACAAGACCAGACGGAGGTTTATATGTGCTTTTTTCTCTCTGTGAATATGAGATCCAAAGCTTTTAGAGGATTCGTATAGATTTGGAAAAAAAAAGTTGACTGATTTATGGGTCTGGCAGGCTTCACTCAACATCTGCCTCTCAGAATAATGCGACGTGGCGTGAGCTTAGTTGCTAATTGCACCCTTCCGTTTGTCCCATGACAACAAACGGTGTGTCTGACATCATAATTTTCCACCCTTTCACAAACTTACATTCCGTAGATGGCGGCTTTGTGCCACAACGCACGGGACTCGCTGAAACGGGCAATCTTCTCAATGAAGTCCACGAATTGGCAGCAGAACGGTGCTTCGAGCGCAATGACGAGTGCTCCGGCGGTCCTGAAATCCATTTTTTAGAATATGCTTCGCTCCGTTTATATATGCTCCGCTCTGGTGAGCTCTCTACTCACATTTGAAGAAGAATGGCTACCATGCACGTCGCCGAGAGCGTGATCAATCCGAGAACTCCAAAGAAGAGCGAGAGGAAGCCTCCGAGAATGGCGACTCCTTTGGCCAGGAAGCGAACCCACCTGCAAACAAAGTCTATTATGAAATCGAACGCGTTTCTCAATGAACCATGGAAACGCGGCATTCGGATCATGCTCCGCTTGCATTTGAGTGCTGACTCCAGATGCGGCGGCTCCCATTTCGATTGATAACAATTACCTGGAAGACGTACAATTATCGATTTTCTCATAGAAGGGGGAAAGAACGGACCGCACGCAGAGATTTATATCGCGTCTTAAACCACAGTGTTGAAAGAGTAAAAGGAGCACAAATCGATAAAGAAGTGCTCATAAGCAAAAATGAGCTGCTGAAACTAACGGGAGAAAGCAGAAGGCATAAGGAATAAAATCAAAGAAAGAGGAGGAAGGCAAAAAAAAGTGCGAGCCCCAATTGCATGCGGAGCGGAATGAGCGAGAATGCGAGAAAGGACGGGGGGAGGAGGACACATAGAAAACCAACGCAGCAATGGACCGCTGCTAAACAACGCGCAGGGTGTAAGGGCGGAGTGTCGTTGCCGGCGGGTGGTGTTCATGTGACGCGATTGCCTTTTTAGCGTCATAACTTTTAATTCCAAATGCAAACGAATAAATTTGCATAATTAATTTTGATTTTTTCAACTTCTTTCTCTCAAAAAAGCTATTTATTTATTGTGAGTTGTATTTATTGTGTTTCAGAGGTCAGAATGGCAGAAAAGAAGCAGACAAAGAATGAAAGTTTCAGCTCTCTAGACGACAATTGGTGAGTTTTCCACTTGAATTTAGAAAAAAAGAGTTCTGAGATTTTTCAAAATCACATTTTTCAGGGAAACCGACGTGAACATACTGAGCAATGAGCTCGCTGAACTTGACTCTGAAGACAATAAGACCGATGACTGGACAGTGAGTTTTTCTATCTACTTCTTCTTAAAAATAAAGATTTTTTTCAGCGCCTTCTTGGTGTCTCCATCAAGCCAAATCCTCTTGACGACTGGGACCAGCTATACAATCTTAATAATCAGTGCGCACTTCGAAACGATTGCCGAAAACTTGCCAATGAGTTGAAGAACAAGCGAAGTGTGCCTGAGCTTGAGTCGTTTCTGACGTTGTATTGCAAGAAGCGGGGAATGGATTATATCAAGGATATTGGATGGTTGATGGTGAGTTTCGTTAAGAGAGATGAAGAGATTAAGCTGGATTGAAAAGCTGAAAATAGCGAAAAACATGTTTAGGGAAAAAATAAAGTGTCATAACAGTTTATTAGCTGTGTTTGAGCTTTCTCTTTAGCAAATTGCCTACAATAACATCACAATTATAATTTCAGATTCTCGAAAAAATTCTTCTGCTCAACCTCCCATCCGCCCACGAGTTCAACGTCTTCTTCGCCTTCACAACTAAGTACATTCCGAAGGATACTAGCCCAGATGCACAAATCTTTGACGTCTTTCGTCTCCTTCTTCAGTATCATGACCCACAAATTAGGTACGTTGGAACATTTGACTTAAAAGACGTCGGTGTTACAGTAATCACTTGGAAGCGCTTCACTGCTCTCCAGCGATGTACACTAAGAACTGGTTTTCAACGCTATTCGCATGCAGTTTATCCACAGAGACGTGTCATGAGTTGTGGAGAGTTTATATCGAGCAGGTAAGTGCGTCTAATAAAAAAAAACAGTCTGAAATTAGAACATTTTCAGGGCGACCCATTCCTGGTTTTCCATCTTGCCATCGTCTTCCTCATCAATGCCAAAGAAGAAATTCTTCAAGTGAAACGTGGAGAAAAGTTAGTTGCTCTTCAAGAATATCTTACTAATCCAAGAATTTCAGAGCACAAGCATGTCAAATACTGGAGAATATGGCTTCTCAACTGAGCGTCGAGGATGTCAATGACTTTTTCCAACTCGCACTTCACTACTCGAGCCAGACACCAGAATGCATTCGCAAAGACTTTCACTATATCATTTTCGGAGCCAATTTTGACGAGGAGGTCAAGGAGATGCAGATGAATAAGATGTTGTGCTTGCCAATTCCAGCTGTGGATTTGACGGCGAATGATGAGGTGAACTGTTCCTATTTTCCAGTTCTTCAACTTTAATATACTTCTTTCAGATCTCTAGCGGCAACGTCAACTTCTTTATCGTCGATTGCCGATCAAACGCTGATTTCGACTCTGGCCACTTTGTTTCATCTTTCAATTTGAATTGCGTTTCTGTATACCCCTTACGTCATCATATATTCTCACTGATCCTTCTTGCAGATTGTGGACGAACCCGAAAAATTCGAAATCGCTTTGAATAGTCTGGAATGCTACAAGACGTCGCGGCGTGCCGAGGATCACTATCTCATCTTGGGATACGGTTCCGACGAGGGAGACAACTATATGAATATGCTAATCGGGATGTTCATACAAAAAGGAAAACCTCATGTCTCGTTTGTTCAGGGAGGATACAAAAGTGAGAACAGAAGGATTTTGCTGATTTCGATTTGAAAATTTTTCAGAGCTTCACGATTGCATCGGACAACACAACCGATGGGAATTAATTGCGATGCATTCAGAAGAAAAGTGCGAGCTATGCAGTCATGAAAAAGTGGCTCCAAAATGGGTATGTGTTGATTGGTTTCACATAAAATCCATAACCAGTGAGAATCTGTTCGTCATCTTTGCTTTTATTTTTACTTTTTCACTTTTGTCAGTTCACCATGCCTTTATTCTATTTCATACTTAGAAAACTTCGAGTACGTTATCACTGATATCAAAAATTTTATCAGTTACTCAATAATCTGAACATTTTCCAGGGATTCTTCACAAAAATGAAGTCGGCAGTGAGCAACACTTCTAACCGTATGAAAGAGCGAGTTGAAGCTGTTGTCTTCCCAATTGGAGATGAAAAGAAGGGGAACGAAGCTGACCACGCTGATTCCAAACAACGTCATAACAAGAGATATCGCCAGCAATCGGTTTTCACCATTGACGAGAATAGTGATGAAGAGTTGACTCCTGGTGGAGCAGCTGTGGATGAAAATCCTAAAGAAGAAGTAAGTTCATTATATTTGGCAGGTGGTAATATTAAAGTCAAAAGTTATTGTTTCATGAGCTAAAAGTCAAACAACCAAAAAATTGAAAAGAAATTTAATTTTCAGATTCTCCTCTCTAAAGAATTTACCGAAACCTTCGAGTGCCAAGAAGTCTTCCGTGATGGAAGTATCAATGGACACATTGCACTTACTCGGACTCACATATACGTTCTACACGATGTTCCTGGTAAAAAGGGATACGTAACCACTGAAGCTCGTCATGCTCTCTCCACAGTGATTGCTGTTACTAGTCGCCGATCTGTTCCAGAGATGCTCACATTTAAATTGGGTTACGAAATGAATGGATCGTCTAAGATCACTGCTGTACACAAGTGAGTCACTATTTCCGTTCAGAAAAAAAACATTTATTTTTCCAGATTATACGTTCCAAAAGCCGGTGAATGCGCAAAGGCTGTGAAACTGGCAATCTATGCTCTCCGCCCACTTCCGGAAGCCACAACATCATAATTTTCTCGTTTTTTTTTCCCGAAATTGTTCAAACCCTTCCCCATGTGATTTGATTTTATATATGTCCACCTGCCCGTGCTTCGTCATAATTTTTACTGGGATTTCACTTGTGTCGCAAATAGTTGTGTTATATATGCTTAAAATTGGGTACTAGCTCTCTTCCTACTATGTGTGTTAGTCACACGAGTAAATTTGCTTCTTCATTGTGGTCCGAAACTTTAAATAATTCATTGTAGATATATAAATACAAACCGTCGTAGATTAATTCAGATTTTTATTCTTATGTTGAAATGAATATGTTGAAATCAGATTTTGTTTTTGTATGCGTGACGAGCGTGTCAAGAAGAACTTGTAACTGTAACAGTTCACTAATGCCGAATTAAAAACACAGACACTTAAAAATTCTAGACCCTTTGCGTTTTTTGATCTACAAGAAACCGCGGGCGTTTTTTGTAAAAAAATTTGTTTTTTCGATAAGACGTGGATTATAGAGACGCTAGGTATATTATTTTAACCAGAAAAATTTGATTGGTTCAGAAAAACCCGCTTGGTTCAGAAAAACCCGCCAAATTTCCACCAATCCATTACACGTTTTACCGTATCGGATTTTGGGCAATGCCTCGTAAACAGACCTTAATTTTCAGTGGCCAGTTCTTTATTAATTCGTAATACTGATGTTTAACGCTGACTCATTTCCAAAACATCGCCTTTTTTTATGTTGAATGCATTCTGATTCCATTCAAATTCAGAGATTGCGAAATCGTGTTTTTCATGAAACTATTTTCTCGAATTTTCTCACATTTCTTTATTGTTGCCAGTATCTCTGTCTCATATCTCTTGTTTGCCTCCTCCTTTTTTTTCATCTTCTCACAAACAATGACATCACTATTTTTCTTTTCCTCTTAATCGCTGGTTACCAACAGTTACTCGCCATCCCTACCGACCGACGGCAGCTGTCTTTGCCCTCTCACAGCACAGAGATGAAGGACCACATTGCTCCCGTTATGGACAAAATCGATAGATCCGATAGCCCCGGCCACTCATTGAGCGCGCACAGGGGCCAACACACACAAACACTCACAAACAACACGGTTACTCAGTATGCAACTCTCGTTTCTCTATCGCTCTCGCCTCCTGTGTCGTCGTTTGTGTTGTTCTTCAGTTTTTCTGCGCACGTCGTCTAGAGAGTCGTGGTTAGATGGAACCTGTTTTTTGAGCGGCGGCCGACTTGATGCTGTGTTGGCGTTGTTTAGATTTTCAATTTACTCTCTGACCGTTATCATTGTGATTCAGTCTGTGTTGTTGACCCTTTGACAAACACCTCTACTGTTTTTCATTGTTGTTCGATTTTCAAACTTTTCTTTATTTTACTCTTAAATCCTCCATTTCTCCTAAATTTTCGAACAATTTGCAGGAAAGAAACCATGCAAGTCAACAGTGAAGATGTCACTGTCGCCTGGGGGCAAGCTCCACACCCACTCGATTCACAGTATGGAAAATGGCGTATGGCAGTGTTCCAAGATGTTCAAGAGTCGATCGACGGAACCAAGCTCTACTTCCTCTACGATCCACAAGCTGACGAGCAGAGTGGAACTAGTGGACGGCGTAAAGGATACCCAGGACTTATTATTTTCGACCTCAATTTTAAGTGTTTCGCTGGAGAGATTTCAGTGCACAGTCCAGGTATGCATTCTAAGCTTTTAAGCAAAACCGCGTCAACAGTTCTAACTTTATTATCCATTTTCAGGAAAAATGAAGTTCCTCTTCGCATTGAAGTGCCCATCACCACAGGGTGGATCAGCGTTCGTTCTTGTCACCGAGGAAGAGGTTTACGGTCAAGTTCGTCTCAACGTGTCACGCGTCGATCTTGCTCAAGATGGACTTTCCATCGCCAACGTTCGTCCGTTGATTCCATCCGCACTCACTATCGGAGGAGAGTATATCTGTTCGATGCGCGAGGATCAGCCCGAGATCGTTGTGATGGCTAATCCAGGTCTTCAGGTAAGACATTTTTTTAACGATTCTCAGCCGAAGAAGGAATTAAGATATGATACTGCATAGCTCAGCAATATTTCTTTTCACCACTAACATATATTTTTTTCCAGATCTGGCGCATCAACTGCATGGCCGAGAGCGCCCAACCACCAGTTGCTCAGTTCTCAGTTCCTGGAGCCGATCTCAATCATTTCTACGATGGATTCCTGAACAATGGAAACATCATCTTCCTATCTGCCACTCCAGACGGACACTTTGACAACACCCGTGTCCATCTCCTCAACCTGAACAATCCACAGCACGTGAGTAGAGATCCTCCATCACTTTGCTTTCATAGCTTCAAAATTTTCAGATCACCTCTCAGAACTGCTCAGGAGATCCACAGCGGGGCATGCCAATTCCAAGAAAGCAGTGTGGATTTGATTCTGTCACCAATGCCATCTTGATGGCTGGAGGAGAAGTCGACCGTGGACACGGATATGAGCGTCTCATTGACTACTGGGTGCTCAACACTCAGACCTTCCAATGGCTCCAGATCCCATCTCAGATGCCATGCCCATTGATCGAGCCGCGTCTTACCGCTTGTCACTCTGGAAACATCTATGTCTGGGGAGACTTTGATCAACCTCTTCCAGGAATGCCCGAGCACGGTACTCATCTCCGTATTCTTCGTGTCACCGGACTCGAGAAGGCTAGTCACCCACCAGCATACTCTAGCTACAATCCAGCTCCACCAGCCTATCCATCATTGGATGAGAAATCGGGAGGAAACCCACCATACCCATCCAACCCATCCAACCAAGGATATGGAGGAAACCAGGGATACGGAGGACAAGGTGGCCAACAAGCTCCACCATACCCATCATACAATCCAAACCAGTCCAACTATGGAAACGCTGGATACCAGGGAGGACAATCCAACGACCCATATGGGAATGGAGGGTACAGTGGACAGCCGGGGTTTGACCCAAATCAACAAGGAAGCTACACTCAGACTTCTGATGGACAAAACGCCTACTATCCAACTCAGAAGAAGAAGAAGAGCTGCAGCATTCAATAATTCGTCGTCTGTTTCGTTTTTCCATGCCGGCTATTCGTTTTTTGTATCTTCTTATGACCACTTCTGAATCTGTATATGTATATTCTTCCCCGCAAACGCTTAAAAAAAAGGAAAACTCGTTCCACCTTGTGATTGTCAAGCATAAATAAAGTAATTGTGCCAAAATCCCGTATTTTCGAAAATCAAATCACATGAAATCAAGCGTAGGTTTTATGTCATTATGACCCTTTGACGTAATGGGTCCTTCGCCTTATATGGCATGATAGAAATCCTGTTCTCAAGGTCCTCTCTCTCTATTTCCTCCTCTCTATTTCTCTTAGCCAGTGAAAACATTCCGTCTCTCTTTTCATTCTATCGTTTCGAAAAATTTCCGAACTCCTGGTTTCTTTTCTGACACTTTTTTTCCTTCAAAACGGGGCAGCTCTCGGGCCCCGTCAACAAAGACGCCATTTGTCGAAGAGAGGCGGCAGAGAAAACGAAATAGGCGAAATAGGCGAAATAATGGAGGTTACACACGCACATACCACGTTTTTGTGTTAAGACGGAAGATCTGCGAAACTTGTCAATTTCTTTTTTTTCTCGTTTCATTTGTAGTTTCTCTAATTTTCATGTGATTTGGCGAAGTAGGATATATAAGGAAAAGAAAAGGATAAATTATAAGAAACGTCAGAATAGAGAGAAAGAGAGAGAAGGAGAAATCGATAGAGAATAGGCGACCCGGAAGTAGTCCCTCGAGGGGACCACAAAAAAAATGACAGCGAATTTTTTCTCGTTTCAAAGCATTGCACAAACCTTATGATAAGATGAATGTTGTTATCAGTAAAATATTTCCTTTTTATACTTTGCAACTTTCCCTTTCTTCCTTTTTTGCAACAATCTTGCAGAACTTTCTTTAAATTTCAGGGTCAATTTTCCATGGCTACCACCAAGCTTTCGAATTTTCAAAGCGTATTCAAAGCCTTTCTCGATTATGCCATCAAGAATATACCAAATCAAACAGGAGTGAGCGTGACTGCTGCTGCTCCCGGGAGTGTTGGCCAAAGACCGTTCACGAATAAGGCTGGTGTGTTAAAGGTAACCGTCACGCGCTGAAACACAATTTATATCATTTTTCAGCTTATTTTCGTATCCGCCAGCTCTCTTTACATCGGAGGGTTGATTGCACATAAAGGAGCGTCGTATTTGGAAGAAAATGAGATTTTCGTTCCAACCGATGAGGATGACGATGACTAAAAATTGTATAAAACTACTTGTAGATATTTTTGATTTGCGGCTTTGCACACTCACATACCTGCATACTTTCATTAATATTCTTTTTCTGATGAGATTATATTATTGATGAGTGCTTGAATAAAGGTTTTATCAATGTCAAGTCGTAGACAAAAACAACAGAATGTCATTTTTTTTGACATGCTAGACGGGCAATAACACATTTCCTGTCTCGTGTTTTCATCTACAAACAAAAACACAACTACTCTTTTTTCTTCTCACTGTTCTCCTAAAAATCAAGAATTTTCCGGACCCTACCAATACGATCTATTTTTGACCTCTCCCTTAAAACACCTCAAACGATCTCCACGTCACGCGCACCCCTCCTCTGCCTGTGTGCGCGCGCGGTCTCTGCAAGTGCGCCCCATTGAATTCGACCCTTTTGTCCTCACGAGTCACTCGTTTTTCCTTTATTCATTTCCATCCTTGCTTCATTTCCGGTCGTTTGCAGTCGCAGAAATGGAGGAAAACACAGTTTTCGAGATCAACGACTTCACAATCGTCACTGAGATGGAGCATTTTGGTGCGGCGTTCGAAGGAATCATTCAGAAATACGAGTTTGCCGGTCGCCGACCGTGTTTAGCGGTGAGTTATTGATTTTCGAGTCGCTGATTCTTATTTATGTGTTTTTTCAGGATGATATCAAGTATCGGATGGTTGTCACGGACACTAATGTGGTTTCTATTGGAGAAAATAAGCTCCGCATTGATCTTATGCAACCCGTGGTGAGTTATTTATATTTTTCTATCGAAAAAACTAATAAATCCTCTTGCAGCCACTGAATCCGGAGCACACACTGCCCCAAACTGCTCCAGAAGTCACCGACGATGAAACTGAAGATTCCTATTTTGCTCCATTCACTGTCGCTGAAGAAATCGCCAATACTAAACATGGATTTGAGTGTACTGACAGTTTTGTGTTAAAGGTAGTAATACTATTTTCAAATGGAAAAACAAATTATCGATTTTTTCCAGTTCGGAATCCGCGAATGCATCATTGTCTCACCAAACGATCCGACATGCCGACTTACCGATGAAAACCAAGTGAACACAGTGATGGGAAACATTAGAACTGTGATGCACTCGTGTAGATGTGAGGTTCCAGTGTTCTGTTACATCAAAGATGAAACGCTGGACATGATTGCTGGATATGCGTCGGATGGCAACTCTTCATACAAGTTCTCATCAGTCGTTCTTCGCAATATCAACAATAGACACTGTACAATGCACGACCTCCTCAATATGTTCAAGGAGAACTTGGGAACAACCATATCGGCGTTTCACGAGGAAGTTCGCATGAGCTCGAGATTCACCCATGTCGTCCCGTTGAAACAAAATGACTACCTTCGAAATCATACCGTTGACAGTTTTGGAGTTCTTGCCACTGGGCCGTCCGCCAGTTTGCCATTGTAAGTGATTTCTAAAATAACTCGAGCAAAAATTTCTTTTTCCAGCGACACACTCGAAGTTGCGGCCACTTGGCGTTTCTTCCGCGAGAACTCGTTGACTGAGAATCGTGGCCATTCGGACTTTGATATCAATTATGCCAACCACTGGAGTGTCAAAATAAAATCGACAAAGAGTTCATTATTGGGAGTTTTCGGTAAATCACAGAAGTTAAAAAATTGAGCATAAAAATAATTGCAGATGAAATCCTTGGAGTTTACAAAGAAGATACCAGAAAAGCGATTCGCTCGGACCTCAATTGCGCAGCAATTCTGGGCAAGCACTTCACCCAAAAGGATCTTCCAAATGCTTTCCAGAAGCTTACAGTCAACTCAGCTTCAGAAGTGAAGATCGGAAAACATGGAGAAATTGATGACGATGGAACAAATGGACCCATGTCGCCGGTAAACCTACTGTCTCTTAACAGTCATTATAAATTCACAATTTCAGGCTCTAATGCGCTCATGGGTCGAATACATTTTCAACAACCAAGGTGAACACGAGGTTTTGTCGCACGAGCTCAACCTTCTGAATGCTGCCAGCATGTCGGGAGAACAATATTCGGAGGAGGACCTTGTGAACAATGTGAAGCTAGATACTCTCTTCAACTACAAAGATCCAAAAATGGTAAACTCATTCCTGGCTCCATATAAATGCGCAAAAAAGCGTACGACGAGTTGGAGATTGTCCGTGGCTCTGGCAAACGCGAGAGTCTTCTTGAAAGATCAACCAAGAGCAGAACCACAGTTGTGGATTGAGTTTTTGTTGGCTCTTCGCAAGAAGTATGAGAAAATGGAGACTGTTGAGTAAGTGATTGCGAAATCTTTCCAGAACAATTCTTTTAAAATTTTCAGATACGTTAACAATGGAATCGATCATCTGCAATGTGCATTTTCTCAAAAGATGCAAATGCTACAAATGTGCATTGATGCCCGTCAGAAGCGGCATAAAATGTTCGACTCTGCTCATAGTGCTAGCAACACTAGTGATGAGTTTTTCGATGCCAACGACTCCTTCAACGCTGATACCACCCTGGAGCCTAACAATGAAGGTCGTCTGAAATTGGCTGGCATGAACCTTGTCGGCAATTCCTCACAACCCATGTACATTCCAATCACTCAAGATTCGTGTCCACTTACCGATGAGATGATAGACGCTCGCAATGAGCACTTGTTCAGTCTTGATGAGGAGGAACGCGTGAATCTCCAGATGGAATTGGTGAAGAGTGACATGCAAAGTTTCAAAGCTGCCAACCCAGATTCGGTATTTGCCGATTTCTTGAGATGGCACTCACCAAAGGATTACGATGAGGCAACCGATTCGATTTCTGAGAGAATGTTGATTCCTAACAATGTTTGGATCAGAAGCTGGGAGGCGGCGCAACCTATTCCAGTGGCAAGCCAAGCTCGTATTTTTAACGATACTAAAATCGCTGAAGAGGTATGGGTATCGTTGCTACGATTATCTCAAATCTTTTTTTTTGCAGATTTTCGAGCTTTTTAACGCTGCAACATTAGATCAAGTTCGTGAATGGATGAAACCATCAATCTTCGCTGCCACTTTGGAACGTCTCACCGAAATTCAAAGCAGTTATGGGGTTTCGGAGGAGAAGCAGAAGCAAAACGTCAAAATCGCAAAAGTTCTAGCTTCAGCAACAATGAACAAGTCTGCTTCGGAGTACGATGAGATTGCTAGGTACTGTAGTCAAGTGGAAATGATTCATAATATGAAGGTTCACTTGATTCAACTCGTCCAGAATGCGGTGAGTATTTGATTACGAATGGAACTGTATGCTAATAATTAGTTTTTTTTTTCAGAAAGAGAAGATGCATCCACCACATCCATCAGAGTCCGAAGTTCAAGCTGCCATCAAGCAACTCGTCAATATTGCCGTTCACAACCTTTGGGAGGATTCAGAGAAAGAGGAGCCCGAGCTGATTGTGAAGCCTCAGGATCCAATTGGGAGAGCTCTGGCTTCAATGGGAAAACTCAATGAGCTCACCGAGCAACAATTGATCAAAGGCCATCGGAAGGAATATATTTTCATCTGGGACTTTAAACGTCCGTCGACCACATCTTTGCCAATGTCTCATCGTATGTACGCGGATTTGAGACAAGACAAGCATAGCCTCTATTTTGCTGTTGGAAATGACTGCAATTTTTCCAATGCTTCATTTCTCTAAGTAATTGTGTGTTTTCAAAGGTATCTCTCTTACCGTTCTAGTTCCTCTATGGACTTTGATTTGAATTGAAATGTGCCGAAGTGTATATTTTGTAAAGGAAATTGTAAATAAATGAAAATTGAAAACAAAACATCAGTTTAGAAAGTTATTCATTTACAAGAACCCGTTCAAAATAGAGAATCATAAAAATGGATGACCAGAATCAGATGAGAGGTCGTTCGGAAGCGGAAGTTACACTTAGTTGAAAGTTTTCATATGTGGTAGCGTCTGCCGATGACGATTGTGTTAGCATTGATTGCCCCGAGATAGATTGTTGCATTTTCGCTTGCTTCTTCATTCGAGAGAAATAAGCATATTTCTGATGGATGCATGTATCACAACAGAACACTACCACAATGATCATGATTACTCTGTAAATCGAGATTTCGAAATTTAGTCTTTAAATTCATACTCACAGTAATCCTATAGCCAACTTTGCATTCAAACTCTGCATGACTGTTTTGAAGGGTCTTGTTTTTTGTGTGATACAAGATTTGTAGATCATGGTCTCGCTGTCAGTCAGATACCATTCTAGGCAAATTTCATACTCCTTATCAGCTGATAAATTGACTAAGTTATAACTTCGGAACATGTTGTACAAAGATAGTTGCACTTGGCGCTTGAACATTCTCTCACTTGAAGCCGTTATTCGGAGAGCCACCCTAAAAATACCCAATTTTTATTTGAATCTGAAGAAATATTGACTACCGATCGACAGCTTCAATTTTGAGATTTTTATTCCAACTCAAATGAACAGATGTGGTGGCGACATATGACGCATTAAGATATATCTCTGGTCGAAGCACAGTCAGCTCGATTTTCCTTGTTAACAACGTCTTCATATCACTCTTAGAGACGCATTCATAGTACCCTGCATCAGATTCTAGAACAACATCGAAACCGTAGTATTCCGTGGAAATATGAACACGCTCTTCGTGATTTTTTGAATAAGACGGGTCCAGTAGAGTTGTTGTGAAGTAGTCAGTTTTCTTCACTGCCGATTTTCTCAGATCCGGTTGTTTTGCTTCCGTTGTCGTTTTGTTAGGAGACACCCAGAAAAGATTGGAATTTGTTCCATCGTTAGCACAGTAGATTCTGTAGGCCTGACCGACAATTGCAGTCTGTTTCACACCAAAGGGAGTTAAGAGATTGTCCCGACATGGTTCTTCGGACTTCTCCAGATGTGAAAGCCTGAAAATATCAGTTTAAAAGTCAATCGAAAAACTTAAATTACTTTTGAACAGCACCCATCTTGGTCCTGCATGTTGCGTCATTCCAGTCTATAATTGTCACTGCTCCAAAGTCCTTCATATCACGAGAAGTGCAAGAGCAATCCAGAGCTGTGTCCTTTATGTACAACTGACTGACCTTCTCCAGGATTGTCAGCGGGATTCGTTTGAACCCAGTTTTTTGAATATTGAGCCTGAAACGATTGAGATTTATTTTTTCAAAATATTCAAACGTACCGATAGAAAGCTGTACTGTTCCCAAACGCATTAGGTGAAAAGTATGCCAAGTTTGGATTATTCTTGATATCCATTGAATGCAGTCTGGGTAGACTGACAAACGCTCCTGCTTCAACTACTGACATTTCACAGTTATCTAATTGGAGAACTTGTAGGTCTGGTAGTTGTAAAAATCCTTGTCTGATTACATGAAGCGAGTTTGAACTCAAATTCAAAGAAAAGAGATGCCGAAAATTTTGCTGAGCTTCTAATCGGACTTCACTCAGTAAATTGCCACTGAGGTCCAACGTTTCTAATTGCTGCAAAGGATCAGTTGTGTCCGTTTCTATCAGTTCAATTTTGTTGTTACGGAGAATAAGTTCTTTGAGGGAAACCGCAGATGTAAAATCACTGGTCTGAAATGAAACTCTTGAAAAATAAAAACTATTATTTCACTTACCACAAGTCTAGACATATTATTTCCAGTCAAATCCAAAACTTTCAGCGTTGGCATGTAACGGAAAACATGTACCCCGATGATCTTGATTTCATTGTTTCTCAAAATAATTTTCTGTATGCTCCTTATATGAATAGAATCGGCTCCAAGATTTTCAAGTTTGTTGTCACTGAGATCCAATTCGGTCAATGAAGTTAGAGACATCAGAGCTTTTGGGAAAGTCTGTAACAGATTAAAAATCTGAAGAATCAAAAACACAAACGGATGTCTCCGGTTACCTTGAGATCACACTTTGTGAAGTGTAAAGTTTGAAGTTCGGAAAACTGATGTCTTCTTAAGAACCACTCGCTGTCTCCAGGCGATGCTTGTATTTTCAAGACACTGAAAAAAATGTTTTAAAATATAGTTTTGATATAAACCGAAACCAACTTCAACTTGAGCATGTCTGGAAGTGAAGTAAATAAGAATTCGGACACAGCCGAAAGGTGCAGTTCTGTTGTTTCATTGTACGGTGCTTCTTTTAATGTAGCAGTTAGCAGATCGAATTCTGGTTTTGAAAGAGACGTACAAGTAATAGAAGAACCTGAAATAAAAAGTTGAGAATTTTCAGCCTAAATTTTAAGACTCTTACCATTACATGAACATCCAACTGGACAAGCTGTAGTAAAGTTCTGAGCGCATAGGAAGAATAGCAGAAATGAATAACTTTTGGGATTCATTTTCTCTGTCGGAATATTATGTCAAAGTGAAAAAAGCTGAGCTCACATTGCATTTGATAATCTGAAAAACAACTTTGGCTTCATAGATATTACGTTTATTCAGCAAATAGGATTAAAAATTTAAGATTCGACAAGATCAAATCAAACAGTAAAGCTTAGAGGAAACCCTTCAAATCAACACAGTTTATTATCAACCACTTGGAACACAAGCAAATGCGAAAACAGATGGCGTTCCGGCTTTCGCGGGTTGCTCCATCACTTCTTCTTCTTCTTCTCAACATGTTTCTTAATTTATAATGAGCAGTTGCATTGTGATGAGAAGTAATTAGGCTAGATTTTTGCTCCGTTTCCTGACAGAAGGGAAGGGATTAGCTCTCGTGCGTAAACGGGGAGACTTCTCTCTTTTGTCACGGTTGTTGTTCTCGAAACAGAAAAAAGGAAACATACTTGACTTTTAACTTTCTCAAATCCTACATAAGTAAAGTCTTAAATCAGCAACGGCAGGGGAACGAAGCAAGAGGGAAGACGGCAAATTTATGCAAAATGCGAGTCATCATACACATTCGATGATTCCCTTAGGAAAGGCAATTCATCAACGGAAATGATCGCCAGTCATCATTTCTTAGCAGCAAAAAAAAACGGAAGAAGAGAGGGGAGGAGAAAGGGAGCTTTTCGTGATGGCAAGTCCAGCAGTTTATCATCTTGTTCGCAGTTAGGATGGGAGTTGAAAGTTAAAATAGGAGTTTTTCTGTAGCTTACTTTTTGACAAATATGTATCATGTACAACTCAGAAAGTAGTCAATCATGGGGAAGGGTTATGTACAGAAAAAAAACAACAGAATCGTTGAACATAGATTAACACATTGTTAATGAGATACCGTAAACACCCAAACCGTCTATTTTGAGTTTATCTACGGTACCAGTTCATGTTATATCCAGAAACGTGTTTTTCAGTTTATTTATAGCCGCTTTGTTAATTTTCAAGACTCTAGAGCTCTGCTATTGAGTTTCCGATCACTTTCAAAATTTTGGAGGGTGTGAAACAGACCTAGATGGATCAATTTGCATTCACAGAATTTTTTGAAATTTATTAGTCTTTTAGCTATTGGTCGATTTCTGGAATACACTCTTTTTGGCCCGTTTTGCACTGAAAACATAATGAAACAAGTTTCTTTCAGAAATCGACAACTAGCAGAAAAACCGTACTAGAAACAGGCCGGGACGGGATGAGCCGGGCTGTATTCCAATTTTCAAAGACCCGGTTCTTGATAGAAAAATGATTTTTGTAAAAAGTGTAATCCGTTTTTTTGATGTGATCAAAAATTTTGAACGCCTAGAAAAATATAACAGGCAAAGACAGCCAAAAGCAAAAAAAAGATGGAAAACAGTTATGTTAGTTAGTAATAGCTCAAAATTCTGCTTAAAAATGTCTTGAGGCCCGGCCTGTAACTTTACAGGTACGTGAAAAACCAGGGATTTCATAGAAGTTCTGTGAATGCAAAGTTTTCAATCTAGGTACGTTTTACACCTTCCGTCATTTTCAAACTGATCAGAAACTTGAAAGTCGAGCTCCATACTCTTGAAAATGGTTAAAATGGCTGAAAGTTAACAAAATGTTTTCGTACATCTTATGGGCCGGTACCTCTAATGTAATTATCTTTGAAGATTCGAAATTTCTGAAGTTGTGACCGCAAAAATATGGTTTAAAATAAATTTCCAAAAAACGGTATTAGCACTGATTTATTGTTTTAAACTTTGGAAGTGCTCTGTCGAAATTCTGTAAAAGCATATCTCTGGATGACAGGACATCGAAACTGGGACATCGCTGTCTAAACAATTTAAAAGTGCACATAAGGGATAGGAAAAGTATGAAACAATAAAACGTGTCTGTCTAATTGGATATGGAACAAGAAGGCATCCCAAAACCAATTTCATCGCTTTACCAGTGAAAAACAAGCTATAAAATAACAAATGCGTATGTATGCATAAAATAGTTTTGCCTCATTTTTGTGTATAAAGTTGAAGATGTCAGAAAAATGACAAAAACATCAGTGCTCCTCGAAGAGAGATGCATAGGAAAAACGAAGAGACGAAATTTCATTCATAACTGCTTTTCACATCTCTTTTGAAAATTCCGAAAACTTTTTGATTCCATTACCCAAACATGAATAACCAAAACGCCGCAAATCTATTTTAGCTCTCAAGCCGTACTAGTCAAGCATCTGAAGAAGCAACAATGAGAGCCTTCTTGATGTCAGTCACACTACATTCAGGAGTATTCAGGAGAACACTTGAGACGAAATAGTAAATTAGCAGTTCAATATCTTGCCGAGGAAAGAGTTCATCAATTCTTTTAAAAACAGCGCTGTGTAACACAAATTTTGGGCGACCGGCGCATCAATGTAACTTGAGAAGCAAAGGAAACGGGGAAGAAGGAATCAGAGCTTGAGAATTCCTTCCGCAAAAATAACGTTTAGGCCTATACTAACTTCCTTGGGAGAATGAACAGAATCACGCCTAATTGAGACGAGCTTCTGCTTCGACGGAGGAGGGAGGAGAAGGAATTGGGGAGCTGAGATAGAGGTCAATGTGTTATAAATGGATAGAAGAAGACGTGAGGAGTCAGATTGGATGCACAAATTAGATCGGATTCACATTCCAATAGTTGCCATTCCATTAGAAACTTCTGGAGCTATCTTGTAACGTGTATCTGTTTTTTCGCTTTTGTTTTTTTCTCAGAAAGTGGAGTGGAATGTCAATTTGATGAAATTAAATCTACGAAAAAAACGGAACACTGAAAATAACAACAACGAAAGAAGGAAAAGTTAGAAAGAACTTCATTTGGGCTGAAAGAGAGGCAGAAAAAAATAAGAGCCATGTGGACGTGGAGATTTTTGTTTCACAGAAATAATATCTTCATTTCTAATTTATAAAGTTTTGAAAGAATCATGCAGGGTTTATGGAGCAAGTTTGACTTTTACAGTTTGATGTCGGAAGCATAATAAGAAAGAGGAGATAAGGCAGACGAGAAGAAGAGATGAAACAAATACGACGATTCCTGATGCAGTCGTTGGAGATACGCAAACATCTGATGAGACGAATAATTTGGAAAATTGCAGTTCGGTGTTCTTTTTTTGGGGAGATGCTGAAAAATATGCAACTTTTTTTAATAAACTCTCAGAATCTTACAAGTTGGCTCATTTATATCCAGAATTGTCATGGTTTGAGAGATCACATCGAAATCGTTGTCCCCGGTGCTAGTGGAACGTTTTCCACGAAGAGTCACCGGGCAATGATCCGAGGAACGTGTACACGATCCATCTTCGTCTTTCAACCCAAGACGTATTTTACATTGGAAAAACACCGAGGGCTGGTCCGCGAATTTGAAAACCTGAAAAAAGAGTTGTTTTGAAAGAAAAATTTGGGTTACTGTATTTTTTCACGGGTTGTTGTTACAGTTTATAAAGTTTGCTTTTTTGATAACAAAAATCCGAATAATATTGGCATCTCATTTTTGCACATACCGTACCGTTCAATGAAAATTTAAAAAAAACGCATTTTTCGGTGAGTTTTTGGCATTTTTAGAAGTCTGCAGCTCGGTGGTCACGTTCTCCACTTTGAAAATTTTTGGAGGGTGTGAAACACACCTAGATTGGAAACTTTGCATTCAAATGTTTTTTGAAAAGTCATAGTTTTATAGCTATTTGTCGTTTCCTGAAAATCGTCCCTATTTGTAACGTTTTTATACTAAAAGTCTAAAAAAGCAGGCGTATTCCTGAAATCTGAAAAACTACAAATATTCCAAAAACTCTGTGAAGGCAAAGTTTTTAATCTAGGTCTGGTAACACCCTCCGAAATTTTTCAAGTAACTGAAAACTCTACAGCAGACCTACAGACTCTTAAAAATTCAGAAAATCAACTAAAAATGATTTGGAGTTTTGATAACGAGAATCAAAATAATTTTTTGCCATGTAAAACAATTTTTACTTTCTCACATGCAACCGCACACGTTAAACTTTTTCGGTTACCAAAAAACACGTTTAGTTGCTAGGTGGCCTCTAAATCATGCATACCTGAGATAATTGACCACCGGTCAGGTCACTTCTGTACTCCAAATTGTTAATTAAGTACTTGTCAACGGCGCAACCGTTTTCGTCAAAAATCTGCACTTCTTTGCCCGTCTCATCCTTCACGTTGCAAGAGTGCACCGTGACACAAAACGGAGAGGTTTCTAAAAGTACAGTATTCAGACTTCATGACAATTCAAGAGTGACTCACGATTGTTTCCAGGAGCCTCGCACGACCACTCATGATACACGATTTGTCCGACTGTTGCAAATGCCACTTCTTCACTTTTCGCTTCATTCAAAACTCGATATTTGCAATCTGGCAGTGGAACATTGTAGTTTATCCTTTCTTCGGTGGAAGGACTGAATTTAAAAAGTTATAAAACAGTTTTGCGACTACAGTAACCCACTCATTCAATTTATGCAATTTCTTGTGGTCTCCTGAAGTTTGATTCTCGGTATCACCCTCCTCATCGCCAACCATCACGAATATTTTCTTTTCTTGGTCTTTGGCAATACTGGAAAAGGGGAAAACATTTTCTTTCAAAACGAGTCATATAAAAAAGTTTCGGAAAGCGAAATTTGATGTGAGACTAGAAGTAAAATGGTATAGTAAAAGTAAACTTACTCCACATTTAATTGCTGCGTCACAGTTTTTTGAGATTCCGCGTAAAAGCATTGAACTTTGTAAGACTTGTCAATTTTGGTTATGAACATTGGGTGAAACGATATAATTACTGTTGCAGTCATCATGATTCCCTTTGGGTTGCTCTGAAAAACCAATAATAAATTATGCTTGCTTTTAGAGCTCAATTATCTCTGTTCATATGAGCTATCAAAAATTTGCAAACTACAAAAATGTTGGTGATGTTTTGATAAAAACGTTATGAGTTGACAAATTTTTGATCCCAAAATCCGTCTAATTTAAGCAAAATTATCTCGATTTCTGTGAAAGATCAAAATATTGAAAATAGATAAATTAATTATTGAATCATTATCAATGTTTCATCAGTTAACAATTTTTTGATATCTTTCACAGGAATCGAGATAAATGAGCTTAAAATTGACGGTTTGAGTGGGCTTCTATCAGAAGAATTACGGTATATCTAATTTGTAAATTTCAAACCAAATAAGATATTATAATTAGAATCGTGGTCATGTTTAGTTATTGCGTATTACCATGCTCAGTTCAAATACCTTTCAATACTTTCAAATTCGATTGAGCCGCCGCCTCTGCGCCTTATTTCCTTATTTCACACCTCATTGGCAACTCTTGAGGTTAGGTTTAATTGTCTGTTGCTGCTAGTCTCCTGGTTTTTCTCACAGGTACCCCAGTACCTTCTTTTGCCAATGTCACACACTGATTTTAATTACTTTTTCGGCCAGACCCCCTTCTCTCGATGACAACACATTGTAACGCACGGGTGCCCCCGATATTCCTTCCATTCGAGAAACTCTTTTCTTACGTGCTACTGCGTTTGCCTTGACCCGCGCGCACGCTTTTTACGTTAATTTTCCTATCAAAAAACGAAGTAGCTGTTAGAATAGGGAGTACGGAAGAGAGAAAAGGAGGTGAATATAATTTCAAAATGGGATGAACCGAATAAAAACAACAACCAATGAAAAAAAACGTACCGATCGTTGACGGATGACATCGCATGCGGAATATGAAACGGTCAGGTTGACGTTCGGTTCGAGAGTTGCATCTGTTCGACATTGTTTCATACTGTAATATGTAGTTGTGGTTTTGCGATGAAATTAAAAAAACTGCTAACTGGAAATGGAACTCACTTTAAAAATATGAACGTTTCTAAAATAAAACGATGGCAAACCAACCATGAAAAGTTTGTAAGATTAAAAAAGCAAGATACTATTGAAAAACTTTAAGATAAACCGAATAGAAGACAAGAAAATGACCAAAATCAGAAAAAAATTTACTTGATTAACTTGAACTAACTCTAGTACACCCTACACCTGAATTTCGAGGTCCATCATCTCGGTGCCTTCATAAGATAACAAAGTTTGCCAACTGATAAAATTTTGGTAATTTTAGAAAAACCATTCTATCAGTTGACTACTTTTTGTTATCTCTCAAAGGAACCGAAATAATTTAGCTCAAAGTGTACTTGTACGGTGGGCTTCTATCAGAGTATTTACGGTATTTCTACACATGCTCGATTGATTTTTGTGCCCAGATTATCATTACAATGCCTAAAAAAGCTGATTAGCTTCATTCTTGCCAACTTCCTCACCTATAATGTCCTTTCACATACACATGACCTTCGAATGCTCCTTGTGTTTTAAAATTTATCGATAAACTCTCGCTACCACATCTGATGAGTGGATCTTCTGAAAACAATTAATTAACAGTTGATATAGTTTTTCTCTACCCACCTCGTAACCCATTATCTATTTGATCGGCATAAATATTACAAGTGAGCTGGAAAAAAAACAGATAATCCTATTATAAAACTCAAAAAACAATTGGACTCACCAAAACTGTCAAGGTCAATGTGAGATAATGGAACATTATGTAAATGAATGAATAAGAAGATGAGAGGGTGCACCACACCACACCGCACTGTTTCAAGTGGATCCAAACAGTTGGGATCCCAATAGAAGAGAGGTGTCGTCGGCTTATTCAGGTCACCAGTAGGTCACGCCCCAACCATACAAGAAAACCGAAGAGGGAGAAAAAAGGAGGCGGAGACACACGATGGGTGATGGAATTTCGTGGATCACTCACACGCACGGGCAAGAAGAGACACCAAACCGTCAATTGATCTGGGAAAATAACAACTGGATAGTTAAAAAAAGAATGTTGTCACATGTAGGACAAGGCAACATGCATAAAAAATTGTGATTCATGTACTTTGAAGTGGTGGAAGAAGAAAGGGTTCATTATGTGATTAAAGTTCGATAGTTCAAGATGCCAAGGGAAACCAAAAAATATAGTTTGGGAGTGTTCTTTGAAAATGGTATACTTCCAAAAGAATTTTGGCAAAAAAAATTCTGGAAAAGACAATGCCAAAACATGAAAGATACACAAAAAAATCTGTTCGATGACCTCCCTCGTCTAAAATTGTTAAAATTCTTGACGATTCTTGTCCACTTCTACTCCAATTTTGTCGTTTTTTCTAATAGGACACACGGTCCTTGAATAGAAATGTAGGTAAAGACATGACTTTTTTCGAGTAGGTTGTGATTTTTCAAATTTTTGGAAACGAAAAAAACGATGAAGTTAGAAATGCAAACTGTGAAAACTTGACTATATCTGAAGTCATTGGAAAATAATTTTGCGATGGGTTTGTATGAATCAGAAACTCGAAAATTTTCCAATACAAAAAAAACGAGACAGGAAAATGCATAATAAAAAATTACAAAATATATCAAGGCTCCAAAAACATAGGAAGTCAATTTTTATACCAAATTCATAAGATTGATGGACCCTATCTCCTGTAATAGCAGCACACTCAAGCTGTCTTCTGAGCTTGATTATTTCGCTTCCTGTAAAAGATATAAAACATGTTCAACTTGTAAATTCTTTATCATAAAATCACCAACGTTTTATCAGTTGACAAATTTTTTATATCTTTCACAGGAATCGAGAGAATTAATCTCAAATTTGACGCTTCGAGTTAGCTTCTCTAAGACAAAATACTGTTTTAAGGCAACATAGGTTTTGGGTTACTGTATTCAAAACCAAACTGAATCAAAATTTCGAAATTGCAAAATTCGAATGATTTTAGAAGCTGCCATCTACAACAACAACAAAATGATAAATGAATATATTCTCCTTCAAAATAAAAAAATCGAGAACAATAAATTGTCCTTCTCTCTTCCAGCTGTCACCATTAAAATCAGAACACAGCAAAGCGCCCACTTCCGAAAGGGAGACTAGTCCATCTATCTATTTTCTCCTATTTTCTTCCCAATTTTTTCCTGGCACTTGTTCACCACTTTCACCCAAAGTTCAAGTTTTATGACAAACAATTTGATGATGGGTTGGGTTGGCTGTCGTTGAAAAAAAGGGAAACGCATCCAGATAATTATTCGGTTTTTCCTTTTCAGTTTTTAAGGTTTCATCCATCGGAATAACTAATTGGACACTCAATGTTTCCAGGGATTAAAAACGGAGAGGAGTGAGAAAGCTAATTCATAATTTTTTCTTTCCTCGTCATCGCCGGGCGGAAGTCACATCCGAACGAATTACGTAATTTGACATATCGACGAATTGGATAGCTCGATTTGTTTAAAAGAACCTTGATGTCTTTGTTCAAATCATTCCCAATTGTCGGCACGGCACAAGACCATCGAGACAAGAGACACAAGGGTGACTGTCGAATCTGTTTAATTAAATTCAACATGGGAGAGAAGGAGAGGTCGAACACAAACGTTCGGAAGAACAACAACGAAAGATTTTGAATTGTCACAAATTCAAATAGAAGATGAAATGGTAAGGAACATCGGAGGAAGGGGGGCAAGATGTAACGCATGCATATAAAAAGAATAAGGGAATGATGAATGGGGTTCAGGGATGAATGGATAGCGCACACAATATTAGTTTAACCTACATTAGAAGCATGTTGTAAATGGTCTAGACGAGTGGGGGTGACAGACAATTCACGAGTTCCAGGAATTGGTATGTGTACACTTTTTGAACTGGTTTGTTGGCAGGGAATATTGGGACGGAATGAAAAAAGAAATAGAGGAAATACTCAAAGTTACTTTTTAAAAATGTTTAGCAATGTCGAATATCCCAAGTTTCAAAATTTCCGAGTTTTAGAAATTGGAATATTCCGATTCTTCTAGAATGTTTCAATCCAGCATATAGTATTTTATATAGTGATTTCTCACCACATACAGTAAATATATGCAAAACGCGTTTTTCAGTTGATTTTGACCATTTTCAGCAGTCTAGAGGTCGGCTGTCAACTGTTCGAACACTATGAAAATTTTGGATGGTTCAAAACAGACCTAGATTGAACGTTGCATTCACAGCATTTTTTGAAAAAACCCTAGTTTTTCAGCTATTTGCCGATTTCCGGAAAACACATGTTTTTTACGTTTCCAGTACAAAACCAGAAAAAAGGAGCTGTTCTTCAAAAATCGGTAAAAAAGTGAAAAACTAGAAACGTTCAAAAAGTTATGTGAATGCAAAATTTTCAATCTAGGTCTGTTTTGAACGCTCCGAAGTTTTCAAAGTGATTGGGCACTTGGTAGACGATCTCCAGATTTCAAAGAAGTCGAAAACAAATTTGAAAAATAATTTTGTTGGACTACCGCAAGCGTGTGCATTTAACATACAATGAATCCAAAAAGCTCTGATTTCAGAAAAAAACAATTTCAAAAATTCCGATGAGAGATAGGTTGGATTCCGAAAAAATTCGGGTATACTTCCGTCGGAATTGTATTCCAAAACATTCAAAATTTGGAATTTTCAGAATGCCGAATTCTGTTTCAAGCACCCATGCAACCACGAGCTTCAGAATTGTCACCTAATAAAAATATATTCATCATTTCAAAGCATTTCTCCTAAACAAGAAAAAAACAAAATTATCAAAACCTGAATTTTATTAAATGATATTCAGACATTTGAAATTTCATAAATGGCAAAAAAATATTGAAACAATAAATTGAACGAATAAATTCTATGAATACTGAACATCGGAATCATAAGTTTGGCCAATTGAAAAAAAATAATGCCAGAAATTATAAAAGTAATGCCAAGAAAAAATAAAAGTCACTAGAGTTTTGGTATGTGGCAATTGACTGTCACAAAGTTAATTTTGGTATAAACGTCGAATCGATAAAAATGAAAAAAAATTTTGATAGTTAGGAACACTATCTAAACTAAACATGAGCGGCTTTTTGGATTCCCAATATCTTCTCCGCAACTCCAATGTAGTACACAGTCTGAGCAATACCGAAGAGTGGAGCCATCACCATCATACGGCAAGCGGCACCCTTGAATAGAGCTTTTGGTCCTTCGTTTTTGAGAATTGTGCTAAAAAGTAATGTATAGAGAAACCAAAACATCGATCACATACACAAATGCATCTGGGATATTCTTGTAGACAACTTCATTGGCACCCTTGTTGATTGTTTGCATTCTGGTCTTGATAACTGAACATTTTAAGTGTTATTCTTATCTTTTACATAGTTCAGGCTTACCATCCAATGGAGTCACACAGAAAGATGAAGCAGCTCCAGAAGTGAGTCCAGCTAAAAATGACCCATAGAAAACTGCATCTCCACTTCCGTCGGACTTTCTTGGAGCCAATGAATCGAGATAAGCGAATAATGGGAAGTATATAACGGAGAATGTGACATCACGAGCCAGTGTTGAGCTGAGTCCTTTGTATAATCCGGCGATCCCGTTTTCCTTCACCAATTTCATTGTCAATTCAGTGGCTGATAACTTCTTCTGGCCCGGTTCTGAAACAACTTCAAATTGAGATGAGAACATAAAAAACAACTAACGCAGAGTTCTGCCTTGATCTTGCATTTGAATCTTCAACAACTCCATTGGTGTGGTCACAGAGATTTGGAACATCCCAGCCAATCCTCCTGCCAACATTCCTCGCCCTACTGGCAACTGTTTCTCTCCTTCTTTGGCAAGTTTATGCCGGAAGAAGTCGTTGGCGACCAGTTTGATAGCTTTTTCTGGAGTGATTAAAAGGATGTTGACTCCCGAGCCACTGTACATCCCTTTGAATTTTGCGAAGCTTGATGCTCCGCCGGCTCTCCATGTTTGTTTCGCACAGTCAGCACTGAAAATTTTCATTTATTATTGCTTTACGACCTGAAAGTCGGTTTATGTAGAATATATACAGTACCTGTCAATGAGAACTACAACAACGTGTTTTTCTTTCGATTTCCGATCATTTTGACTATTTTCAAATGCCTGGTGCTCGTGTTTCGAATTCCGATAATTTTGAAAACTTTGGGTGTAGAACCAACCTAGCTTGAAAACTTAGATTTTGAAATTTTCGCAAAATTCTAGTTTTTCAGCTATTTGCCAAATTCTGGAAGATACTTTTTTTCACGTTTCCAGTACAAAACAAGCAGAAGGGGTGACTTTCAAAAACCGGCAAATAGCTGAAAACTTTGGTATTTTCAGAGAACTCTGGGAATGCAACGTTTTCATTTTGAACCTATTTAACACCCTTCAATATTTTTAAAGTTATTGAAAACTTGATAACCGAGCTTTAGACTCCTGAACGTGGTCCAATGGCTATACTCAATTGAAAGCACTTTTTTCTCTTATTGACCGATATTTTCAATTGCAAATTTATTTCCTGCTACTTACATTCCTGTATATTGAAGTTTTCCATCAGCTCCTACTGTCTGGTTTTGTAACCGAGTTTTAACCAAGTCGATCGGAAAGACACACGACACTCCGATGATACCCGCAAGTCCTCCATTCATGATTTTTGGCACATAACTGCGATTAACGGTTTTCAAGGAAGTCTTGATGATTCGTAAAACTCACGAAAAATTTTGTGGCTTTTTGTCCTCACTCATCTTTGCTAAGTTATCTGAAAACGTAGAAATTAGTGAAAGCTAATAGAGAAAATAAGATAAAGAAGTATGAAAAAGAAGAGGGAAACTTCTCTAATTGACGAAATGAATAAATCCTGAAAATAAATAAATTATTTATTTTTATCCCGTAACATATAATCAACAGCTTTGAAAAACTAAATGAAAATGCTATAAATAAAAAAAATCAAAAAAAGCGAAATCGATACTTAGATGACCAGAGACACAATGAGTTAATGTATACATTTAGATGACAAGAAACCCATGGAGAATGTTTGAAAATTTGTTGAAAAAGACGATTGCAAATTGAAATTGCAACACTATCCAAGAGATGAACAAACAGTGTTATCAGAAACAATGCTTGTTATCATTCTATTGTTATCGATAAAATAATGGAAAATCACTCGTTTTCTTGGAACTTTTCTAGACGTGGCTAAGAGACAGAATGACAAGAAAGAGGGGGGAAATCAATGCACTTGCATGTTGGCATCCATCACAAATGCAGAGTGAGAGGAATCAGTTGAGAGACTTGCCCTAGAATTCCGTAAATGATGGAACTGATCCTTGTCGGTGTAAACCATGGATAACAAGAATTGAACAATGTTGTTGATAATAGTGCTTGTGGCGTAGACACCTCCAAGGATCGAACAAATGCGGATGAGATAGGAGAAGAGGGTTCTGAAATAGGATGTTAGAGGGTTGCGACTTGAGGTTTAGTCACATTTTGGTCTATGTCTTTGAGATCACCTTGAAAAGATAAAAAGTATAATGTCTAAGTTTTTCGAGAAATTTTGATGGAGATAACCGGTTCTTATCAATCGAAAATAAATAGATTTTTGTCTAATGGTTTTTGATGTGATCTTAAATCAAAGATCGCGAAAATCAGCTGAATTAATAGGGAGTTTATAATTTCGGCTTTGAAACATTAGACGTGTGAAACAATTTCTTGTAAATTGAAACATTCCAAAAAAAAAAATTCCAAAATTATGAAATTTTGGAAACTTGGAAATTCAGAAAATTCCGATTTTTTCTTTTTGCAATTTCGGACACCATGAGATTTTTTATTCAATTTCAGAATACCGTATCCGAAGGACATTCCATTGCTTCAATGTACTTCCAGAAGGCCCTTCTATCACAGGATTCTTTCAATTAGAGATGTCCTTCTATTTTTCCCGCCATTTTTTTTACGAAAACTGCTATCGAAAAATTCTAGTTCAAGCTTTGACGAAATCCTATAAACTGTATTTGAGCATTTAACTGTAATTGAGCAAATTTCTCGAGCAAAAGAATGTTTCAAAGAATTTCTGTGAAATGTTTAGAACTTTAGAATATTGCACACAGAAAATGAACAATAATCTTTAAATTCGAACAAGACATTTTGCAGGAAGCTTTTCTATTTTAACAGCCTTTCTAATAACGGTTTCATGGAAATGGGAAATAGAAAGAGGAGTCTTAAAAGCGATTTAAAATTTTTTTAGATCGAAATGCAAAGAAATATTATTGCCATGCGCTTTTGACTGTGTTATTTCAGTTCTTCTTCCTTTTTTCGATTTTTTACTTCAAAAAACTTCCAGATTTCTAGAGTTTTTGAATTCTGTACTACACTACAAAAGATTTATCGAATTTTCACTTACGTGGAAGTCTTGTGCACTTCTATAACGTTTGCTGTGAACTCATACTCAAACAAAATTCCTCCATGTGAGTGCTCTCCCTCCTTCAATTGCTTCTTCTTAAAACAATACGCTTTCATTTTTTAGGTTCTATGAAATTCCTTACCAGGAATGTAACCGAGTACTGATATGCCAGTGTGTATGTGAAGTATCCGTAAATCTTGGTTGGCACAATTTTGATGAAGTAGCGGTATATGTCTTGGCCTGCACGATGTGGATTAGTCATGAATTTCAGGAAACGAACTCACCAGATTCACTGATGTGCTCAGCACCGGCAAGTGGGGTCACCAATCCAGGGATTCTTGGTCCAAAATTGAATTTTTCAATTCTATGAGAAATATTCCCCTGTTGAGGACCTCCATGGTCGAACATTATGAGCGGGTTGCTGATGGACATTATAATCTTCTCTTCTTTTCCTTTTCTAACTCGGAACTTTCCATGAAGACGACACGCTTTTCCATCGTCTCCATCCCCACCACCATTGTCAGCCACCAGTTGGAACATTCCCATTCCATTACTAACCAAGAACATCTGAAATAACTTTTGATAACTTTCCACATGTCTGATTAACTCACAATCTGTCCGTTCCCCCGGTGTTGCTGCTTCTTATTTTTCATTCTTTGTTCCTTTATATGAGCGGCCTCCTCTTCTTGCTTTTCATTTGCCAAATGCTCCAGATTGGTTTCAATATCGTCATCGACATATTCCAACTGTCAAAAACATTCTTCAAACAGCAAAAAATTGAATAAAAATACCTCTTCCAGCGCGCGAAGTCCTCTTTTGTTGTATTGGTCATGTGCATGACGTAGAATAGTCCAATACATTTGCTCTTCGTCAGTGAAATCAAATCTAGTTGGATTCTTCTGGATGGTTTGCCGGAGAAGACCATTTTCACCGGAATACTCGTCGGAAGAACTGGCTACTTGCATTATGTTGCAGGGCGTGTTGATAACCATATCCAGATCGAGGAGAGGCATTCTGAAGAAAATCAATTTACGGGAAAAACGGGGGAAGGTCGTCACTCACTCATCCATCTCTGTGTCCACCGCAAACCGATAATCATACTTTTTGTGGAACAAAAATGTGTATGTTTCCGTGCAAAACAGACAGAAAATGATGGTGAAGCACACAAATGAAACTGAAAAAATCACATTGTTCGTGTTGCTTTCAATATCTTTTATATTGCAATTTTTTTAATTGAAAAAAACTCACTTGCACCAGAGGACGCTTTTTTCTCCTCTTTCACATTTTCCACTACTTTTTCGAATATATCGAAATCCTCGACAATTTTTGTTATCCCTTTTCGCTGTCGTATTTCCGATGTTCCGAGATCCATTGTTGAATAAATAGAAAATAAATAAAAAGTAAAGGAGTAAAACGCGTGGTTTACTGGGGAAATACTGGCAAGTCCGCAAACACCACCACGATAAGTTGCGGCCGCCACATCAGTTGTTCTGGGATGGAGAAGGAGGAAAGCAACAGTTGACTCGAAGAAGAAGGCATCGACGCGATGGGAGAGCAGGAACTGAGGTTGAAAATCACATTGTTCATAGTTGAAGCTGACAGGTTGGAAAAATAATGACGTCACTGGAAAGCGATTGGAGGAAGAATCAATATAGTCTCCTCTTTTTCGTAAAGGAAGACAAGAATGCCGTATAATTGTGTTGTAGGGAGAGGAGATAAGATCGGGCAAAAGAAAAAACAATAAATAGAAAACACTGCCTGAGAAAATCAGATAATAAATGAAAAAAATTGAGAAACTCAAAAAAAAGAAAAACTGTTTTCATTGGTTTAAACCATATTTTTCGAATAATAACGAATATTTGAAAAAAATGTGGATACCCGCAAAATATACGATACGGTGAATGGATAGTAATTTTGAAAATTTGGGTTGCCTGTTTAAATTTATTTTTACAAAACCAAAAAAATCAAAAAATTATACACAATAAAGTTAAAATTACAAAAAAAAACACCAATAATGCTTATTACTTTATTGCAGAAAAATCAAAATTTGCCAGCTATGGTTACAAAAAGTTTAATTAACTTGTTTAGAAATAATATCTTTGTTTTCCGTCGATATTAGCTGGTTCCAATAAATTTTCTGCTTCTTTGATGGTTTTGGAGAGAAATTCAATGGAATCTCATGATGATTTTTCAGAAAATTCCATCAATTACATTTTGAAAGCAAAATTTCTCAAAAAAAGTTTTCCGGACTAGTCCGCGAAATTCCCAATTTTCTAAAATTTTGATATATATTCTCCGATTATTTTTGTGTCGATCTCAACCATTCGAATTTGTCATTTTCCGAATAAAAATTTATATTTTCTATCTAATTCGAGAAGTTTGTTCGATCTTTTGGAAACTATCAATTATCGAAAATTTGTTCTGATTTCACTTCACATTCAATGTTAAACAATTTTTATCCCGTTCACACTTATCCTGTAATTTCAAATTTGAATTTTGATCAACAACCCCGCCCGCGCATTTTCGAAATCTGAATTCTTGAACTTTCATCGAGTTTACTTCATAGATTCCACACAAATTTTCATGTGGAAGTACGTGCCGGATTTTATTTCAAAAGGACCGCATCCGTCTTTTCATAAGGGTAAAACATGAAGGTCCCCTGGACCAACAGAAAAATTAGTTCCAAGAACTTGAAAACTTATTTGCGCACGTAGCTACTAGAAATTGCCCAGATTTACTTTTTTTTGGCAAACCCTTATTCCTAATAATCCAAAAAGATTTTTTTTCATATCACCAATTTAATCAAGTTGTCTTTGTTTTCCAGGAAGTAGTTTTATATTAATTCTAGTTGATTGCAAAAATTGATATAAAATTAGCTCTGAAATGCATTCAAGCCGAATCTGCAGCGAATTGGCTTTTGTAGAATATTGTCAACATCAATTTCTCCTTTTTTAGTATTTCATAGAACATGCCGATTCGGAGAAATTCCGAACTCTGAAAAAAACTTCAAATTCTCAAGTGTGTTGACACCCTCTTCTTTGATTCCAAGAGTTGCATTTTTCCAGTCTAGAAGCATGTAAATCTGAATTCCTCCCCCACACCAATGGGGCTCACATCCCTATTATTGCTCAGGTCTCCTTTTCTTGCTAAAACTTTTGCCATAATAAAGTCATGAATATACCTTCTCTGATGAATGTGTTTTGTCTTATTCGCCTCAATTCCAAAAAATGCGCCTCCTTCTCCTCTCTCCCTTCTTTGCATTTATGGAAAAATGCATGTGTATTGCTCAAAAGGGCCCAAAAAAAGGTAAGAAACAATTTCTCGGGGTCTTTTTTCCATCTCTTCCTTCTCTTCTTCCTGTTTCTTCACACTGCTTGCACAGGAAGAAAAAAAGAAAAGATTTCTCGTAATTATCGCTGGTGGAGTGAGACTGAAAATGACTAAGCCCTCAGTCTTCCTTCTTCCTCTTCATCCTAACAATTGCATCGTGCCCAATGGACTTCATCCTCCTACTCGTAGAAATATACCTTCATTGAATTCTGTAAAAGGAGGCGGAGACATGAGAAGAGGTGTTTTCCTTCACAAATCACATTTCAACACATCAATTAATTTGAGTTTTCTTGTTCGCTGTCTCGTGTCTAATTAGAACTTCTAGTCTTTTGAGCTCTGGGTAATTACTGGAAATAATGTTCTGAGAACGTTTCTATTTTCTTTTGATTTTTTAGAAAAGCAGTTTTTCAGAAATTGTCGTGTTGTGAGAAGTAACAAACACTCTAACAGAATGGCTCTTAACTTTTATTTTCAAACCAATTTATCTTGAAACATTTATGATATTATGACAACTAATTTATCAGTTGATCATTTTTTGATACAACACGAAAAAATTGAGCTCATGGGTGACGGATTGGGTGGGCCTCTATTAGAGGAAATACAGTAAGCGGCTCAACAAGTAAAAATTTAGATGTTTTTTGTTGGTTCCCAGATTCCCTTAAAGGTGGAGACATGAAAAAAAAATTTTCTCGAAATTCCTGAGCACATAAGGGTGAGGACGATCGGTGTACGCAGAGTGACATTAATCGTTGTACATCATCACGGTAGAATGCATACCCTGGCTACTAAAATCCTACGAAAAATCTCCTGTCCCCCCACCTTTAAATATTTTTCGAAAAATTCCATAGTTGTATGAGTCCTTATACTTTTTCGGTTTTTTTAGCATATCTGAGTGTTTCATCCTTCCCATTGGTCCATTCTTTCCCGAGACACATCTTTCCCATCTCATCCCCCCCATAGAGAGAACAAACGTCGAGTATGGAAAAAGATAGTCAAAATCTAATATGACCAGTGTTCCCCGGGGAATCAACAACTCATGTTTCTGTCTCAATTTTTATGATCTAGTGTACTCGATGGGCGCAACTCGAAACGTCTCTTTTTGAAGTTTTCTCGAAACACATACTCCACCACCACTCCCCAACCCACCCATGGTTAGTTTCATTTTGTTTCCGTCTTTTTCGCAACATTGCTTTACTACTTCAATTCCTATTGGTCATTGAGAACCCGTCTGGTTCATTTGGGCACGTATTCAGGGGAGCAATACACGTTTAAACGAAAATGTAAACTTTCTCGGATAGGGCAAAAGGAGAGACATAAAAAAAAGGCGAGAAGAAGCAACGAAGAATTATCCAATATATAGAGTCGAAGATCAGATTAGTGGCACTGCCACGGAGCCTAGCCATACGCGTCATCTACACATTCACACAGAGAAAACTTTTCCTTTCTTGTTTCTTCGCTTTTCTTCTCCCCGCCCCTAAAAACGTTACATCTTCCCTTTTTTCTATCAAAGGTTAGCCCTAACTGACCGCCAAAATTGGATTGTAACCACACGATTTCGGGCCCGAGGTCGGTCTGATCAAGTTCGGAGAAGCGGAAAATGCATCTTTTATCCAGGAATTCGTGTCCTTTTTCCTTTTTTCCTCAGTCCCTCACTCCCTTTTTTGGTTCCAGAGGAAATGTTGGTCTTACCCATGTTCAATCAAGCTCATAATAATTTTGTCTTCCGTACTTGGAAGCGATTGGTTCTTGACGCACTTGCTAGAAAACCAATTTTGTGTGTTTCCGGGCACAAAAATGCATCTCTAGGAACTTCATCCTAAAATTGCATTTTTCTTTCCTAACGAAAAATGCTTGCATGTCCTGCGGCATTTCTATATTTGCTCGAACGTTTCTTCTAGATAATATAATCAGAAGTTCTTGGAGAGGAGAGGAAGTGCTAGATGAAGCCTTTTTTTTCGTTTTTGAGGGCATCCGAGTTCGATAAATGAGGGTGTTTGTGAATATTCCAAAATTATTTTTAATTATATGATGGGATTATTTTCAAAGATAAAGTCCTAGACTTCCGACATGCCGACATGATTGATAACTTTCTTTTTTTGGAATTTTGTTTTTTTTTTCAGTTCGAGTATTCAATTGTTGTGTTTGCTATTACATTTAACTTTTTAATAGAATGACTCTCCGAACATACAACTTTGAGACAATTCATCTGGGTCCCTGTCAAAGAAATGAACAATTTGTCAATTGATAAATAGTTTATCGTAATATTAAAGAACATTTTATTAGGTGACACATTTTGTAAATCTCTGATAGGAACCAAGATAATTCAGCTCAAACTTGACAATGTTGAAACCCTTCTACTACATGTATTACGGTAGTAGAAATTTTCATTCAATTTGATGTGTTTTTTTTTCCGTTCAGTTTGATGAGTTCGTTCAACTTGATGAGTTTTAATATAACTTTTGACCAGTTGACACATTTTCGAAATCTCTCATAGGAACCCAGATAATTGAGATCAACCTTGACAATAAGGGAGCTCTTCTATTACACGATTTACAATAGTATAGATTTTTGTCCAATTTGATATGTTTGAAGGTATTGTGATTGCATATTCAGTTATACGGTAAGTATTTTCTATTTTTTGATGTATTTGTTTTTTCTATGCTCACAGGCTTTCAAAGAAAACGGTTTTAATAAACGCTCCGCTATCTTCCTCAGTCTTAGTATATTTTTCTGTCATTTTCCATCTTATCTATTTTCATCCTTCTCCAAAATCCTCTCTATTAAAAAACAGCTTTTCCTAAAACTGCCGAAGCCATACACATACATATCAAATCTTTATTTTCCTTTTCCAATGTTCAGCTCATTTGATCATTCATGTGTCCCAATGTATTTATAACCTTTTGTTCCCATTTTCGAGATTCTTGCTCCAGGAGCAACTGGAGCCAAAAACAATATATTACTTTTTCTACCTTCCTGCTCCGATGGTTCTCATCATTCATCACCGGTCAGGCACTCGCCACCGTGAACAAGTCAATTTATTGT